AACACTGATTCACTTCTTTAAACTGCTTTCTAATTATTTTTAAACTAAACCAAAAGCTAAATAAAGAACATAATGGATTCTGATGAAAACTGTATTTGGTTGCAGTCTTTATAGTGCAAGTAGTGAGCAGGGAAACCACGTGGGCAGATAACACATCATGTTTAACAAAGTGAAAGGTATCAGATTGAGATAGAAACTGTATCTTGTTAGTGCTGTATCTTGATGTTTATTTCAAAACAGGTCCTTCTCTTAATCTTGCAAACGTATTATCTTCACACCTTTTGATCTAATCTCAAAGAGAAACAATAAACAGTATCTGTCTGAACTGATCGCAGTGAAAAGACAAGCAGCAGATTCTTTACAAACATTTCTTCTCAAGTGCTGCCATCTAGTGGCCTTTAAGGTAAACTGCAAGAAGATGTGATTGTGAAAAACAAATTGCACTATTGATTCCATGAGCAACAAAGACCAGAACATTTAAATAAACGTTTGTATTTCCTGTCCAGTGCGAGGTAAACGCAGATTCTGGTGATCCCGAGGATGGGCTCACACCAGAAGCTGTGGAAATCTGCAAGAGGCTCGGCAGCAACGCAACACGCGTCTCCGAGATCGCAGGGGGACGAGACCGAGCGATCCACACGGCCATCCAGGAGGGAATCAACCGAGTCAACGAGAATGCAACATCTAACGCTCAGCGCATCCAGAAGTGGATCATTCTGGATCGGGATTTCTCCGTTTCAGGAGGAGAGCTGGGTGAGTGCAGGGTTGTGATTTAGCAGAAAGTAGAATGACAGTTTTATTGACAGAAGGTGAATCAAGAGCTATTTTGATTCAATGGTGCCGTCAGTCTGTAAGTTAAAGCACTAAACTTTCACTTATTTCAGCTTCTGATGATGATGTGTCATTTGTTGAAAAAAAGACATCAGAGTACGTTTGCAAAGACATATTGGCAATCATATCTTAAACCTGTCACCTCTCTCAGATCAGTACGTGCAGTCTCATAGATCCTTTTTTATTAAGTTTAGAAATAATGAACGGTGTTTGATGACTTTAACAGATAAAAAAAAACTACAATACAAGTTATTGTTACTTCCAGCCTTAAAGCTATAACTTGTCACAATCAATTTGAAAAATTATAAATGTGCCAAATTTGGTTAAGTAGAATTTGAATTTCTTATTTTATTCCCCAATTATTATTTTCTGACCCCTCAGATTCATCCTGCAGCTCACTGATCCTATTGGTCCCTGTATTTACTGTTAGTCATGGTATTATAATCCACGACCAAAATGAGTTCACCTTCTTCATAAACTTTCCTATAAACCTGACACACACAGTAAGGCTGAACTACTTCATTACATTCTCAAACAAGTAACTAATCCTAACCCTACTTGTTTGAGAATGTAATGAAGTAAAAAAAAAAAAAAAAAAAAGGTCAGTCAGCCTTCTTGTGTGTGTTTTCCTGCCATCACCTGCCCCCAGATATAAGGACAGAGTGCTGTGCACAGGGCATCCACCACGTCAGTATGATTTTCTATAAACCTGTTTAGACATTTTTTTAAAGTTGTAATTATTGTTCCACAGGCCCCACCATGAAGCTGAAGCGGCCGGTGGTCGTAAAGATGTACAAGGAGCAGATCGAGAACTTCTACAAGGAGCTGGCGACGCCAACCACCCCCGACAACCCGCTGCCTCCTAAATAGATGTGCTGCTCCTCCAGCTGCAGGGAGAACAGACACACACCACCTCCTTTATCCCTCCTCCTCTCTCCCTGCTGCAGCTTTTTCTTTGGTAAAGAAGGTTTCGGTTGCCTTAAGTTTTGCTTGTTCTGTCTTGGTTTACAATTGCGGGTGTTCTTTAAAAAGGAAAGCTAACGTATGAAAGCATCTTGAAGACTATCAATGAGCTTAACTGCCAACTATTTATTTGGATTAACAGTGATATCGGATAGATGAAGTAACACGAGCTGTATGTAAGGAAAGTTGTTTATTGCACTGAATTACTTGATAAGAGACCGAATCCAAAAAGGTTGTAGGATATTTTAGCGGAGTAATTTGTGTTTTTCGAACATGTTTTTCTTAATTTATTTTCAGTTTGCCAAAGTTTTTGAGCTTCAAATGAAACATTTCTAATGAAGGCTTCATAAGAAAATCAGCCATCACATCCAATGTTTACCTTTTACAGTCCATGTACATGGGGATGTTAGCTCATCTTAGAATTAAAATGAGCTTTTTTTTTTGTATCAATGTTAAAAAAGTTGCAGAGAGGTGCGTTGAAGTGTCTGATAAATAAGCATCCCAATCTCATTTTCATGGCTGTAAAAAAAGAAGACGTAATTGAAGCCATACTTTGCCTTTTGTCATTGTGAAGTGCGTCTGATCTGTATGCTGACTCACTGCATCCTGCACACCCGCCTGGTCCTGTTGTAATGAACAGTCCCTCTGTGTGTAGGCCTGCTGTCTTTTGTGTCATTTTGTAAATATGTTTAGCCTACATCTTCACCTTTCACTTGTCTGTATTTAAATGTATTCTGAAGGTTTCTGCCATTTATTCCCCGCCAAAAAAATCATTCAAACCATTTATTGCACTCAAACATCGAGGGGAAAGAGGAACTAGAACAGGAAATGTACATAAATTAGATTAAATGTAGGTGCATAGTAAATATATCAACTGCATTGAGTTTTTTTATTTGTCTGTCCATCTTTGATGTTCCATAACTCTCTGTAATCTGAAAAGCTGACCTTGTATGAAGTATTTGTGTGTGTGTGTGTGTATATATATATATATATATAAAACATATCGTAGGGACTTGTAGCAATCTGGTATGCTAAAATGAAGATAAAGTGCTTATTGTTCACTGAAGTCCAGGGCAAATCAAACTGATATTTAAACGTGTTGCTGAGGAAATGATGGTGATTCAGGGAGTGTCAGGGTCGAGGGAGTTTCCTGCCATCTTAAATCTGCTTTACAAACCCCTGATTGTCCATCCACCCCATTAAATACATTTGCAAAACTTAAACACTCACAAGACCTCTGACAGAGAACTGGACTCACCTGACCCGTAACAGCAGTCATTTGTTGTGAACAATATCAGGGTTGAAAAATGGAAATATGCACGAAGCTGGCCTGTGAATATTTGTGTTTAGCAGTTATGGAATAAAAATTGTTTACTTGATCTGACGTGTGAACTCTGCTTTTCTTCTGTTTTTATTTCGAGGATTTCCCATTTAATTTAGAGCCAATGTAAGTCCTCATCCCTCTTGTAAAAGTGGAAATATCACAATGTTAAATCACTACAATCTGACTTCAGTCAAAAACGAAAAGGCTTTAGTGGAGACTTGGTCAGAGTTTATATCTATTAAGGAAATTGTTAAAAATAGTGACTGACTATTGTTAAGACCAAATCCCAGCACTGAGGATAGTATGCAAAATGTATATGTGCTTAAATACCTCTTTGTGTATGGGTGTCTGATTGTAGTGAGGTAGAGTGAGACAGCAGAGGGCAGCGCTGAGTGGCCTATATTGTTTCATCACTTCACATGCTTGGAGGGGGGGACATAATTGCCAGGTAGACGTTTGTCTTGATGCGTGATCAGCATAAAAGCAGATGGTAAACTGTGTCCCGCAGGTTTGTTCCAATGTGAAGATAACCAGAGACGCCTCTGGTTTACAACTTTCTGTAAATTAAACAAGATTTCAGTCAAATAAATGTAAAGAAAAGGAGTTCAGTTGTCCAGCGCCCTCTGTCATCTTTTCACGTTCAGGCACACACCAAAGAAGTTGACAACTCTGCTAAATACAATCCCTTAGTTTGAAGTATATTCCGCTGTTTTATCTTCGCAATCTAAAATCTTTCTTAAATAAAACCGTTTCATTTGTCGTATTTGTTTTCTGCTGCTTCATGACAGATACCAACAGGACATACATTCATGAGCAAAGGCTTTATTATTCATTATCTAAAAGATTTTTTTAATTTAAGACTTCATTGTGAAGATCAGGTTTGAAGAGATTAAATATATTTGTTTTTGGTACTTGTTTTAATTTACTTTTGAAAGCTGTCCAAAACCAGCCAGACTTTTACTTACAGGGAAATGAGTTACATTTTTTAGATTATGTTTTATTTTCAGGGTTAACTACTTGTGGTTAATATTTTACTGAAATGTTCAAATTTTAATTTGTTCAGAAATGTAAACTCAGTCTACCACGATTCAAGGAGTGGATAATACCTGTATGTATATTATGTTTTATCAGAGTACATACAGATACACAGAAATATAGTTGAGATTCAAAATAATTTTTATCATCAAAGAATCAGTTGTTCACCATTTGAATTTTTTACTTATCTAACTTTCCAAAGCTCACAGTTATATCCCCGAGACATTTGTTGTCTCTGAAACACAAAACAAACCGCAGATGAAAAACAGCTACTTTTCACAGAAGAGAAGTGGAACCTGTGAATTCTGGACATTTTTGTGCTGTTGGCTTATCAATAAATGGACTAATGGTTACCACATGAATTGGAACCTTGATATATTTGCAATACATTTGATTTTCTAGAGACAAAAATGTATTTTTTATGCAAATGAATAACTAGGGAGATAAAGATAATAGATCTCTTGACCTAAATCGTAAAGATTCATGGTTAAGTATTTCAGCCATGCTACAAAGAAAGGTCAATAAAAGTTCATAATTTAAAATTAAAGTGTTAGAGATCGAGGTCAAACCAACAGCCTGAGGTCTCAAACATCTCACACTGGGTTTTTTTTTTTTTCAGTGCAGCGCTGCAACATATCACAAAAACAATCCAATAAACGTTCCTCTTTTAGTGACATTTCCTCAATAGATGGTCAATGCATCATGAGCATGATTACCCGGCACGCTGCGTGTCCTTTTAACCCCGCAGACTGCATTGACCATCACATGAACCTTACATGAACCCTGCACACACGGCCATGACCGGGTCACACAGCTGTTAATGAACGTACACACACACACACAGGGGTCAACAGTACTTAATGACTTTATTAATAATATGATTTCAAATAAAAAATAACATTAAAATAACATGTTTTGTCCTTGTTAACAACTTGCATCATATGGCCACATGGTGGCATTTTAATGCCAAGTTTTTTATTCTCAAAAATACCAAATTGTTCTGCCGTCCAGTTTATTTGTTCTTCCTGTCGTTTGGACCACAAATATGGAACCAGACCCTCACCCCCTTTTACCACCAGTTAAAAAAAAAATCAAACTTTTATAAATACAGGCAACCCTGTCCCCCCCGTCACAGACACATTATGACGACCACTGACACAGGAAACATCCCGTCTGCACATGCCCCAGCCCCACCCTCCACTTATTAGCAAGGAACCAAATGCTCTCCGTTTGCCTTTTCTTCATCCTCTAAAGATCCACACAGTAGATATTCTACCTTTGCTGTATTATACACATACTATATATAATATTCTCAGCTGAAATGCTCCACTCCTACAGACCTCCTCAGAGGGGCAAAGTGGGAGCAGTTACTGGTACCATAAAGTTCTTAAAATCCCAAATGTGGCTTGTTTTTTGTTTTTTTTACATTCAACTGTTCCAAATCATAAAACAACCACAGCGCGTTTTGTAGGAGCACCTTCTGCTTCTAATGCTACAACTCTGTTTCAGAGAACACTGAAACAAGTTTTATTTACTTAAGTAAAGGGCTCTAAATACTCCAATACCCATGAGCCTTAGCTGCCATTGACAAGGAGAAACAGCCAGTCAGATTGACAATCACATATGTGATTAAAAACAATAATCATTGCAGTGGTGATTAATAAAAAAGTGGTGTCAGTGACAGTATTCATCTTTAAAGTGAACTACCAAATTTAGAAGAAACCGATAGATGTAAGCAGCAGATTGAAACATCAGTTTTCTCAACAGCATGTGAAACCATTTGAAAGGAAAGTCTAAATCAGAATGCAGTCAAATGTCTCAGTCATTACTATAATTTTTTTTTCCATGTGTCATGATGCGTTGCATGAAAGCAGCCACAGGTTTGACGTCGCTCAGCTGTAACTCTTTGGCTGTACAATCTGGCATCGGTGAATACAGCAGTATGCCTGAGTCGGACAGAATACTCAAAAAGTATCGTTGTCCTTAACAATCTCTGAGCTTATATTTTGTGATGTCCTTGGAATTAGCCCGTCATTGTTTGGGGCCGTCTAAAGAAACCACTGGTTTGCTTGAGGAACAACAGATTTTTTTGCAACTGCAGACAATTTACAAACTCTAAACCTTACTTGGATAGAAATGAGCCTTAAAAAGGGAAAATTGACTGAATGTGTCTTGTGGCAATGAGTTCTGAGCTGTAGGAATTTATTATGCATTTACTTCTACTCAAAAATGGAACCAGGAGGGGTTTGAGCAGATTCTAATGTTGGATATGCTCCAGCTGTGAGTCCTGTTAAAGGTAGGCTTTGTCCTTGCAGGCAATAGGCTGGGTGGCTGAAAGGAAGCCCTGAACAGCCATGCATCCATACATACTAATTACTTCACTTTCCATTGATAATTAAGAATCAAAATTTAATCAATGATTGATTTCCAGATGTTTTCTTGAGATCTAGACTTGTTTGTCTTGTGTCTCCAGTGTTGCAAAAGCACAAAACAAACAAACGTAGCATTAGGCTATCTCATTAGCATTAGGCTTAACTTCTCTCATTAGTGTGGTCAATGACAGCAAGGCATGTTGTCGTCAGAAAATGATCCCGTTATCGTGAGAAAAAATCCGCTTTGTTATCTGAGATAACAAGAAAAGAAAGTCCAGATCTCTAGAAAACAACCAGAAATGACTCATTATAAGAGTTTCAAATGTAGTAAATACAGTGAATGGATGCATGTCCTCTTACGGCTGGTTATTTGTTGTACACGCAAGAGAAAGAAAAAGTGCACATATTGGAGAGTTAAACAGAGTGAGGTTGGTCATCTGACCATGACCCATGTGATGTCGTCTATAAGAAAGCTAAATGGCATTATAACTTCTGGTACCAGATACTGTCCCACTTTGCAACTCCATCGTTTCCTATGATGTGTTTCTTCAGGCTCAAGTTTTCATAACAAAGTAAAAGATGGTGACGATGACCGTTTTTGTTTGTTTGGGTGCAAACGTCTACAGACGAGTAGAAAAGAAACATGGAAATCATAATCGAACACATGAGACAGAAATTAAACAGATGGGTTCCTTCTGGTCCAGTTACTCCTACTGGAAGCAGAGGGTGATATCAGAGTTTAGCTCATCCAGCAAATATTTCCCAACACCTGTTTCTTGGTGTTCAGCTGTCATCAGAATAATGATACACAAAAACATACAGGGGACGCCCCCCCCCCCCCCAAACCCCATAATGTCTCAACTAGATCCAATGGGGAACGAGTGTTTGTGAATAATAGCGACAAATCATGCCCAAATAAAGACAATTAAATAAGAAACAAACAAACAAAAAATGGTTGGCAAAGAAAAACAAATCAATTGATATTGTATTGCATGTAAATATTGTATAAAATCCTTAAAAATACAGTTTAGGTAACTACTTAAGTACTGAAGTCATCACAGCCAAAAGTGCAGAGGTCCATAAATAAAACATTGACTGTGGGCAGACAGTGGGGCTTCCACTCGAGTCCCCACACAACCTCCCCTCTCTCACCACAACAAGGGACTGAATGAGTGCCAGGTCAAACGTCAGAGTTCATGAACTAGGACTTAAAAGTTCCCATACCGGTGCACAGAGAAGAGGACAGGAGGGTTGGTTTTTAATGTCCCCTGTCGCTGACACAAACTCACTCGCAGATGCACAAATATCTCTCTCTCTCTCTCTCTCTCTCACACACACTCACTCACACACACACACACACACACACACACACACACACAGAGTTGCAAAGTTCATTCTCAGTAATAATGGCCTGAAGTTGTGTTGACAGAGGCACACCTAGAGAAAATGAGGGTGGGACAGGGGGGGGGGAGAGAAGTGAGGGCAGGAGAGGGTTACTGCAGGGCACATAAGGCGGCAGGGATCCTGGTTTTTTCATTCTTTTTTTTGTTTTGTTTTTGGAGACACGTTCTTCGAGCACAGACGGCATTTACAGTAAGAACAGAAAGGAAGGAGTATGTGGAAGCAGGTCATAGAAAAAGAGAAGTATTAAAGCTATCAGAGCGTCAGAATAAAAACACTGTCGGCAAGTAACAGAGGAGGAGAGGGAGGCAGGGAGGAAATCACTATTGAAAGTTTGTACAACAGTGGGTTGTGTGTGTGTGTGTGTGTGTGTGTGTGTGTGTGTGTGTGTGTGTGTGTGTGTGTGTGTGTGTGTGTGTGTGTGTGTGTGTGTATGTGTGTGTTTGGAGGGGCCACAGGAACTATAACACCAGGGGCCTGAATCAAGGAGCATTTTCACCTCAGTCTGGCTTTCTTTGGGGCTTCTGGTTTACAAAACCTAACACTGGTAATCCTGGAAAAACTGTTCTCACAAAGCTGGATCATGACTCTGTTAACCCGTGATTTACCAGAACGACAACAAATTAATCTTAGATTAAATATGCTTCCAATCACACGAAGAGCGTAGTATTGCAAAACTGTTTGACCCCGAAAATGTCGTCAATGCAGCAGCTAAAGGTAATAATCAAACAGTTCAAAGGGATCAAGACAAGGAGGCAACATATAGTTAATTACAATATTTACATAGGTAACATAAAAGGAGACAATTGTATTGAATAACACAATAACAAAATACCAAAGTTATAGGTTATAAGCTAAAGGTGGGTGCTATTCTCAAATTGTATGGAGACGCAATGACTGACATCTACGGGGAGCAGAACATCTCACGGCCAGAGAAGATGTTAAAAGCTGTCAGGTGTCCGTTTGATCAAGCTTACCTATCAAGACACACTGAACATAAACATGGCCAAGAGTAAGAATGCAGTTTAGTTTAAAATAAAAAAAGTGCATTATTTTATTAAACGGTTAACAATAATTACTACTAACTTAAACTTCACATCTGCTTAGCTGTTATTAAAAAAACAAACACACAGGGATTCACTGATTATTTGTCCTTAGTTTTGTGATTATCATTTACAAGCAGAGCTGCTGTATTTATCAAAGTATTAATGAAATCATGAGACAGGTGGTCAGATGCAGAAACTGATTAGTTTGTTTTTTAAATAAAGATGCAGCGCTGCAGATATGTACTGTGCTGGTCCACTTTGTTCTCCAGACGTGAGAAAACTTGTTTGGTACAAACTGAAGTTGGATTATTATGTTGTTGTTTTTTTTTTATTATATCATTTGCAGTGCAAATAAAACTTGACATACAGAGTGATGCTTCATACTTAGTCACATCACATTAAAAAAAAAACTTATTGTAAGTTATTTTTTCCTTGACCTGTATTGTATAGCTCTTCAGTTTTTGAAGTGTGGTTCTCCTCTCGTCATGAAGATGTGATGTAATAGTGGTTCCATGCATGTTTTCTCTTCTACCATTGATATACAGATTTGAATCGTTTCAGTGCAGTGCAGACTTCTGATCGCCATGTCTAACTTCACTTTGTGCAACACGCATTAGAAGCACTGTTAAAGAGTCGGAGATAAAAAGGTGCTAAACCGCAGTGTTGCACGTTAGGGTTAAACAGGGGGTCTGTGTTGCACCTCTCTTCTCCCCACTCATTTCCTGTCACCTCATTACTGTCATCTCTAATAAAGGCATTAACTGACAGTGGGTAACTTGTTTGAAATGTTCACTACAGGACATTTTATTTTATGTTAACGTGTTCTTTTGTACTTGTTTTTACTAAGTGTTGAATCCTCTGAACTGAAATGTTCTCTTCAGCAGGTTTAGTGAATTTGATCCAAGTTATCCAGCTTTGTGAGATCAGTCTTATGGAGATAAAGTTATCCACTTAACCTAAACATCGTGTTTCATGATGCAGGCCCCTGATTAACATGTTTCAAATATTGAAGGAAAGAAAACACCAACGGCATATTGTTTAGCTTATTTGTTTACATGCCCTTTGTTTCTGCTCTTTGAGTGCCTGATAACTTGGTCTGAAACACTCCATCATTACTTCAAATACTTCAAACTGCTTGAAGAGGGGGGACCAAGACCCTATTCAGCGTCTGCCTTCTCACAGAGACACACAACACATCTATAGCAACTGTTTCTAGAGCTAATTAATGAGAGGAACTACCACACAGTCACCTGATGCTTTTTTTTTTTTTGTCTTAAACCAAACCTAATCTCAGAAAGCAAGAACAAAAACGAGACGACCACAACCCTCAAAATGAGAGGAAATGAATTCAATGTCACTGATAAAATGACAACAGCCTACAAAGACACTAGGAAAGGAGAAGCAAGGATGGAAGCCATTAAGACAATACTGGATATTCAGGCATCCCTATTAACACTTGTTTTGGGGAGGGGGGGTTTCAGTCCGTGTGACCATGGCTAACAGAGCGCACACCCCCCCTCACACTGCAAGTCGCAGAAAAAGGCACTAGAGTGGGGCTGTTGCTAACCGTAGAAAAGTAAAAGCGATATACATTCATAGCTCACAGGTTTTCTTAAACGCAATCTGGGAATAAATACACAAAATGCACTTGTAGAAAAATAAAATGTTAAAAAAAGCGTGGCCCCTATTTTTTTTTGTTTCTTATTATTTTTGGATTCTGGGAGACAAGTATGGCTACTTTTTCTCTGCTTTTTTTAACCCCCCCACCCTTCCCTTCCCAACCTGCCACTTAGAAGGCATTTCAGGAGTGATCCTCCACTGCTCTGGCCGCGAGCAGTCGAGCCCTTTCATGCACACCAATATGGGAATAAGAAAGGAGGAGGAGGAGGGTGGAGAGAAGAGATGAAGTGAGGGGCCTTCAATGGGAGGGAGGAAGAGGGAGGGAAGGAGGAGGTCAAGGCTCAGCTTTCAGTGCGAGGAAGTAGAGAGAGACTCAACAGATGACATGTGTTTCCAAATGTACAGACAACAGAGAAACCTCCACCAAGGCACTCTGTGTCTCACAATCAATCAATCAATCAATCTCACACACACACACACACACACACACACACACACACACACACACACACACACACACACATCCCAGTGTCTACATGTTCAGTGTAACTTTGGGCCAATAATGTGCATGAATCCAGGTACCACTTTACTTTAATTGATAAACACTTCTCAATTAATGTATGTTTAAAGAGCATTTTAAAGTGATTATAAATGAACATAGTTTGTGTAATTACAAAAGAGTTTTTGTTATCTGTTTAATTAACAGGCTCCACTTTGAGGTGCTCTTATGACGAGTTGTAGCCGTTGACATTTAAATGAAAAAACACTTTTATCTGCTTACAGCTACATAGTAAGTGTAAACATATCAGTAATCATTTATCAAAGGTTCTTAACTGATTTAAAATGCTAGCAAGTGGGACAATTAAAGTGAAGTGTCACCTGAAATAAACTCTATTTGTACTAATATGTGTGCGTGTGTGTGTGTGTATGTGTGTGTGTTTGTGTGTGAGTGAGTGAGTGTGTGCGTGTTTGTTGGGGAGCACGGTTTGTGCTCATACTTCATAAACAAAGAGATGCTAGTAGTGGCAAAGACAACATATCCTCTTAAACTTTAGCAGCGCTACTCACATGCACCAGACGCACACGCACACACACACGCGCACGCGCACACACGCACGCACACACACACACACACACACACACACACTCATGACTTCAGAGTATGTCAGGAGAGAAATGAGCTCCAGCTGACAGCAGGGGGAAGGGAACTGGAGTGTTCTGCCGAGTAAGGACTGTGCGTGTGAAGGATGGAGAGAAAGGGGTGGTGGTGGGGGGGAGTGAAATGGTGTGTGTATGGGGGTGGGGTGGGGGGGTGGGGGGGGCTTTGCAAAGGCAAGAGCAATAAGAGTACAGGGGGGTGAAGGAGGGGGTGTGGGGTGCATTCCTCAGACTCAAAAAAAAGAGATGTGTAGTAAAAATCCTGACAGAGTTCAGCTACTCCTCCGCTCCTCTTCTCCTCCACACCTCCCCCTTTTGTCCCCCAGCCTCACCTGAAGGCGGAGTGTCTTCATGTGTGCTTGTGTTTGTTTGTGTGTTTCGGTTTGTGTGGTAGTTGTTCCATAGTTCAGTCAGGCCTAGGAGACAGCTGCGACAAATGCTGCAGCTCGTCTCCTCGTAAAAAAAAAAAAAAGAAAAAAAAAAAAAAGGGAGACATGGTGGCGTGTCTACCTCCGCCTCCGCTGCTGTAATCCGCACATAGGCTCCCCCACACCAGGTACCACTTCCTGTCACGTGGCTGTGGCCTCCAGGTAGCTCTGTAGTTTGCGAACAGTGGACTCGTCCAGTGAAAAGAGGTCAAAGTCAAAGGTGGTGTTGGTGACGTTGAAGTGGCCCGTCTCCTCGATCAGGTTTACTATCTGATGGAGCAGAGAGAGAAGAGTGATACATGATTACTATTCAATGTAAAAATGGGCACAGAAATCAGAAATACTAGATTCAATCAGGTGGTGGTGTAGATTGGGAGGATGAAAAGACCAAAGGGTTTTGAAAAGGAAGGTTAGTTTTCTATTTTGTATTTTGAACAACATGGGAAAAAAAAAAAAAGATGTTAAAAAAAAAGATGTGAATAAATAAAGGATACAGTTTGGGCAATCAAACTGGTCACAGGTTAAACAAAAATAAATAAACACATGTATTAATGCCTGGAGGGAAATGGTGGAGTTTAAGTTGCTTTTATACAGAATGTAAGCATAAAGGAAATCAAAATCAAAACGTGAAGAATGACAGAATTATACATACAAAACATAAACAACACAATATGTATAAAGAAGATGATATGCACCACACAACTCGGCAGGAGTGGGAGTGGATCCTGTGACCAGCGGTGCGAGGACTGTAGCCTGTGCAGCCTGCACCTGCTTTGAAAACTCACCCGCACCGCCCCTAGTAAAACATGTGAAGGATGGAAGATAGGCTGAAAACACACCTGCTGAAGGACATTACGCTCCCTTAAAGCCATCAGTCGGCGATGGAGGTCCACCAACTCTTCTGTGTAGGCCTGCCGTGAGGAGATAGGACATGTAGTTAAACATTAAAGCTGAAGTTTCTATATTTTTTTAATTCATTGTTTGTTGAATTTGAATGTAACGTGATGTTGTCAACAAGTCTTTGATGTCAGTGGGGCCTTTGGTTTATTAAAAGTAAGATAAAAAAAAATGAATCTCAACAATCTCCTTCAAACTGATTAATCTTCAAATGTGAATTTAAATCACAATTTGCAATCACAACCTCACTTTCAGAGCGCTTCTCATTGACGTTTATTGTTGCTAGGTTACTAAAGTTAACTTCTGCTTCCCTCTCTAGTGACTGTTAGGTCTGACTTAGAAAGCTCTGTGTGCTTACTGTTTAGTTTATTTATGTTTAGTTATTTAAGCTTATCTCAAAGAAAACACCAAAACCAGTTAAAGGAATCCTGTCCTGGCATTAGCAGCTGTACCCTCGAAAAGGAAAAGGCAGATTAGTCAGATCTGCCATTGTCGCTGCCAAAGCTAATGTTAGAAGACCCGCCCTTCGTGATTTGATTGTTTGGTGAGGGAAAAGTGATATTTAAAGAGCGCGGTGGTGTTGTGCCAAAAGTTGAAACTATTTTCAACTGAGAGAGCTGTGAGTGCAGTGACCAGAATCAGCTGACGTTGAGGGAGTTTTTGCGCTCTGGGTGCTGATCGCTCAAAATGCTACACTACATTGGTTTTGTTGTTAAAATGGGCCGGCCAGCACAAATATAGCCGTCAATGGGGCGGCAGTAGTTCAGTCCATGTGATTCGGGCTTATGTGTGTGAGAAGCGTGTCCCTATAAAAATAACAGAGTGTACATTTCCCTCAGGGATTAATAAAGGATATCAAAATAACAAAATAAAACAATCAATAGACACAGGGAATATATCAGCTCAGCAGAGTTTTACCACTACATGAATCATCTGCTCACGAAAAGGAGAATAGAGATTTCATAGAGTAGAGTCTGTCAGCATATCTGTTCAAATTCACTGACCTTCACGCCATCTTGAACTCATCAATGCACTTGTTGAACGATGATGAAGTCCTATGTGTGAGTGTATGTGTGTGAAAGAGTGGAAATAAAAAAAAGTTTGATTTACCCTTCCTACCTTGTCGTATCCCTTCTTCAACACCTTATCTGAGCGGAAAGAGGAATCAGGACTCTTTCTGCCTGAAACCTTCAGAAGGAGATCAGAAAGATAGATAGATAGAGAGAGAGAGAGAGAGAGAGAGAGAGAGGGAGAGAGAGAGAGGGCAACACAGAGAGACACAGAGAGAGAGAGAGAGAGAGCAAGAGAGAGAGAGAGAAAGTGGAAAAAAAGGGGAGAAAACAAAGAGAGCGGATGCAAAGTAGAGAGATAGAGTGACAGGACTATCAGACTATTTTGGACAACAATGACAGTCAATTTCACTTTTTTCATTCTTTTAGATTGTGATGACTTTTGGTAAAGTAAGGTAAAGTACTGATAAAAAACAATGATGAAGGCACTCTGTGTGACAGTCTCATTTTACAGCAATAAAAATAAATGGAATGGGACAAAAACTTCCCATCATCTGCAGATGAAAATGAATGGAATGAGTAGGACAATCATGTTTTGCTTTATCTGTTATCACAAAGCCACAAAACGTTTAAGGTTGCTTGTGATTTTCACCCTAAGTAATTACAGCTGAAACTTAAATTGCACCCTGCTGTTGTTGTGTAAGTAACAGATTCCGAATGCTGAATGTGTTAACGGTTGTTGTCTGGTGGGCAATCTGGACATTAAAAAAACATCATGTTCTGAAATCAACAATAAGCTATCTCTATTTACAGCTAACTCTTGCTTTACACTGTTCTTTATAAATAGTGTTTAGTTTGACTCAGACTCTGGATTCTCCAAAATAGAAAACCTCAAAATCTTTAGTTATTATTTCCTTACAAAACCACAGAGACTCACACTACACTGTAATGCTCACACGTCTGTTAGCCATTAAGCAAACTCAGGAACACTTTGATATTATCAGGAATAAGTAAGAGAATGAGTTCAATCTGTAAAAAGGGCCATGTGTGATTAAAGCTCTTGTTGGTTCATCAATGACCGCAGGTCGTGAAACGAGGTCAGTGTGACTCACTTTGTTGTTGGAGGAGTTGTGTTTCTGAGGGGGAGGGGCCAGGCCTCGACTGGGGCTGTGTGAGCCGTCGCTGCTGTCACTCTCGCTGTCCAGGCTAAGTCTGCGGGGGTACAGGGCAATGTCAGAGATCAAACATATACACCCAGACTGACAGACAGAACACAGTGCTGTAGTACTTTAGAGTTGTACTTGGATCTGTGGATGTGTCTGTGATTATCGTCATCAATTGTTGCTTATATAGGGTTAGTAGTAGTCAATTAAATACGCTCTTTCAGTTTACCAAGAGATGCACAAAAAAATAAAATCAAACTAGTTAAAAATATTGAGAACAAACAAACATCTGCTTCCCTGTCTGTTAGACCGTGTGAGGTGAGTCAAATAAAATCTCTGGGGCAAATCTTGTCAGCCTCTATAATATCAATGTTGAGTCATGTCATACTGCGATAACAGACAGCTGAACTGTAGAGATATGATTTTCTGTAAAAAAGAAACTTGGTAACTCTGTCTAGTTGTTGTAGTGACACCCATGTCCATAACGACTCAGAGTATACGTGGTGGATTTGCAGGAATATCAAGCATGAAAATTCAATCAGCCTGTATTCTCACTCTCTAAGAAGCCATCAAGTCTAAAGCTGTAAGTGTTAAAAAAAATAAAAATAAAGGCTGACAGGTTTCTCTTATTTACAACAGCTACTGTTAATAACCTGTCTGGGGTTAAAAAGTCATTCTGTTGGGGCGCTGGTGGCGCAATGATGGAGGCTGTAGTCTCAAGCGGGCAGCCCGGGTTCACATCCCACCTGTGGCTTCTTTCCCGCATGTCATTCCTCACTCTCTCTCCCTGATTTCCACTGTCCTATCTATCCATTAAAGGCACAAAAAGCCCAAAAATAAAGCTTAAGAGAAAGTCATTCTGCTGTTGTTAATGGTAATAAGTTGTTCATTAGTGGATTCTGGGTAAGGGGCTCTGCAGAAGTGATTTTCTGCAGCTGAATGTACTCTGCTGGTCTCACAGAGCGATCGAGGACCAGTTGATCAAAGATCTAAAGAGGTCTGTAGTGAAACTGACCGAGAGTCGCGGTTAGGAGGGTTGGTCTTAACGGGGGTCTCTTCCTCCGAACTGCTGTCGTCATCGTCTGACTCTTCGGACTGGATCTCCTCCACCATGGACCGAAGGGGACCTGGGAGAGGACAGAGACAGACAATCTTTATAACACTGACCTTCATCATATGAATCCAGCAAACATGTAACCTGTCCCAATTGAACAAGGTGTATGGCCAAATAAAAACCATGAAGGGTCTCTCTACCTTGTCCTTGTTTCTGTCCTGGCTCAAAGTCTGAATCTGAACTGGAGTCTGAGCTCGAACTGGAGTTGGAAGGACTGGAAGGGGCCGACTGCTGCAAAAATAAAAACATGGAGAAAAAGAAATGAAAAAAAAAAAGAGGTCTGTGCTTCAAGAGAATATAAAGGTTAAGGGATTGAGTTCAGATAAAGATTTGGAACAAATAATGAGAATTTTAAGGAAAAGTGCCGTAACTGAGAACAGCCGTCATCATGTCTCTGTTTTGATTCTGTGTCTGCTTTATATTGGTTTTCAAGTCTGTGAAATGACTGTCTTGCCTCTGTTACTACTTTTGAAGACAGCACTGAAGGGGGAACACTTTGTCCCCCATCACGCCTCCATGACATTTGATTTCACAGGGGCGTAAATATCCCGGCTTGAAACGACATGCATCTCTACAAATGCAGCTATAAAACAAATTAAATAAGCATACAATTGAGAAAAAAAACAGTATGACATTTGACCCAACATTGATCCATCAAGAGCGCAGCACTCAAGTTACAGGTCACTTTACCAGAAAGACTTTCACAGCATATCATTTGCTCATTTTTTAATCTTTTATTTAAAGCAAAAATATGTAAACACTGCCAAGTTTCGGTAAAAACTGAACTTCAAATGTGCTTTTTATCATCTTGAATCAAAGTAAATGTATAAATTGAATATTGTAGATGTTACACTGGGCCTGAGGACAATGTGACAGTAAGTTTTTATGACCAAACAATTCATGTGCTGGCTAAAATAAAAGGCAGGATTTTGTTGTTACAAAAGGCTCAAGTTTCTAAGGGCACACTCACACTAGTCAACCCGTACCGTGTCCAAGCACGTTTGACCCCCAAAGTCCAGTTCATTTGACTAGTGTGAGTGCTGATATGTACATAACCACAGTACACCTCTTTGGCCCTGGCACGGATGGAAGAGGTGTGCTTCGGCACGGTACAATAGCTTATGCACGAGCTCAAGCACGTGCCTAATGTGAGTGTGCCCCAAGAGGTTTAAATTAGCAGCATTTAACTTGAGCAGCCAACAGTTTGACCTCTACTTTTTCAGAAGTTTGGGGCAAGTAAAAGCAGCAAATTTCATTTATTCCAGCATCTTAACAGAGGCCTGCAGCTGGGTTAGAGAAGTTAGCGGTAAAGGACATTGTCAGGTTGAAAACATTTATTAACAAGCAACTAACAATGGTGGCTTCAAACCGTCTGAAGTCAGTTAATGGATGTTTGTTTTAAGTCAAAATCAGAGATGATATTTTTAGTTACTACAACTGAGCCCTTCAGTATGATAGTTTAAAATAATTTCAAAACGCATCTTTTTTTTAATTCTAATGAAGTCTGACAAGTTTAAACAGATATAATACTTTGAAGCCAGCATACCTCCGACTTTGAAGATGCTTCATCTTCTGAATTCGACTCTTCAGACACTGGAAGTTTCTTGGGTTCCTTCGGCTCCTGCGTGTCGTTTTTACCTTTGGGCCAGCGCCCTTTGTCCTTGGAGGGTTTCCTCTCGGTGTACGGCTGGTTGACTGATGTCGACGAGGAGACTCGAGGAGAAGATCCTGTGAAGGGTCCGGTGCTCGGCCCCTTCGGGCCATCTGAGCTGGCCTTCTTCTGCTTCTTTGCGCTGGGTTTGGGAGACTCCACGGTGGAGGGCCGTTTCCCTGGAGCTTTGGACTCTGCAGTCCCTCCTCCCCCACCTCCCCCGCCACTCCCTGCCCCCCCTCCTTTAGGGGACATGCCCTCCATCTTTGACTCCTTCAGGGTGAGTTTAGGCTCCTTGAAGGCAGCCTTGGGTAGGACCTTAACCTCATCCTTCACTTTGATCTCTGACGGCTTCTTTGACGAAGAGGAGGAAGAAGGATCACGCCCACTCTTGCTGCTTCCGTCTCTGTCGTTGTCTCCTTTCGACGTGGCTTTGCTTTCAGAGTCTTTTCGGGGACGTTCACGGTGTTCCTTAGTCAGCTTGTGAGGTTTGGGTCCTTTGCTGCTGCCACCACTTCCTTCTTTGCTGGGTTCCTGTATAGAAAAACATCTGTCATCAACAATCTCCCCTGTTAGAACTCATCCTAAGTCCTCGTAGAAGGATACAGGAGTTTTCTCGTCAGGACTGTAATCACATTATTTATCACATTTTTATTTGGCTGAATGCAAAAGTGAGTTTTATAACATGTTAAAGTTCTGCTGGTCAAATGTTTATCCGGTTAACTATTTTAGCATGTTTTTCTTACAAATATTGGGTAATTATAACTTAAAGGTAATCAGAGTATGATTGGAATGACATTAGTTTCTCAAACATTTCCAGGTAGAGGGATCAGCCATCAGTGGAACTTGTTTTACATCACTTGTTACAAAGTCCTGCCCGAAAGCAGATTGTATGCAGAAAAAAAACTGAAAACAAATGCATCTGAAAGGCTGATACAAAACCAGTGGCAACAAAGGAAATCAGAAATACTTTATTAATCTGTTGGGGGGGGTTCGTTACAGTAGCTCTCAAGCACAATATAGAAGGAAATGTAGAAATGAGAAATTAAAAAGTAAGGGGATAACTTTTCCCACTGTTCTGTACTGATATGATCCTTATTTTGGCAGATAAGCTCCCTCAGTGGCTCTGCATTCATGTACACAGATGCTGATAAACAGCTGGCAGTCATTAGAAGCCTGAGTCAGCCTGTCCTGGAGATCGGTTTCATGATTTTGTTAAAGGCTAACACGGCTCAATGTGACATTAAAAAAATTAAACAAATCTTCAGAAAAATGTCAATAAAAAAAGTCTGAAATGATCAATGTCATTTTTACACTTTCTGGTTGAAATCGATGATCAAGCTCACAGTTACAAATAAGGAATCAAACCAACCTTCGACACATGGGAGGTCTTGGTTTTCTTGGGGTCTGAGAAGGCAGAGAGGGGGATGGTAGGGAGCATCGGGTAGTCCGGACTGGGCCTCGACACGGCTTCAGCTCCCTCTGGAACCACCAATACCTACAATTCAAGACGAGAAGAGACACATGAGTTTTTTCTGTGTGGACATTTACAGCCACACTGTGATATCTAAAATCCCAAATACAGCAAAGGAAATGTATTTATCTTGGCTGAAAACAGGCTCATTATTGAGTTGTTTTTTCCTAAGACAATGTTCAGTGACTCATGGTTGGATCATTTCCATAGTTTGACTGGTCATTCAACAGGTATGGTTGATTCATCGGCACAAAAAAGGACCAACAACTGCAGTGGAAAATACAAATTGGGGAGAGGCACTTATTTCAACTCCGAAGTGACATTTCGGTGAGAAACAGCTAAATGTGTTTCTAAGAAAACAGAGTAAATGCTGAATCCTTTTTTGTTGAGAACCAAACTGTGGATGCTCTACGTGTTATACTAGATGTGTTAAACTAAGTCTAGTCAAGAATATGTTATCATAACAATCATGTCATAAAACTACTTGTGTCCTTGTGTCCACCTTGGGGTTTTTTCTGAGCGCCAGCGTCTTTTTTTCGATTTTTTTTTAATGAGTTGAGAGCGTTTGAAGCAGTAGGCCTGGAGAAAAAGCGCATCGCCAAGCATCTTCTTTCCCCGAGCCTTTTTTTGTGAGGCCGTTCTGAGCGCTCAAGTTGGAAATCTTTTAACTTTTCAGAAAGAGACAGACTGTTATCATAGAGACAGGACTGATGTGTAGCACTTTCAACACTAGGTGGACACAAGGCTCTATTCATTGTCTTTAAAGGACAATGGGAACAAATACTGGAAAATTAGGATCGCGTCAATTATTGAGTCTTTTAACTGATTGTCTTCCTGTGTGTGCATTATGTCCTGGGCTTGTTTTCATTGTTTGTGCTGTAATGTCGTAGCCCTAGTAAGTTATTTCTTGTTTTAAAATGTGTGTCTACTATATATGAAACAGATTGGGTTAATTGGTCAGGTGGTATGATTGAGTGTTAATAGGTCACGGGTCAACAGGAAATGGTGGCATAAGTGGAGGGAACACAGGGTTCTTACTGTAACGAATCTGTAAACAAACGACGATAAACATTTATAATCTCGGCAACAAGAATTCATCATATCATCATCACGCTTTGGTCTGCTTTATATGTTACAATAAACGGGAACTTCACAAAGACATTTGTTTATTTTTTTACTTACGCATCAAGACCTTTCCATACACCTAATCAAGTGACGATTAGAAATGTGGACATTGGGTAGTCACTACACATGTTATTGTTTCTTATAGAAAGCAAAAAGTAATAACTGTTTATCTGAAAAAGAAACATCTAAGACCTTCCCCTTTTTCAGAAATGTAGTTTAAAACTCCATGTGGCAGTTTCAGCTAGGAAACTATTGTTGACTATAGACTACAGTCACTTATTTAGCCAACAGTACAGTCAACCTGGAGAGCAGCCAATGTGTCAGTCTGCCTCACCCCTCCAGCCTTGATCAGCTTTCTCCTGAATTCTTTGGTGGGGTTGTTGAAGGTGAGCTTTTCACAGCGTAGGTGGTTGACGGGTGGATTGCCCTCCAAGTTAAGGAAAAGGTCGTAGTTGAAACACACCTTTTTTGGCTCCTCCTGAAGAGAGACAATGGGATAAAAACTGTTTTAACTCTCTTTAAAATGAACAGCATGTGCAAAACAAACCGTAGTGTATGTCTTTCTGCCCTGCGTACTCTCTCCATTCAACACCTGCATATTTCACAACAAAAGATAAAAGCTGAATGAATGAACCATCACCCTGGAAGTCAATAAAACATACAGACATAGCCGGAGCCGGCAAGATAAGAAAACATTCCTGAGAGAAGCTGAAGTGATGTGGACAATTACATTAAAGGAAAAGGCATCAGGACGCTTTTGGGGGGGGTTTATAATCAAATGTCTTCCTGTAAATGCGGATGAATAAATGGCTGCTGATATTTACACTCCTCTTGCTTGCCTTTTTAAGTATTTGCTTCATCTTCTTGACAGATGTGCCTATTGTGTAGAACCTAATTGCACATAAGAGGACGAGGTAACATTTTTGGGTTCAGTCCAGAGGGGTTAATTTCATGAAGAACTGCAAGAGATGGTGCTACGCTAATGTGCACATATGTCTAAAGCACTGTGGCTGTGTAGCTTGTAATGAGAGTTAAGTGGTTCTTTCTTTAATTATTCATTTGAAAGGCTCAGGGAGACTTGAAGGTGCCAGTGTAAAAGTGTGTGCTTGTTTTTTTTTTTTTTTTTTGAAACAGTGCCTTATTAAAGTCATGTTTCAACACAAAATCATGAATTTGGATTGACTGACTGGATTCATAAAAACTGAATAACTTAACCAACACTGTAACATATTAACAATATATATACACTTGGGTTGTTTGTAGAGCGGACGCCCCATGTACAGAGGCTGCAGTCCTCATCACACTGGAGTCAGGTTTGATACAAAATAAACTATGTGAACGGTTATTTTAGCTGTCAATGTAGAAATGTTTATGTTGACAAACTCACTAATGGCCGTTTGAAATGTGTCCTTTCTCCTTAGCTTGTTTTTCACGATAAAAGCTCAAGTTGAATAACCACAACTTCGATACCTTTTTTGCCGCGTAAAGATCCAAACCAGACCTTGCAATGAAAACCCTCAACAAGTTTTCTGTTCAGATCAACTGTCAGAACTAAGTCAGTTTTTCCCCTTTCACCTTGCTAATGCCTCAAGACTTATTGCCTACATCTATTTTGTCCTCTTAAAGGCTCAGTATTTTTAAAACATCTTATTTTCTTGATGGTGAATCCATCACATTGCAGCTCTGAGACATTTTCCTGTTATTTACTTACAGACAAAAGTAACAAGGAGACAACTTCACACAATACTAATTCAAAAATGTGCATGAATTGTTACTAAATGACTAAATGAGTTTCCAGCAACAGGAAAGTCTGGGCTGCTTAATTTTTCTGTTGTTGAGACATCAATCTCACCTTGTTCTAAGGTCGTCATGATAGCAGAATTTTGAAAACTTGTTAACGACAAAAGACATTGATACCTGTTTGGATACCACGGCAACAAAAATTGAAGTCCTGGGCAGCCAAAATTGTAAATGTTTCTTGTTTTATCAACAAATCTGTACATAGTGCCGGTACAGAAAAGTCAATGAGCACATACAGACTCATTTTAAATACTGTTAGAAGTAACAAAGGGCACAACAAGCTGAATTGGGTATATCATTCAGTGTCAGATATCACTCATAATCCAGAAGAAGTGTGTGTGACGATGTCTGTAACAGCACAGACTCTGCCTTCTGCCTGTGTTTTCAGGGGTTTTTTATATCAGGTTGCTGTGTTTAAAACATTTTGGCTGTTAATCATGTTGCAGCGGAGAGGAGCCCACACAAAACACTACGCAGGTCAGGTGATTGAAACGCAGCAACCAGGTGACATCGGCGCATCTCTACATGAGACGCTAATGTAACTTGTCTAACTGTATGAATGAAAACAGTCTGCCTCATGGGGGCTGCATGAGAGGGCTGACAAAGGGCAGAGCGGAGACACACACAGCGGGCAGGATGAGACGTGACTGCATGTAAACAAAATCCATCACCTCACTGCAGGATTTGGAGGAGATACGGAGGTTTTTATAGGTTCTCAAGAGTGTGAACACTGAGACATAATCAGAAAATAACATCTTATATCTCTGTGAAAGCCTTTTTTCCCCTTTACCTTCTCCACTTCCTCCCTATGTCGCTCTACCACCATCGCTCTCTCTGTTGCTCACAGTAGCTTCGGTTGATAACATGAGTGTAGAGCGGTTTCTGATATACTTTCCATGTAAATAAAAGAGATTGTAAGATTTGAAAGGACAAGGCATCAAAAAGTATTTAAGTATTGAAAATGTGACACCCTTACCTTGTTCTTGAAGTAAACCTCAATAGGCATAAGGAAGCCTGCGTAGCCCGACTCCTCCACTTTGTATGGAGGCTCCTTGCACACTATAGACAAAGACAAAGACTCACATTACTCTTATCAGCAGAATGACTTATGGAAATAATTATCAAATTAACAGGGTAAGAAAACACATTTTTTAGTCTCCCTCAAAATAAGATTAAAAAAACAAACAAATGTTACATCATTTGACAAATGTCATAAAGTCTAAATTTAAAATCTCAGCTAAATCTGATATTCTACAATTCACTTAGCAGACATTTTTGTCCAAAGCGACGTACATCTGAGAGTCAGAACAACACAAGCAAGGACGTAGAGAAGAGGAAACAACGTCAGTAAGTGCCAACCAACAGCTTAGGACACAGCACAGGGGAAGACAGGCGCTAATGCAATGTACAGAAAAGTTTGTTTTTTAAATCCTCATCCTTATCAACATCAACAGCTTCCTCATCAGTATCATTATCATCATGAACATTCTAATCAACATCAGATGTCCGTCTACGAAACATCTGACACTCTAAATCCATACTCAACTGTTGTATGACACAGAAGTATTTAGTATATCTTCACTGAGAATGACATAAAAAAGGAAACTGACAGAAACTTTAGTAGTTAAAACAGGTTTCACACAGATTTTGAACGCATTTCAAATGTAATTACTGACAGTTTTTTTTTTAATGCAGCTGTTTCAATATGAAGAGAAAAACAGGAAGTCCTTCTTAAAACAAGGGAATTATAACACTAGTGCCCTGCATTTTAGACAGTTTCTTCATGCCCTACCTTTGCTTTGACCTCTGTGAGTGACACTATTTACAACTCAAAGAACTTTTAGAACATTATTGCACCTGATAGAGACTCTTATAATGCACTGATGAGACAACAGCTGCATAATACCTCAAAAAGAAACACAAAAAATGTATTCTTAGGGCGTGGTCACACTGGCCATCTGTACCGTGCCGTACTCAAGCACGATTGGCCCCCCGCTGCGCCATTCCCACGCTGGCCGGCACGGGCCGCGGTCACACTACACAGGAATATCCGTGCTTAAGCACGATTACCTCTTGTACATAACGTCGTAATACAACGCATGCTATTATTATGAAGCGTGCTCAGTTGACAAACAGGCGGACTAGAGAGAGAGAGAGAGAGAGAGAGAGAGAGAGAGAGAGAGAGAGAGAGAGAGAGAGAGAGAGAGAGAGAGAGAGAGAGAGAGAGAGAGAGTAAAAGGTACGCGCAGTCGAGTCTGTGTCTGCACATCGGAGAACAACATAAAGCATGACAGCTACTTTACTGACTTTGCGGGTTAATTTAAGCCATTTTAATCAGACACAGCCATAAATACATTAAAAAATAAAATAGACACGCGGCCAAGTCTGCGGCCGCACATCGGAGAACAACACAGAGAACATGACAGCTACTTTGTGGCTTATATTGTGTCATTTTAGTCAGATACAGCCATGAAAGTCCGAATTTCTCCATAATGAAGGCTGTCAGCGTTGTGTACACGCATGCTTGTGCTCGTGCTTGAAGTGAACTGCGGTGAAGCACACCTCTCTGAAGTGTGCCAAAGCCAAGGAAGTGTACCGTGCCTGAGCACGACACGGAGCGGTCACACTGGCCAAACGAACTGGACTCTAGGGTTGAAGTGTGCTTGGGCATGGTACAGATGGCCAGTGAGACCGCGCCCTTAAGCACTTAGACTAGTATCTCCCAAAATGTCTAAATCAGAACTCTTCTTTCAACACCTTAAACACACTCAAACACAGTGTAGGTCTTCAGCTATGCAAACTGGTCTTGCATTACAGAGAATAAGAGATGATGCGTTTGTGTTCAGCTGTTGACACTTCTTTATTTTACCTCTCTTGGGTTTGGGGAAGCTGTCGTGCAGCCGGAAGACGACCTTCTCTACAAAGTGCTGGATGTCGCCGGTCTCTGGCCCTCGGACAAACACCATCCAGTCGTGGGTGAAGCCTTCTGAAGTTACTTTCTTTCTAAGCTGGGCTCTGTGGCCCAACTCCAGCTTCACTTGCACCGTGCACTGCGAAGATGAGAATAGAAACAAAAGAGTCAAATACTGTTAAGTAATAGACATGACACTGTGCATCCAGAAGAAAATACACGAGTAAAAGAGAAGTGTAGAAAGTGATCTACCAGGGATGAAGGAGAAGCAACAGATTTCATACAACTGTGTCGAGGCCTTGAGATTGTTTTCATTCTCTGCTGAATTATTTAAATCATGATAAGATTAACATGCAAAATGAATGCTTTTTTCTCTTGAAGCTATTCTCATATAACCTGTTTAAGGTACCACATATTGTGACACATTCTCCACTTTGATATTGAAAATCGAACTAGACTGACTCTAAACGAGGACTCAATGTAAGCATTCTGTGGGAGAAAGTTCTGCTTGTTTACATAAAACAATATTTCTTATTTGCTGCCATGAATTCAGATTTTTTTTGATGTGTTCATTACTAATGCTCATATCCCAAATATGAATTAGTGATTAATGGCAAAGCAACACAAGTGACTTAAACATATTGAAAACATAAAGAATCTTGGCACACAAAATAAGACTTTAGGCTGGTGATAATATGAAATCAGGGCAATTATTATTTTGTTTTTCTTATTGACACATTGAACAAAACCCTTTGTTTTGAATATTATTTGGAGTTTATACTGAGGAGGGGTGGACTCACACATTAGGCCTGGACATACACAAAACTTGACCAGTGTTGGGATGCTCCCTGGTGCAATGGGAGTGATTATATCTGACTGAGGCAACAGATTTCAAAGGTTCGACCAGAAGAGGGGCACATTCTTGGCCCACCTCTGTCTGCCAAGAACAATTACAACAACAGGACGAGCGAGTGAGACAGTGATGGTGGAGATTGGCAAAGCAAGTGAAGAGGCTATGGAGATTGAGGGCAGTGGATGGTGGGTGTTGGGTGGTGGTGATGATGATGGAGGGGGGGGCGAAAGGCACTTCATGTCCAGGGGTCGACTGAAGAATGTGGGGATTTTGGCCCCGCCAGAGAGCAGCTCGTGAGTGGGGACTGAGTGGGGGGATTAGAGGGGACAGGATTGAGATGAGCTAGTCTGGCACCCTCTCACTCACACACACACACACACACACACACACACACACACACAAAGATACACACAGTTGCCCTGCCTGGCATTCTGCCCGGTCAGTCTGTGGCGGTAATGCCCTAAAACTCCACACCCCAACACACTGAGGAACGTAGAGTCCCCAAAGTCTTCAACAAACACCCAACAACAACAACAACAGAAAATCTACTGAATCAAGAATATGATTTTTATTTTTATCTTTAAACACACTAAGTATTTGATCTTAAAACGAGAGCTTCAAAAACGTGTTATTGCAATGTTTTTATATTGTTATGGTAAAAAAAAAAAGAGTTTTTTTTATCTTTATAGTTTCTACATAAAAATTTGAGGTGGTCCAATGATATTGGATGTTACAGCAACTGTGATCAAAACAAATGCTGACACCACTCTTCTAATTGTATTTGGATGGTGGTTTGTTCTTCACACCAATATACATTTTAAGTAAAATGAATCATTTCAAACAAAGCCATGTATTGAATACTAACCCCTGTATATTAACACCAACAAAGCTGCCCCGTTCTTGCCAATACACTGCTCTACTTATAAAAGGGAGAGCTGAGCCTCTTTCGTACCCTGGTCTTCCATTCTTGTATTAAGTAACTCTAGTCCACCTAAGTTTAAGTAGTTCCTTTATTTTGCCACGTGAATGTGTACATTTTGTAAACATGATTTTTACAATACTAGATTTTGAAAATTTGATGTGTAAAATTCAGACTATATTGGTACCTGTTTCGATACCATGGCAACACAAAGCCAACACACCCAATACTCATTTAAATAATAGAGACCGTATCATGTGCTACTAAAAAATATCCAAGTGTCAAACATTATGACAACCTCAGTCTACATATAAATCTATGTCTGCATCTGCGGTGGGGCTTCATGTTCTCAAAGATTTTGTGCAATCTGGAGGACTTGTTCCTATTTGATTTCAGCACAAAAACAAATATTGAGCATCAATACTCCACAGACAAATTTCCATTATTTTTCACATATTTAATCAGTAAATAAATAAATCTCGGAGACTATCTGAAGATGAGTCAATGACTGATTTAATCACAACATAAAGCTAAGTTGATGGGTTGCAGCTAATGATTGTTTTTCCATCAGTGAAGCTTTAGATCTTGACGCTTGATCATTTTGTCTGTGAGAGGCGGAAAATTCAAATTAGAATTTCCAGCTGCCCAAAACGATGTCTTTATATGTTTGATGATGAAAAGATTTTTGGCTGGGAAAATAAACAGAACCACATTGAAATGGACACAAACTGTGTCAAACAGCCTGAACAAATGAGGCACCAGGGACATTTATATAAAAGAACAAAAGTTAATTCATATTCTCAACGCTACAAAAAGCAGATGGACTTGCAGCGACATATTTATTTAGCAATCTGCTAACACAGATACAAATCCAGACAACACAAAGTCACTCAAACTGAGATGGTGCATGCACTTGCTCTTTCTTTTTCATACACACAGCTCCAATTGAGGGGAAATACAAATTTTGGCAGACACGCTGGCTCCCACACAAAAACAATGAACTCCCAGCTGACATGTAAATAACACCCCTCATGACCAACTTTCATCAAATAAACAACCAATGAGAAGTCAGAAAATTTGCTCGGGAGGATACACACACACTACAGCAGCTGTTTGATGAAACTACAGGTTTCAGCGAATGCCTTCATTACTTTTAAGTAGACGACAGAAAAGAGCTGAAACACTTGCTTGTATCGGAAAATAGTCAATCCTGTGGAACAGCATCAGAGGCACAAATAGCTGCAGCACCCAAGAAAAAAAACAAGAGTATTGGAAACAAGGTGTGTTTGTAAGGAAAGCTGCATGACCACTCATCCTGGCATCCTGAAGGCAACGTAAATACGTGCAGATCCTATGACTACAACAAAGCAAAGATCTCATTATTTACATACAAAGTCAAAACCAGCCTACAGCACAAATTTAAACCAACACCTCTCCACAACAGTTTGAACGAGAATCCATCAGGAACAGCTACAAGTCATCAACTTTACATCAACTTTCAAAATCATCACATTGCTGATTTAGTTAGCTTTTCTTTTTCTGTCAATTTATGGAACAACCTACTTTGTTGACGAATCAAGAAAGTAATCAAACATTAATCAGCAACAAAAACAATCGTACACTGCAGCCCTGAACTGAACATTATTAGTTTCAGCAACACGTCAAGACAAACTGGCAACTAAGCATTTGATTACAAGGCTCAACAAATTCAACGCAGCTCTTTTGCATGCTACATAGTTAACATTCATGACAGGAGTACAGTTTTGTACTACCTCACTACCATTGGGTTGAGGGGCTTGAAGACTTCTGGATGAACACTCACAGATCTAGTTAAACTTCAAAGGTTGCCAGCACTGAATGGGGACTAGCTCCAAGAAAGTGGCTGAGCCACTTTTTGTGGGTGTGTGTGTGTGTGGCCTAACCATCTGAAATATAGTCCTGAATAGCCTCAGGCGTTTAAAGAGTAACCCACTTTGAAGCTATATCGCCCCTACATTTAGCAGAGATGTAATTTGGTTTACCACTTTTCTGTTCTCTGCAAAATAAATGATCCTGATGGCATAAATCTTAACTGGGCAAAGTCATGCATTCAAGAGAATTGAATGATTAAAGAGCTGATTTTGTAGGGGGGAAAATAGTTTACAAACCAGTCCTTACAACTATGTTTAATATTCTGGGTTCTTTGATTTTCTTTTTTTATAATTTTTTTTTTTTTAAATGACCAGACAAGGCATGGTTGGTCATCATGACTGGATTCAAGTTCAACGTTTTCCACACACAATTTAGACCTCATTCATGAATATTGTGGGCATTAAACATTAAACATTAAACAAGAGAGTTGGCAAAAAATAATGCAAAGATATTTTCACAACTCGTACGGTCTCTGCTGGTATAATTTAGCCGTGCATGTGAGGTTTGAGGCCGCTGGCAGTGGAGACACCACCCCTCCTCTGCTGCCCAACCTGGAGAGGACAAATCTTTTCCCCGGCGCCTTGTAGCGGCTCCTTAGCCTTTTAGCCCACGGCCGACACTCTCCTGGTAGGTACACTAGCTTAGCTTAGCTACACAAAACCCGCGATTCTAAACCATCTTCTTGCTGTTTGACAGTGTGCATTTGCGTTTTTGACAGAGCAGAAGGGAATAAACACAAGGTGTAAATCTCTTTGTGTGCCCCGTTGTTGCTGTAGCTCTGCAGCGGTGCTGAACGGTGTACAGACTGGAGCTAGCTAGCGGTAAATACCGATGTATGAGTGCCCCAGCTAGCATAGCTCCAGAGCCAAACAACTACGAGTTCATTAGCAGCAGGAGCATTTTTTTTTTCTTCTGGCTAGCAGAACAGAGGATTCATTCCTGCCCTGCCAGCGCAAAGCCTGCTGGCACTTTCTCTGTGAAAAGTTCAGACTCCACAAGGAGACACAAAAGCCACTGTACCTGGTTCTCCATGTTTCTCTGGCCTCAGTGATTGTTGTATTTATTTACAGCGGCGTTTGTGGAGCGTCTACCCAGCCTCTGCTCCTCATTGTGTGTCAATCCAGCCCAGAAGCGGAAGGCAGACGGCTCCCCTCCCCTTCCAGACGACTGCTGGCAGGCAACCAAAACAGAAAGCTCCCTCAGCCAATCAAGAAGCCGGAAATTTAAGCACTCTTGAAAGTAGCCTATCATAACGCGTGAGAGGCGGGACAGCGACTGAGCTGCAAATACAATTAAAGCATTTTCTGGGGGTTTTCTCGAGTGACAGCGAGCTTGTCCCAATGGCCTACAGCTCTGTTTCAATTGTAAAATGCACATGATGCTAATTGATTAATCGGGGCTTAATTGTTTAGGTTTCGCCATTCCTATTAGTGTGCTAATTAAATATCAATACCACCAACCTGAAAGGCGTATATCTTCCTCAGATAGTTGTGCCTCATAAATATGTCATTGTGTAGTATTGATCCTCCTATGTTTTGTAAACACAGCCTTTTACATGTTGTTATGATCCTTCTTATTGATCCAAGAAAAAATGTTTCTCTGTTATAAATCAGTTCATTTTTTTTTAGATAGAACTCACAGATACAAGCACATTTCCTTCAGTGCTGTAGTTGAGTGTTTTTTTTTATGTTGTTCTGTTTAGTTACACCATTTTCATCATTTTTAAGTTATTTTCTCTCGGAAAATGTAGTTAATGTTATCACTACATGCATCTTGTATCTAAAGTTACTTTGCAGATTTTGCTTTTTTTCATACAAACCACAAGATAAGTTTGTAAAAAGATACATTTACTACACAACAATATAGTTATAGTTAAAGCTTAACTGTTTGGACAACAAACACACATCAAAAATAACAGTTTAATACAAAATGTTTACTGTATAAAGAAAATACATTAATTGCAAGCATATTTTGATGAAATTATTGCATTTTTTGTTTTCAAATGACTTTACATTTTGAATCAGAACTCTTTAATCTTTACCTCGTACTAACTATATGATAATGTCTCCCATAACTGATAAAAAGCAAATGATGTGATTATTAGCAGGCACACGTTAAAACCAGTCTCTTTGCAGAAACATATGGCCGCTGTTTGGGAATTCCTTTAGATCCAAATTGAGAGTAATTCAACATACATTTTCTGGATAGGTTTCTGAATGAATGTATTATGTGTTAAACTTAAGGTTGATGCACTGATGTTTTTTTCAGGCCCTGTCTCATACATCCAGATGCAATTCTTCATTTGTAAAGAAAACAGCAAGTCTACTGACTAAAAACATCACTATTATACAGAGTCAGAGAGTGAGGGCCCTTTGCAGTCAGGTCTGTGGTGCTCAGGCTTTGATGTGAGATTATCGGGCCTCAGCTAAGTGACAGAAGGTCAGCGCTCTCTCACTGGTTTGGCGCCTCCTTTTCTCCCCCTGCCGATCAAAAACTGATCCATTCAGCCTCTCAGTCAATTTTCAGCTAAAGAGTTCCCACCTGGCTGTAAGACAGGACTCAGGAGGTAGGTCCCTCTTTGATTGAGACATCAACCTTTAAATCCTTTTTTTCAGTATGAAGGGAGAGGAAGAAAAACAAAATGAAGACATGACCTAGAGGTTTCTCTCCCACACACACACGCACACACACACGCACGCACACACGCACGCACGCGCACACACACACACACACACAGAATAGTTTAACCTAAGTCAAATGTTATAAAACTTATCCAAAATGCAATTTAGTGAAATATTACTTAAATTACTGAAAAAGATCATGACTGATTTTTTGTGTTTACTGCAAATAGGCTATTTTTTTTTTTAAAGGCCTGAACCAGAATCATGTTCAGTGCCTAGTATGTTTTCATAAAATGATTTTTCTCCTTGGCGCATTACACTTCATAGCAAATGAAAGAAAAAGCTAAGAAAATAATAAATTATCAATTAAAAAATGACATGGATATAATATAACAATATTTAGAATACGTGTTTTTAGAGGCAATGCAGCTTTATTTATGTAAACTTCAAAATCTCAAAGGATGAAAAAACAGGATATAAATACCATTTATACTCAATACCATCATCGAAAGGTACATTTGCAGCAAGAGGCAATCATAGCAGTCAAAGTAGATCTTTAATAAATGTCTTACTGAAAATTGTTCTAGTAATGTGCCAATCGTGGAAAGAAACAAAAAAAACACAGCCAAACTAATTTTCTGTGTACACATGCTTTCTGTGTACACATGCTTGTCCAATAAAACTTATTCAGATTCCCATCTGCACACACGTCTGGTTAATGTCGGTCTGGAACAAGCAAAAGTCAACCACTCAGGGCACACAACATCTGGCAGCCCTGCCGCGCCACCCTGCTAAACAACTCTCTTTGTAGTGAGTCACATGTGTTTGATATTTGTAACAAATCACGGGTATTGACTGTAAAATATATCACATGCTGAAATCAAGATACACAGCTTTCTTTAAGTACATGCAGAAAAGAGAGAAAGAGCCGGCAGGCACACGCTTTTAATTCACATATCTCAGTCTTACTGACTCTCACTAGTTAATATTATTTCCCCCCACAAACAATTTTAAATCGAGGTAGCTGAATAGTATGGTTGGCCTATATAAAATAATAAGACTTGCTGTTGCCACTGTCATTGTTTCAGTTGTTTCATGTCAGTTTAAGGCTTGGTGATACCACAACTTCCTCCTCTGCTTGGTTCCTTAAGAAAGAAAACAATGTGATGATGCCCAAGGGGGGTTAACTCTAACCTAAATAACAAACAATGTTCAGTACACCAAAAAGCAGGAAACAACATGTTTCTCTGTTAAATAAAAACAGGAGAATCAATTAGACAGAAACAAGAACTACAGCCCAAAGCCCTATTATACAAAATGTACTCCTGTTGTCATCTGCTAAAATAAAAAAGAAGCAGATTGTGCACTTTGGTCATTTACAGTTAAGTTTGATTTGTAGATATCTGGGTCAATACGTTGTGAACACTGGTTGATTGATTTTAACAAACACACTGCCAAATAGGCAATACTTTAATCCTAAGCGTCATGGTTATTGATTGGATTGATCAACACAGTTGTGACATGCTAAAACATGAGCAGGTTAAAAGTGTTACTAAAATGAATTTAGGTTCATACTACTGCACATTTCCTTCATGCCAGAGTTTGTGCAGGTATGCCGAGGTCTTGATTTTCTTCCGTGGGGTTATTGAGTCTGGATTGGACCCTGAGGCAGCTTCAGCTATACCTCTGGAACCAAAATGACCCAATGTACAGCCAAGGGCTATGTTTTTCTCTTTGAGTCTTTAAAAGCCACCTAAAATTGGACATGCATTGTGAATATTATATAGTCAAAGATGCGTCATTTACCTTGAGGATAGATCAAGACAAATTTGAGAATTACCAGAACAATATATTAGAGTTGCTACCACTGCTGTTTAAATTCAGTAAACATTAGGCTCCTCCCTCCAGCTTGAATCAGCTTTCTCCTGAATTCTTAAAGGGGCTTGCAAAAGGTGTGCTTCTCACAGTGTACAAGTTCATCCTCAGTGTTCAGGAATAGGTTGTATTTAAAACTCAGAATTCCTGCTCTAGGCTGCTACAGAGGATGTGTTTTTACAAAAAGCTGATGTTGCCATTTCATCGTGCAGTGTTATCAGACACCAGATAACAGCCACAGTTCTGCTCAGTTGAAGTCACAGCTAACTTTTCTTGTACAGACTGCTGTGAAAATCTTACGAGTTAAAAAACAAACAAAAAAACCTTCCCTCAAAACAGTCTAGGAGCCATCTGTTATCAGACAAGCAGAGAACATATAGTGTCTGATCCAGCCCTCTTATTCACTCAAGAGTTTTTAGCTTGTACCCTCCGGGAGAAGATTCTGTGTCCTCCATATCAGGCTGAACTGCTATAAACATTCATTTTTGCGGCGGTCCATTAAGATTCTGATTAACAGCTCATGTTAAGGGCCAGCTGTGGATCAGTTGGTAGAGTCGATCATCTCTCAAGTGGAAGGTCGGGGGCGTATGAATGTGTGTGAATAGGATTAGTTACCTCTGATGGTCACTTTACAAAGCAACCTCTGCCATCAGTGTGTGAATGTGGTGTGAATGTGTAGGTGTGACCTGCTGTGTAAAAGCGCTTTGAGTAGTCAGAAGACCAGAAAATAGCTATACAAGCTCAGGTCCATTTATCATTTAATGTAGCATGTGCCCAGGAGTTGTGCAATTTGTCACTATGCTGTCAGAATGTGTTGAGCCTATATGTGAAAATGTTTAATGGAGTTGCTGCTGTTTTGTGATGTGTTCTTAGTATGTGTTTTTCTATGGAGCATGTCTGTTCTTTATTGTCTGTGTAACTGCAGGATGGAGCCCAAAACAAGGCCTATGTCTTATATTAACTCCTTCAGCAACTTGACTGGAACTAGACTGTTGCCAAGCAACAGCAACCTTTTCCTGTACACTTGCTACTTTCAAGTTAAAATACTTTTGAAAATTGCGCTCTCTTAAAATTTCAGAATATAATGAAGGAAAATAGAACAATAAAATGTTGTAAATAACTTTGAATAAAAACAATAACTGTCTCAACACTGAATAGTTTTCTTTTTATATTAATTGTCATTATCTGTTCCACTAACCGTCTTGCGCTCTTTTTTTCTCTCCCAGAAGAATAATTCCTTGGCACAGCACTTGCATGTCACACTTACTAGAGGAAATTCTGTCAGATGGGCCCCCTTATTGAGGTTTCCCACTGTCATTGCAATCATATTTTAACCTCTGCTGTGGATTAAAATGTGTTAAACCTTGGAGGGCCCTACTGGCCTGGGGCTCATGCAGTTGCCTTTTGATAAGCAGCACCTTGTCTTCATGATAGTATGCGACCATCAAGATATAGCCCAGTAGCAAGGTCAATATAAATGTTAAGTTACAGGCCAGGTGTGGTAAAGTCTACATAGACCTCTATGGACCACAACTTCATTTTGCAAAACATTTTATAAACATTTTACACACTTGTCGACATGAGAAAGAGGGAAAATTCATGATTGATTTTAACATGATTGACAAGTCTTTGAGTCTGCTCTGTAACTTTCTATTTGAACTTTGCAGGCTTACAATGTATAGGCCTATGATCATATTACCCTTCATACCGTAAGTTTATTTAGTACATCAAATGAGGATCTAAAATAACAATCTCAAGTGATTTATTACAAGTAAATCTTTTGTATAATCCACCATTACTCTTACTAGGCCTCTGTCTCAAATGTCCACTTCAGATTGTTTTAATCTTAGGCGTATTTCATCTGATTAAATGCATCTCTTTTATCCAGAGTCAGAGAGTGAGGGCCCTTTGCAGTAAGGTCTCTTTGATGTGAGATTATCAGGCCTCAACTACGGGACAGAAGGTCACCACTCTCATTGGTTTAGTAGTGACTCCTCTTCCTCCCTGCTGCTCAAAAACTAATCTGTCTCAGTCAAATCTGAGTGAAAGAAGCCCCGCCTTGCTGTCAGACGTTTCGCTTTTATTGAGATATCAACTGTATGGGTAGCAAAAGGAATAAAAAATGAAGCCAAGAGCAACAGGTGTTTTACACAGAAATATGCTAAACATGTTTCAAAACTTGCCGGCATGGCCAACCACTAGAAAAAGACAGAACTATGAGAAAGTCTACAGCCATACTAACAGCTCTTCAGGTTTAGTTTATCAGGTTTATGTGCTAGCATTTGTTAATGATTATCAGTTTAGAGCAGATAGGAATGTCCTTAGTTTGTAGTTAAAAACAAAAGTATTGCTCCCCCCCCCCACCACCTTTTTTTTTTAGGATATAACATATCAGGAGACTCATCCAGCTCTTGTACAAATAGGTTGGGGATCACTTATGTAGACACCCAGACTAAAAATTAGATATGAAACTTTGACTTTAGTGTATCCAGTAATGGGCTAACAACTTACACACATAAAACACACATTCTGTTTCATTTGTTGGTGTTTAAAATACCACCTGTCAGTCATCATTTAATACCAAAAGTTTTTTATACATTTTTTTATTCTACATTACCACAAGAGGTCACTATTGAATTCTAAAGTGTAGAAAACACTCTTCTTTCCTGAAGAGTTATTGATAAGATGTTGTATTCCTCAGGAAAGATCATGTGATGGTAGACAATATTTACCCGAATATACTGAAAACATCACTGAAGTCAAGAGCTTTCTAAACTTTAAGGGCTGTAACAATTCAGTGACAAGTCTGTGATATGCTACAAAGAAATATATGCCTATGACTCAAGAGAATTAAAGGAACTCTTTTTTCATTCAACGCACAACATGTCTACCACAAAAGTGAGATTTAATGAAGAAAAGATCATGTTTATTGTATGGATTTTAAAAAGTTGACTGTCTTTGTCATACATTGAACAAATACTATCACACCATTTGATAATAAAATATTTGAATGATAAATGCTTAAATGTGTAAATTTCATTTAGATTTCATGAGACAATACATCATAGAGTCATTTTCATTCAGAGCTCCTGAATGAAACAAAACATTTTCCTTTTGAAATAGAGCGGAAGATTAAATGGTATTGACTGATACTATACTGTATTCTCACATATAATAATAATGTAATAATAAAAACAAGTACAAGTTGAAACATTAGCCGAACTCAACTTACATATTTGAGTTCATGAAAATATAACGGCGGTGTTTTAACTCCATAAACCAACACTTTGATGTTTTCCTGAAAGAAACCTTAGGAAGACAGTAGTTATCGTTTCTCAGAAATACAACAGTTTCATGTTTAGAAAACATACAGTACATCAAGACAATCTGCCATGTAATGCATCAAACAGCAATTTGTTTCTATTAAAAAAGAAGCTTGACAGTCAAAGACAAGCTCTCTAAAATACAACAACACTCTTATGTTCTCAGTCATGTCAGTTAATAGCTACGTATAAGTATACCTTTTATACCTTTTCAGAAACACAATGCATTGTGGGTATTTCTAAATAATAAATTATTTAAACTGTGCATAGATATTTTAGTTGATAAATATTTTTTTCTGTATTCCCAACTGAAGTTAAACACTAGGTTTGTATAGGTTCTTATTTTTTGATAGGTTATATGACATTAAGCCTCAAGGCACTGACAAACACAAACAAGAACAGAATAAAAACAATGTATGGATAGAACCTTAAGTTCCAATCACATTTTTATATACCGTATAATCTATGTCTTCCATTGTATCCTTGATTGTATATTTGTTTTTGTTTTTTGGTATTTTAAATCAGTAGTGCCTTGGTGCAAGACTTTAGACTCAGTTAAATAGATTTTTATTCTGATTAGGCTACTTCAATGTCAGATTGATGTCACCTCCATATGTCTGTCCCATATTTAAACAAAACCCCTATCCCACCTCTTCTGAAAGAAATGTTCTGCCACAGCTAAAAATATCTTCAAGTCTGTTAACACCGTTTTTGTGTTTTGGTGGTGCCCTTAAGGACAATGTGAGGTAATCCAACAGCCCATTTGTCACAGGGCCAGTACTGCAGTCCAGGCAGAGAGTACGGTATCTCATAGTTGGCATCCAGGTATGCTATCAGAGTGCTGCCGTAGGCCACAGCCATCACAATAAGGATGTGCCTGAAGGATACAAATAGTGCAGATCAGTATCACTGAAAAAAACAACCCTTGAAATGATAAAAATATCCAACTTGTTTATTTTGCATGAACCCCAGTTTGCTATGTGAACAAATTGGACTGGAATAATGAATGAATAAGGAGTTCTTCAATCTCTCCAGATTTGATCTCATATATATTGTTTTTTTACTGATCCGTACTGACTGATCAGCTGTCGCACAGGTTTTTCTTTTTTTCTTTTTTAAAGAAAAAGAGTAACAAGACATTCATATTTATCACTCAGTTGGGGTATAAATCAAACAGACCTGATATACACATAAGGAAACCAGATCTTACCAGATTCCATGCAGGTAGCAGAAGTTCAGCCTCTGCCAGAAGCTGCAGCCGAAGCGGTCACTAATCCAGCAGGTGATTGCTAACACCCACAAAGCCACAGACAGCTTGGCCAGTCGCAAGACCTTCTGGTCATTACAACTGTGAATCATAAAGAACTGGCATTTAAAACAAATCCAAACTGAAGCAAACAAGAAAAGAGATTCTCAAAACACAGGACTTTTCATACCATTTAATCTCTATAACCAGGACATAAAGCAGATGGAGGCCGAAGCAATTTAAAGCGTAGGCATTGACTGTCGGTTTGACAAACGATGACAACGTGCTGATCAGTGTAACCACCAGGACGAGGCTCGTAAATGTGGACCTGTGGTAGAAAAATGTTGGATTAATGCAATAATTCAGGCTCATGGACAGATAATGAGACTTTTCATTTACAGAGGTCATCAACCACAGCTCTTAGGAAACTACTAAAATACCAATACATCATTAATATTTGATATAAAGAGAAGCTGTCTGACTCCTCTTCAAAGCTTTGTGACAGAACTCAACTCTACTAACTACTTTAATCAATTAAATTGTCTTTCTGTTTTGGCCACTAGGGGGCAGCAGAAACAACTTGTGAAAATATCACTGACATATTTTTGAAGTTGATGTGTTGAACTTGTAAGCAAATAGTTACTTATTTACACACCCAGACGTTAAAAGGCATTGTAATGGTTCATTTTCAGTCATGTTCTGGGCAACGGATGAATGTCAGTCTAGTATTCACTTTTTTGCTTCATTGTGTATTTCTGTAACTCTGGATGGTCATTTCTGGCTGTTTAGTTGCTGAATGCTCCACCAGTAGTCACTAGGTGTTTCTGACCAAAACTTGACACAGAGAGCAGTGAGAGACAGTTAAACAATGAACTGAAACTTGCTATAAAGCTCTGTAAAAATGAGGGGCACTTCTGATCCAGGTGATAGATCTCTCTCAAGCCTTTTTCACACGAGCACTTCTCAACAAGATATTTCAGGACAATCTGTTCCTTAAAATCCTCCTGAGTTGCCTGTTCACAAATATACCTCACATGGGGAGACTTTTATTTTCAAATTGGCAGGGGTGGGGGTCTCAGGAGATGGGACATGACATACAGTATAAAGGATGACATGGAAGTGGGAGAAAAAGCAACAGCATCTGACACTATGATGATAGCTTTTGTTTTTATATCAATGTTACGTGCTTTTTTCACACCAGGGGCTTCTGCTCCGGGGCTGCAGATGCATAATATTGGTAATTGGTCGTATCAAAGTATCATCGAAGAAGTGGTAAACTACTTCAAGATCATCAAGATCATATAAGCAGAAAAGATAATGAAGCAGCTTCACTACATGCTTTGCTGTACAGTAAACCTTCCATTATTCAGGAGGATCTCGTTTGGAAAACTGGAAAATCAACCTGAGGATACTGAGTCAGGGAGTGGAATTCTTTTCAGGGGCTCATTTAATTTTAATTAATCCTCTTCCTGCCGTGTGGTTAAATATTTACACAGTTTAGGTAGAGTTCCAATATTTTACAGTAGTGGGAGCCACTCTCTGTCACATTCAAACGAAGACAGCAACACCACATTGTGTCTCTGTGATAATGACTCCAGTTGGAGCTGCCAGACAGGCTCCACGGCCAGTACAGGTTTGTGTTCAGAGTAGCAATAGATTATTGAGCTGTCTGTGTGCCCTTAGTAACACACTCACATGTGAGTAAACTGCTGAATAAAGACAATATGTTTACCTGTCTTTTATGAAAGAAGGGAAGAGCCTGCGGGGGAACCAAACAGAATATCCCATCGCCAAAACCCACAGGATAGACAGCTCATCCAACATCTGTCCAACAAAACTAAGCGTCATGTGAAAGTAAGCTGAGAAGAGCCCTGCAAAAAAAATATAACTTTTTAAATGTTACATCATGAATGTTTTCACCACACAAAATAAAAAGGACATAGTGAGAAGACGAGCATATTTCAGATATGCAGTCTGCAAATGGGCCTTAAAGTGTAACACCAAATCTAGCCAAACGTTCCCCTCAACTTTACTATTTATTTTTGCAAAAAACCTCCTGTTTCCACACTTTGGGCAAGGATTCAATTGTTTTATAATTACAAACTGATGACAAGTGTGTGTCTGCTAGTTTGGCTTCAAGTAACAATAAATGCTTTTTCTATAAAATTGTGAAAATGCAGATTCCATTATGACATCTTAAAGTGTAGTTGCTTGTTATGCAACTACATAGTCCACAAATTCAGTTTAATAGCATTGTAACAAATATTCTATTTTAAAGCCAGAAGCCAACATGGTTTGAACATTTAAAGTTGTTTTCTGCTTGGTTAAAAAAAAATCCTAGTGCCTCAGGGATCCATTTCGGGACCACTTGGACTCTGGATGAACACTCAACTATGTTCATTGTGTTGTAATGATGTATCTGACAATGCAGTGATTTATGCTTAAATCAAAACTGAAACAAAAACTATACGATAAAGAGAAACATGACATTTTGAAATTAAAAAAATGTGATTTACTGACCTACAAATATCATCATGATCCAAACCGCATGAATCGCTAGGTTCCTCTCTTTGGCGTAAGGGTGAAGGAGGTAGAGCATGATGGGAGATATAATGAAGAAAATAAAGCTGCTCATCTGCAGGAAAAACAACAATCAGTCAAAAACAACAACAACAAATCAATCAACCAGCCAACCCACCCTCTTTTGAGAGAATGTGGATGATAAACATTTATGAAATATTCAAAAATGGAAAAAAAATCATCGCAGCTGGATGCTTCTCTGTAAACATTAATTATTTCTGAATGGTACATGAAGTTTTTCACAGTGTAGAAATCCAGAACGTACCGTATTAAAGTACTCCACTACATGTTCTGAGTGTTTGTAGTTGTCTTCACACCAGTCGATTTCTGAACTCTCATAGGAGAAAACTCCTGCCATCTTTTCACTGGAGTAGAAACCTGTCAGACAGAAAAGGGGAAACAATAACCAACAGTTTCCAATCAGTCAAGAACTAGGTGCACACATGCAGTTTTACAGACTTATTATGTTTTCAACTAGCAGCTGAAATGGTGATATATATCCAAGAGGCCAAGCAGAGTGTTTGTGTACATGGTTTATGGAAATGTCTCCTGAGTTTACCTCTGTATTCAAATGTGGCATTGCACCCTTTCTCCAAACGTTCATGGTTTCAGACCTTTTATCTTTTGTATAATGCAAAAAATAAAAAATTGAAAGAAAAGATAAATGGATCCATTGCTAATAAGGTCGCTTCCAGTTACTTGGTATTAAACTCCCTTATGTTAGAATACTTGTCAAAGACAGACTAAAAGCTAAAAAGTCAAATTGAAGCAGAGGCTGAGTTATTTTGAGTTTCAGTCTTTTATCCAACTGCAGGCCAACCAGATTTGATTTTCAAATGAGAGCCTTAATAAAGACTGTCTACACTGTTATTTGCAAGTGGTCAGATCAAATTTGTGTGTCAATAAATCACTAACATGTGACAATGACATGGGCATCAGTGATGAGGTACATAGGTTATGTTTTTTTGTTTTCATTCATCATGCAGAGAGTAAAAAAAAAAAGAGTCTGTTATGTGATTCAGAAACCAGATTATCCAGGAAGAAATGTGTCAGCTGTAACGTTAACTTGCAGTATTCAGAACATCTGGCTTAGCTGGAGTGATACTCTGTGAAAAGTCACAGCATTGTTTTACTTTACATCAGCACTCATGAAATTCCTCCTGTCTAATCGGAATGGAATTAACTATTGACTAAAGCAAAATGGTAAGAGGGGTTTGTACTCTTCTACCCTGTATTTTAAGAGAACATACAAAATTAATAAACACCTGTCATTATAATGTAGTTCACAACAACCTTAAAAATAAACATAGGCTACTGTAAAAGTCCCTAAATATAAATGACTGTCACCAACAACTGAACACAATGAAGTAAAACAATGATATATTGCACAGGTGTACTTTGTAAAGTGGCTACAGAGTTTAAACAGTTGCCTATATTATAAGGTAATTATGGTATGACTGTTTGATTGTGATTACAACATAATTGATTTAAATATTGGATATTTATTGGATTATTAGACTACTCTATGTATGTTACGTAATAACTTAAGTCGTTGAAAACTCACTATTGATCAGCATGTTTGCTCTCAGTGAAAAAATGATTTTTCTAGTTAAAAAAAAAATTAAAATAGTGTAATTATTTCCTTTAATTCTTCTTTAAACAGAAGGTAATTGCTTTCAGAAATGACTGGATCCTACCTCCCATGCTGCAGCAGCGTCCGTCTGTGTTGCTCTGCTGCAGGTGGTAGAACAGGTGGATTTAACGGGCGGAGGCGGGGCATAGAAATCCTCCCGATCCTGTTGCACGGGACCGTGACGTCACTAATAACGCTGCTGAACGGTTTCGCGTCTCAGAGCCATTACGTCAACGAGAGAAAAGGTCTGGAATGGACTCCCTATTCACCTTTATAACAGGTAATATAACAAGACAAAACTAAACAATGAAAGTAAAGAATATACGTTTTTAAATTTCTAATTAGAGCAAAATTGTGTATTTGAGCTTTCTTTATTAGAGCCTATTTGAAAAGTCTGTTTAATAAACCACGAAAATTAAACGGTAGAGAGTGAGAACCGAAACGGTGTTAGAGGGGGAGCTGCTGGACGTTTCTGTGAAATCTCAGGTCCTCTCTAGAAGAGACTCAACCGGTCCATCTGCCTCCGCTGAGCCAGGCCAACAGAAGCGATGCAAATACACTGAGCGGTGTGTGTGTGTGTGTGTGTGTGTGTGTGTGTGTGTGTGTGTGTGTGTGTGTGTGTGTGTGTGTGTGATTAATTCATTAACGGCAGCATTGTAATCTGAGTTTGTCTGTCTGTGACGTTGCCATTTAAGATCTCCTTTATGAATTTATTTTATTTCAGTGACGTTGCTTACATATATATATTGACTTTGTTTTACACGAACAAACATTTTGAAAACAATGCAATTATTTCTGATAAAACGTTTTAATTTTTTTTATCAAACAAAACAGAGTGAATACTGACGAGACAAATACATCATACAAAATCAACTTGCAATGAAAAAGAACACAAAATTGATAGAAATGAATCAAATGTAAAAGCAATTAGTCTCCCCTTTCTGTTTTATTCAGAAATATTTTATCATTTCTGATGATACAGTTTAAACCAGTGCAAAAGTTCTTGAGGTAAAATATGAAAATATATTTTTATTCTTGTACTAAGATGAAAACAATGTATGAGAAACTTACCCAAACAACAATGCAAAAAAAAAAAATCTACCTTTTAAATAAGACCAGAAGTTGTCTTATTATTGGCTTTGATTAACTGAAGCAAAATTTGTTTTCAGTGAAAAACTAAAAAGTCAAGTTCACTTTTTACATATTCAGCGTATTTAAGAATGCATTGATTTACTTGATTTTAAGCCTAAGTCTCAATCATGACTACTGAGGAGCAATAGACATGTAGAAAAGCTTCCGGGAAATATGAAGAGTGGAGACAGCAGGAAGCACCAGGAGAATGCAGCACATTTAAGTCTTTTTCTTGTAAAGTCTGCAACTTTATCTTTCAGTCATTTCAAGAACTATTTTAGCACTCTCAAGGTCCCTTCAACACAAAATTATTTTTGGGGCTGTCGTCATCTCATCTGTCTTAGAACTATGAAAAAAAAATGTTACAGAATACTTTTATACCCCGACTAATCAATCTTTATTGCCACTTTCTTCAAAGAATATTTTTAAATCTAATCTAAAAAAAAGTTTGACATTTACAACCTTTTTCACACCCTGAAGAAAGGTGTTGTTGGAGACTGAGTCAAGGTTTAGACCTTGTTGCTATGTCATTTAAAACAAAAGACCCTGGGACGACAATAGAGAGATGAAACCTGAGCAGCTATTTCCAGTGGATTTGTGTTTTAAGAAACTATGTCTGTCACCATGTAGAACAAGTCATATGTGACCCGAATATCAGCTCGTTCCAACCTTTACTAGCCCTGTTTCCATGAACATTTAACCAACAGGTTATTTAACATACAGGATGTGCTGCTTTAATAAAAATCTTCACAGTGAATCTCCACAAGTAAAGATCGAGTCCTGATCAAATCTTCTCTACATAATTACCGGGAAAGAGACCTTCCCGTCCTCGAATCCTCCCTGTCCACCATCCTGTCGCATCTACAGAGACAAAATGCAAAGACATGAATCATAAACCACTGCAGGATATTTCAGAACAATCACATTGATTATATGACTTTTTCCCTTTCCATCTTGTTCTGTTTCATCCACACACCTTCTTTGACGAGGTCAAACACCTCATTGACATCAAAGCTGATCTCGTCCGTGTCCTGGCCCACATACTGATATAGCGCCCGGCAGCGGGGCCCCTGGGGTCGAGACTGTGGTTTCGGAGCAGGAGGAGGTCTCTGATTGATGCTCCTTCTCCTCTGCTTCCTGCACCACAGAGAGATAAAAAGACAAAGGGGTAAGAGAAGCTAATGACAAGAGCAACTAATAAAGTTGATTTGAAGCTAAACGGCCTTAGAGAAGCTGGAGAAGAAACAAATCAAACACTCAGATGAAGACACAGTCAAAACTCAGCAACAACGCTGTTTAGCTCGCTGTTCATCTCTGACTGCATATAAGTGCAGATCAACTGGTGTTACTGTGGGCTTTGGTTGTACGCAGAACAGTAGTCTGTGTGGAGAGCAAATAGGAAGCCAACTGAGCTACATAACTGTAATACAATCCCAGAACCCATTGGCTATCTTCTGGTGTCTTTTTTTTTATATTAATGATGTCTGTAAGTACCCACATACAAGTGGAACGAACATTTAGCACACATACACTGACTCTCAACTCCAACACCATTGTCCATTCTCAATTTGCTCGTCAGACTGTAAACAATGCAACGCACAGAATCGGAAGACGTGGCCAGATGTCCAACAGCTCACTACACCTGAAGCTGTGAACAGTTTGCTATGTGCAGTCCAAATACACACCAGCAGTTACAGCTTATCATGACAGAAGCTGAGGAAGAGTAAAGGAATGAGATTATCATTATTGATAATCTTGGCAACAGTTTGCTTCAAATGTAATTCTTCTTGGAAATGTTTTCCACGTATCTAAAACTGGCTCCCGCCACACACTATCTACATCATCATATAAAAACAAAAAAGTCAGTTTTGTTATATTTTGAATTGAATTCTTTCCATTGTGTGCTACTTGCCCAATATTTGAAAAATGATTTATCTTGCCCTCATTGACTTGTTCAGATGAAAATACCAACAAACCAGTTTGATCCAAAATTAGCCAGGCCTTGACAGAAACTTGTGAAACAACTGGATGTCAACTCTCTAGAAACAGGTTTATCCATCTCACTCTGAAATTCATGTATTTGCTGGGGCTTAGTGAGCGTTGAGCCCCACCTTGACATGCCTTAACAACTCAGCAGGCTAGTATACACTGCTTTATAGTGACTAATAAGCTCCGCCCACACATATTCCCTCCCTGTTGTTCATGTCTCAGGAGAGGAAGTTGGTGGTTCTTACCCAGACATGCCCTGGTCAGGCACATTAAGGAAGTCCAGGTTTCCCTGGTTGTGCTGGTTATGAGCTGGGACTCGGGGGGCCCTCTGGGAGCCCAGTTTGGGCGGAGCTGTGCTGGGTGGTCGGGCCTGTTTGTGTGGGGAGGAGTATGCGTTGTCTGATTGTTTGTTCTGAGTTGCTCTGGAAAACTTGGCCGCTCCATTCGGGTGCCCTGTGGAGAGGGAAAGTGGAATAAAAGTAAAGATAAAATCTCCTCGCTTTAGTATAGCTGCATCTTTCAATCAATCAATCTTTATTTGTATAGTGCCATGCTGCACTTCACTAAAAGAGCCGGTCTAGACTTTACTCTTTATTATATTACAGAATGAGAACCAATCAAAATACTTCTCAGATATTATTATCATTATAACACATTTTACATTTCATACTATGGCTTTGGAAAAGTTCAGTAATGGACAAAGTATTCAGATAGTTTACTTAACTAAGTAGCAGTACATCAAGAAAAAATCCTTCAATACAAGTCCTACATTCAAAATGTAACACACAGAAGCATGAGCCACCAAATGTATACTCAAAGTATCAAAAATAAAAAGGGAGTACTGAAGCAGGCACTACTGATACAAATGTAAGCATTGTATGATATAACTGGCTGGATTGTAACCCCTAATTCATAAATGTGTATCTAATTTCTAACATTTGTATACTTGTCTTTAGTTTGATCTATAACAATATGTCCTGTTTCTACAGATTGCACTTCATATGTCAAACATTTTGTATTTCAAATCTTGATCTTTCAAGTAACAAGTAACCAAAGTAACAAGTAACCATAGCTGTGGAAATGAATGAATTGAATGAAAACATGAAATACCTGAATATGAAAGTGGACTTATAAAGAATCATATATGCAAAACTGCGCTGAACTACAACATCCGAGCAATGACTTTGATTGATGATAAGGGCAAACAGACTAAACATCACATGGAAGGAAGGAGCTGCAGAAAGTCTGAGTGTACCTCTGCTGGCAACATTGTTTCTCCCTCCACCGTAGGACTGTGCAGCACTTTTCCTGGTTGGCTCTGAGAAAATGCAGCTTTAGTTACATTCACATAAAGAAAAAGACTGAATAGTAAAATATTTTAATCTTTGTTATCTTTTACTTAATCTTTTCCGCTAGTTTTGTCATGCTTATCTGTACATTAAAAGCTTAGCCGTTAGAGGACTGCTTTAAACTTACTGGAGGACTTTGGTAGACCGTCCCCCACTGTGATTGTGAGGGTCTTCCCTGCAGGTTTGAGCTGGGGCAGGTCCCCTTGCCCCCTCTGAACAACCACCACCCTGGAGCCTCCTCCGCCCCAGCCCTCCTTTTTCACCCTGAACTCCAGTCTGAGTTTGAAGAAATAAAGCATGTCAGTGGTTTTGTTGATGTGATTTCTTATGCCAAAAAGTCTGTCTGAATGTGTTCTAGGGACCTCTACCTGTCAGTGAAGGAGATTGTCAGTTTTCTCTTGGTCACTTCCTCGTAGCGTTTAGAGAGTAAGCTGAGGAACTCTGTCTTAAAGTTTGACTCCAGCAGACTGTCATATTGGGCCTCGTGTATGATGAAGAAATCATCCTGTCTCGTACTGAATGAAAAAAACAAACAGACCATCAAGATCATAAGATCTACATTTTTTTTGTACTCTTTTACACTGTGGAGTGCTTTCATTATTCAGGAATGCACTCTTGTCTCAGGGTTTGACATTATTGTTCTTTTTAGATCTGAATAAAAATGGCAGAAAATGTTTCCAGCGTTGATCAAGCATGTCATTGTTTACAGCAGAAGTCAAGTTTTTAGCCTATGAAGTAATACAAATGAGTTTAAATGATCGTGGATGTTAGTTTATTTCTATATTTGTACTAGTTTTAACAGCGGCTTTACATTCAGTAGGTTGCTCTCCAAAAGTATCATGCTAGCCACTAATTTCACTATCAGCAAGTGTGGTGTTGATCTCTTGTACGTGTAAACTGGAGGACTACCTGAGAGAGACGCTACTGATGCTCGTGAACTCCAGTTTTCTCTTCAGCACCTCCTTTATCTCTCCTTTCTCAGGCCCTTTTTTCACCTTCTCTCGACCAATCAAGTAGATGCCCTTTGGGGTCAGGATCATATCTCTCTTGATAGACTGGGTTGTAGGAAAAAAAAAGAAGTGAGAACTGTGAGCAATTCTAGAAAGGAGAAGAAGAGTGGGTGGCTTAGGATATTGCACACATCTAACAATAGTAACTTCATTGTCTGTAAAACTGAATAAAAGTCTACATGTCAAAGTGACACGGCTTCTAGAGCTTCACCTTGAACCTGCGATCATACTTGTTGACAGAGTCGGCAAAGTCGATGCGCTCCCTCTTGGCCATAAACTGTCTCAGCTCAGGCTTCTGCTCCAGACCGAGGTAGTCCCCGACAAAGTTTCTGTTGATGCTGTTTTTCCTCCGCTCCTTCGAGTTGTACAGGATGTCAGAGGCTGTGTCGCAAGGATGGACAAATATTTAAGAGTCACAGCTCCCAATATGCACATCAGGGAGTACGTTATATTTCTGCTTTGTTACTCACCCTCCTCTCTCATCTGTTCATACTTCTTCCTTGCAATGAACCTTCTCCAGGATTTCTGGATGATTCTGGCGAATGTGTCGAACTTCCTCTCCCTCATCTCCTCAAGCAGGAAAAGCTATAAGCATAGAGCACAAAAAAGGAGTAGGTGTTGCAGTTCAAAGGTATTTTTTAACATGTGTAACTACTTGATGGCATTGCAGAAATGTTATAAGTATTTCTATTTAAAATGTAGAGGGGCAGGAATTTAAAGTAGCAAGAAATTGAAGTATTTAAAGAGGAAATATTATGAAAAATCCACTTTTACTGTGTTTTTGAACAAGTCCTTTGTTTGTAGTCTGTAGAAAAGTGCTCAGTTTCAAATTTGCTCAGCTTGTGATGTCACAAGCTGGATTCTGGTAAAAAAAAAAATACCATCCGCTCCCCTGGTATCTCCACCCATGGACTCCACCCCCAGCCTAGAACAAAACTTTTGTGCAGGTCCGTCATTTTTAGTCTTGCTCCAGAGGATTGATGTCTATCATGATAACTCAGGAGGCTCATTGCATTTAAAGAGACACACACCAAAACGGAGCGTTCTGAGAGAGCTGGTTTATTCAGGGTCACAAACCTCCTCCGGTGCTTGATTCATGTTATATTTTGACCAAGGAACAGCACAGATGTTTCATTTAGACCACAGGGGACTGTTTGAAAAGGTAGTAAAGGGGGCACAATATGTCCTCTTTAAATAACACAAAAAACAAACTCAAATTAAGTAGAGTACATATTCCACCACTGATCATTATAGATGCATAACACTAGAAAACCACACAAAGTTTCTTACCGATTCAGGATTCTTCACAAAGACCTTGGAGCGTCCCATCTGGTACTGATCGTTATCCATGTTGACAGAGCGGAGGAGGTGTAGGACCCCCTGCTGCTCTGGACCCCTCCAACATGGCCACGTCTCAGCTGTCAGGATAGCATACCTGGATAACGACAAGTACGCAAACATTCACCTAAAGGCCCTTTAAGACTCCTTTGAGCTGTGTCCGTCTTCCAGAAATAATCTCACCTCATCAGAAACTTATTGAAGACTCTGCGGTACGCAAATCCAGCCCTTCTTACACGAATGTTTTCTCGTAGTCCAAGGTATTCTACCTGGTGCTTCGCTCTTAAAACAGATAGGAAACTCATTGGGACTGTTTACTGTATGTTAGTATGTATATTTATAAGTTTTTTGAAGTGCGAATGCTGACCTGCTCTCCTCCCAGTCTTTGGGTCTTTTAGTCTCATTGGGTTTGATACAGCGGATATAATGGGGAGTGCATTTCATCAAGGTGTTCACCAAATCATTAGCTTGTTTCTGTCGGAAAAACCAATAAGCAATCAAGACATTGTTACAACACCAGAAAATGTCTTTCTTTCTTTTAAACTCTAAACATATTAAGGTAATAACTGAACATTACAGGAGCTAGTCGATGTTTAAAAGTTCACCTTGATCTTAGAGCTGGCTGTGGTCGGCCTGCTTTTCTTGTCTGTGTTCAGGTTTTCAGGGAACAAGCTTCTGATGAAGTCACTGAAGAGACAAATATTTTTCCACTGCATTTCTTTAATAAACATACTGTAAGTGAAAACATCAAATAGCTGCAAGAGACTTACTATTCGCTGCTTTGCATGAGCTCAATTAGGTCTGGGAACAGCACATCTCGGTTTCTCTCACAGAAGCCGTTGATTTCATATGACACCTGAGACGAGATCACATATTATTATTGCTGTGTGTTGCCTTTACCAACCAGACAAACATTGTTCATTAGAAAAGAACATTGTCAGGTTATTTTCTTTAAAGGATTTGACTCCAGTGTACCTGCTGTTTACTGTGTTCATGCAATAACAACAGATCAGGTCTTAAACAGCATGGCAACAAACCTTATAGACATCAGCCGTACTGTTTAAAATGAATATACCACATATTCTTGTTAAAGAGTATTTCTGCTACAGAAGAGTGAGTTTGACTGATGTCAGATTCCCACCTTGCCAGCGTAGTGATGTATGACAAAGCCAGAGTTCCAGCTGTTGAAATGTTCATGTGTTCCCACAGCTGCCTGCAGTTTCTGCAGCAAAGTGCCATCTGCACCCTCTCCTTTGGCATGCATGGTGGCACACACATCATCCAGCACACTCATTACACCGGGAGGATTCTGCAGAAACATGGGATGAATTAAGCTGCAAACACTCATCGCTGTGACACATTTGACAAATTTAAGAATAGAATTTCTTAGAAATAGAAAAAAAAAAACCTTGAAAGCATTTCGTGTAGAGTCATTATTTGATGCTGAGTAGATAATAAAAGAACACATTTCCTATTTAAGATTTGTTGTGTTCTGTTGTATCAGTATTTCACATGAGGTTATAACTGTTGCTGCTTTTGACCCCTGGAGTCATGCTTTCCTTTATTTTTGAGGACCAGCTTGGTCAGTGCAAGTGAAGAACACCATTCAACTTGATCTGTGAAAATCCTGTATTTATAGGTTGGTTGCAAAGGATTTGTTGCTACAAGCTCACCAATTTGTTTTCAATGAGGTCGCACACAATCTTGTTGTTGAAATACTCGATGGGGGTCCACTTGATGCCCTCTTGAACATACTCTTCCTGTAAGAAAATAAGAAAACATAAAATCTGGTTGAAACATGTTTTGATAACCTTACAACATAGTGTAAATGTTAAGAGACAAGAAAGGACTGAGATGTGGCAGGATTTAAAAAAAGTGATTCTTTTCACTGTAACTACCTGCTCAGCCTTTAGGGTCAGTTCGATAAAGATCTGCTGCAGTTTCTCGTTGACAAAGTTGATGCAGAATTGTTCAAAGCCATTCCTCTGCAGAGAAGAACACAATCCAGACGGTTTCAGATTATTGACAAGGAGGTACACCATCAGATACCATTATAATGAAAACCTGCTCAACTGTACCATGTGTAAAATGAGCGTCCAGTATTTTAGCGGCTGCTTGTGAATATTATTGAAATGTAAATTGTAAGAGGACAAACCTGGAATATCTCAAAGCCATAAATGTCAAGAACTCCAATGCTGAATTCTTCATACGGTTTTTGGATGGCTTTATTTATGGCCTGGAGAAAACAGACAGAGGAGGGGCAGAAGAAAAATAGAAAACAGAAGAGATTTTTGTGAATTTAGGTATCCTTGATAAAAAAAAAACCTGCATATTTCCTCATTCCATTTGTTCTGTTGCTTCTGTGTGAAATGTTTCACTACCTCCACCAGGTAGTCAAATAGTCGTGCATAGAGGGCTTTAGCCAGGGCGTCTCGTGTGTAGGTGGCCTGCTCCTGGTTTAGGGTCACATTAATGGACTCAGACTTCCCTCCCCACTTTGAGTCCATCTTCCGGCTGGTCAGCTTGTCCTGCAGGCGGCTATGGTCAATACCCAGTAGATAGGCAGGGAAGGCAAGCACTGAAAAACAATATTTGGAATCAACACAAATACGTCAGTTAAGTCAGAATTAGTCTTTGTAATAAGGATTTGGGTATGCTCATCTTCATGACCATATCTTTCTGTACTAAATGAAGTTGTTACTGGTAAAAAGTAACAAATCCACACAGGGACTGAGGGATGGTAAAATAGAACGCCAGCCTTCATGTAAACACCAATTATCTATTGAGCAGGGAATCCCAAGGCAGCAGACAAATGGAAGGATAAACAAGGTAGAACTGATGTGCACAGACTCTATCCATTAGCAGGAGTGTTTGCCAAGGGACTGGTTTGTCATAATGAGCTTTGGTTAACTCATCGCCCTAGGAAAGATCTTTGCACACCAGGTGGGAATATGTGTACATGCATGAATGAGTAAATCCACATGTGTCTGCTGACTGTATGTGCATGTTGATCACTCACAGTCTGTGCTCTCCACCTGGCCATAGTTTCCAGCCTCAATGAAACTGATGTTTCCCAGGTGGAGGATGCCTGCGATGATCTGCAGCACCTGAGTCTGGATTTCGCCGGGGATCCCGATAACCTGCATGGCTTCCTGGAGACATCAACACAGAAGCAGGTAGCAGTTTGTAACACAGCAAAGAAGTCATTTTAAACTCATAATTAATTAATTAACTTAACATTCCTCCTTGTTGAGAAATATAAAACCATAGTCACAGCCTACAGCCTGTCCTACACTCAGAAACTATCTTAACTCAGATTAAAGGAGCAACACCGAGCTATCTTAAGTTATCTTAAATGGATGCAGGTGTTACAGAAACCAGGCCAACACACCTAGCTATCATTGTTGAAATGCTCTGTTTTAGAAATGCCTACTCCGATTATACCAATTATGGCAAAAATAGCAATACAGTTTAAAAGCATAAGAAATGTTAACTCAATAACTAGCTAGCTTATTTCACACTGACTAGCTCGAAATGTGAAGGCAGGATCACTTCTAAAGTATTGCTTTCTAAATCCAATCATCAAACATCAATCCTGTTGCCATACATAATTACCTTAAAGGAGAGCATAACAGCTTTCATTTGTATGGCAGAACAAAGCTTTAACCTATTTCTTGTACAAATAATCATTGTGTGGCAAGTGATTTTGTCCAGCTTTATGGGTACCATAGTTTCTTGGAAGTCTTTGCTGTCATTGGTCCCATCCACCTTGTAGGTCCCAGACTGGTTGAGGTAGTAGTAGTATTCTGGGGTCATGATGCCTAGGCCCTCTTTCTGCTGAGCGTTGGCACCCTCTATCATCTGGAAGACAGCAGTGCAAGTGGAACAGCTATTATAATTGATGTTTTTAAGCGGGGAAAAATGGGAGTATGTAAGTGACTACATAAATGTAAATCAGGATTGAACAGTAACACAAATAACTTTTTACAAAGGTATTATACCAGGCGGCTGGTGCTGTGCATGTCGCTCACCTGATAGTAAATGTGGAAATTCCTTTCGTTCTCATTCTGGCTCACCACTCTCGACTTCTCCAGCAAGAAGTTTGAGATTTTGCCTCCATCTGGCTCTCCCCCTCTGCTGAATTGAATCTCAAAGTATTTACCCTAATAGATACAAAAATACAAGTCAATAATCAGAGGTGACAAGCTGTCAGCAGATTAAACTTATGCAAAGTATGAGGTTGTATATGTTCCCATATTGTTGACCCAGTCTGACACTCTACCTACGCCTATTGAATAATAAATACAAACAAACATAGTTCACAGGTAAAGTTAAACCTTCATTTAATTCTTAAATCAATGACTCAGAGTCAGAGTGTGCCCCCCAAAACACGTCCTTGATTCGACAGTGATAAAACAATGCAACAGTGAGCTGACCCTCATGCAATTTGTATTAGCTATTAAAGGAACTCTGCAAACGTCTTCTGCTAAATGCATTTACCCCACACCCGGCATCCTTCTCGCTACATCAGTGGTGACGGAAAACCGAATTGAATGCACGAAAGCTGCTGTGGTTTAAAGGTGTGAAATTGAGCATCAGGACTGCATTGCTGATACATGATGACAAGACTGACGTTTAATCGGTCCTTTTTATTTCTTATTCTACAGTCGGTCAGTGTATCCCATCAAAAAAGTAGTGGTATCCTTTTTCTTACTGTTCTACTGTTGGTCTGATAAAACGTCATCTTTTTGTTGACATTTTAAAACATTTCATTTCATAGACCGACAGTGATCCATATAGGGATGAATGTTCATGAAAAAGTCATTACCTCAGGCGGTAGAACAAGAAATTAGCTTAACATGGAACTAGTTGGTAATGCTGTATTTTAATCTATAAAACTAGTGATGTATTGTTCCTATTGAGGTTGAAAGTAAAGAACATTTACATTAAAAAAAGGAACCCAGCAATTTCACAACTAGGTCCATAAAGTAGCTGTTTCAAAGCTTTGCATTACATGATACAATCCTTCTCAGCAGATGGAATAGCCCGAGATTGAGTTCTGGGTCAACTCGTTCCAAAGTTAAAAAAAAGCTAAGGCATTAGATGTTTACTTCCTATGGGTAATTAGTCTGTTTAAATCAAGGTGAACACATGTGGGGGTGTTTGTGGAACTTTTTTTTTTTTTTTCAGGACTTTAGACATTGTTTTTTTTTAATGATAGGATACTGTGATACACTTCCATGAAGGCAGGACGACAAGAAGAGACAAGATGAGGAAGCACACAACAGAAAAATGAGAAGAGTCTTAAGTGTTGAAGCAAAGAGGGTACTCACAAAACGACTTGAGTTGTTGTTGCGTACAGTCTTGGCGTTACCAAAAGCTTCCAGCAGAGGATTAGACTGTAGGATGATGTCTTTTACATGCTGCAACAAACACACATAGTGACACAATGTGAGGCGCTACAGAAATAGCTAAACCCCTTACTTCAGGAAGTTCAGGAAGAGTCATTGAGAGCTGTCTCTACCTGAACTTTGGACCCTCCTCCAGATACTTTAGAAATGTAACCCATGATGTATTTGGCAGCCACGGTCTTTCCAGCACCGCTCTCACCGCTGCCACGAAAAATGGGATAGAAAACACCACAATGTAACATAACATCACTCAAACCACACAAGCAGATGCTGAAATGTGTTGTATTACAGATTAACACAACAAAAGAACCAACATCAGTCTAACTATAGCGAGGCAATTTGAGAAGCAAAGCATATAGGAGCTGTGATCACCTGATGATGACACACTGATTCTCTCCATCTATCATCATGTTTCTGTACATGTTATCAGTCAAAGCGTAGATGTGTGGTGGGTTCTCATACTGGGCCTGAGGGAGATAAATATAGAGAAGGAGATTTTTTCTGGTCAATATTCCACTAAACACTACCGATTTACAAGAACAGTCGATGAAACGTTTACTCACAGCTCCCTGGTAAAGTTCGATCTCTCTGTCAGTGAAGTAGGGCATCTGTTTGAACGGGTTGACTGAAATCAGCACGGAGCCGATGTAAGTCTGAGCAGACAAGTCAAGGAGCGTCAGGGACTAATAACCTTTGGTATCATCTCTGTACATGTTCAATAAAGCCTTACCAATATCGTCTACAATACAATAGGCCTACACAATACATTAACCAGTATTTCTTTGTTCCCTTTTTCACACTTAAAAATATATTTTCTAACAGATTTATTAAGAAACTGGAACTGAAACTGATTCATGTGAACTGACAGAACATTTTAGAAAGTAAGGAAAATGTACTTATTGCGGCAAAAAACAATCTTGTTTTACCCTCTGTTTAATGAACATGCTACACAAACATAGGCCGAAATACACACACATGCACAAACAGGATCCTATGAACATGCATTAATTGAGAGGTCTCAGAGTGAGGGGGGGCTGCCCACAGTGAGCGCTCCAGAGCAATTTTTGGGGTTGGGTGCCTTGCTCAAGGGCACCTGAGCAGTGCCCAGGAAGTGGACTGGCACCTCTCCAGCTACTAGACCAATTTCCAGACTTGGTCCGTGCAGGGGCTTGAGCCAGCGACCCTCCGACTCCCAACCCAAGTCCCTACAGACTGAGCTACTGCCGCCCCAATAGCTAATAGCTTTAAAGAATTCAAAATCAAAACTGAATACTGAGAAGAGAGGCAATGAGAACAATTTTATCACTCCAATCGTTGTGACGTCACTTAAAACCCCAAGAAACAAGAACACAAGGAAGTGACAGAAATTCCCCAGAGTTGGTGTACTAATATTTAGAGGGCTGTGGGAATTTGTACCGTCTGTGATGCCAACCCACACAATATTTAATAAATGTTAAGATCCTGAGTAAAATAGAAAGTTTAAGAAATAAATACTTTCTAAATATTATTTTTTGTAAGTTCTACCTTGATGTGAAGTTACCACCTAGGAACTTAAAGCTCTTTTTTACTATTGCAGCAAAATGGCAAATTGCTCGTCATTAATTTCCACAAGTATATATTCATATTACGCACAGGTCAAGATTCATGATCTATTAGCCTAACAGATCTGACTTAATGCCTTAGTGTTTTATCTGTGATGACAGTTGCCTGCTAATTGACATGAAATGTATTTCCTGAAATTAAGCTGTGCTCAGAGAAGAAGGAAGTGAGCTTTTGAGTCAGGTCGTGAATGCAGAAGAGGAAGCGTGAAGTCATTGTATCTCTGCTGTTAGTTTTACTGACTGTATATGACTTTGGTCGACCTAGGTTCTGTCTTTTTGTCTTTAAAATCAATTTTCTGGTTCTTTTCAGTAATAAAAAGTAAAGGTTGCCATTGCTGGCACATAAACTTCCTCTCTCACAGTTTCTTTTGACTTCCTGCCCACAAAATCTAAACAAGAGTCTTTATTCATTGGGATGCAAATGAGCTTTTACTTGGATCCAATGTGGTCATTTTCAAAATCCTTATTCATGTCAGCTGTCCAAAACTGGTCATGAAAGGAAAACAAACGACGACTAACAAACCCTATAATAAAAAATAAAAAAATGAAGTAAATGATGACATTGTCAGCTTGTAGGATACAAAGATGTAGTCGTCCATGTATCTCTTCTTCAGGTTGTCCACGATGGCATCCTCGGTTATCTTGGACAGCAGGACCATGTCGTCCACGCCGCTCTGCTTCACATTTTGACTCTGCCAGTGATACTTCGCCTGGATCACACATGAGAGAGGAAAGGATGATTGAAACTTTGCTGAGATGCTTTAAAGAAAATGAAATGTTATGCATTCATACCTTCTCTCATATAGAACAACGTAAGTTAAACCGCTGATTTTACAGGTGAGGATTATTTTCCATGCAAAGAACTACCCAACCTGTAAAACAGTTTGTTTCTTCTGTGGCAAAAGAGGAGACTCAAAGTCTGAAATAAGTTCTGATGAGCTTGGAGACATTTTTAGCAGCAGTAAACTTGTTACAAACAGTCTCACACAGACTTTAAAAGACAGTGGTATGGAGGAATCTCAAACAAAGAAAATAAATTCTGATTAATCCAGAATTTTTAATTTTTTTTATAGTCTCAGTTGACAACAGAACATGTCTCCATTTTGATTAGTTTACTGTACATCTGGGTCATAACGTCCCCAACTTTTCTGAAATACCACCCTATAGTGTAGTAATCCTCCCATAAGTGTATGTAAGACCTTACAAAACAACGGACAAAATTCATGAAACTGAAGTGAAAGAAAGAACCAAGAACAGAGAAAGGAGCCAACAAATAAAAAATAAACCAGATACAAAATTGAAACAAAAAATAAAATAAATAGCGATGAATAAGTATTGAAACAAAGATGAGCAGTGATGAAGACTGTCGGATGCTCTATAAGTAGGTAAAAAAAAAAAAAAGACAAGTTGGGCACTGGTGTAGTTGTTTTTTTAGAAACATAACTCGTTGTGGTTGCCACTGAAGGAAGCTGGGGCTGGTTGTCAGGCAACGGGTCACAGATGAGGTGAGCAATTTTTCTAACTTAGGACATTTAGAGAAACACCGCTGTAGATTTGTGAAACTACAGCGACCAATAACAAAGCCGACTATAGCCTAATGACAGCTGTGTTGTGAAACGAGTAAAGGGCGTCACACAGAACAGAGCTCTTAACTTCTGGATTATGACAAATTGTTACAGTACCTTGAGGTGTACCATCCTTTGTGTTGGTTTTCCCTAAAAGACTCTGCTCTGTTTGATGTGTGTTTTGTTTGATGTGTGTTCTTGTCATTGGAACTGTGGTTCAGCTTCAGTCTAAACATCTCTAGATGATATTGGCATTGTAGAATTTTCAAATCAACAATAATTATTATAAACAGAAAGGTTGTGTCCAAATTCACACATTAGAACATTTTATTTCGTCTTATTTCTGTAGCCTAATAAATCATAAGAAACAGAAACCCTGGTGTGGTTTAGGAGCCAACTGAGATCATTAAGTTTCCCACTGTGCCTCATTATGTCAGACAAAGTCGAAGGAAATTCAAAGAGAAGTTTCAATAAAAGGCGTGTTGAAACTTGAATAAACTCAGAGACTAAACAGATACACGATAAACAGCGTATGTCACATGTATTAATAACATTTCATTTCTAAGGTTAAAACCCTCAAGGGTCATCGTCTAATCGAAACCACTGACACCAAAAACAGCAACATGGACCTTAAGTTTTAAAAGACTGTGTCTCTGTTTTCATTCGTTCTCTTCTAAAAACTTCATTAAATGATTCTTAAAAGACTTAAAAGAATCTTATTTTATTCTTAATTTTTCATCTGAACTGTAAATTTCTTGCAACAAAATAAATTGTGTTACTTCTCGCTGTACTTTCCAACTTCTCTTCATTATGTGTCTTTGATCCCAAAGCTCATTGGTTCCTGCTGTACGAAATGACTTTGTTAGAAAAGGGTCACACACATACAGTTAAATGTTTTTTCAGGGCTAAACATTTATTGGAATAAACAGACACTGTAGTTTTTATTAAATTTCACTGAAATAGATGTAAGTGTTTATTTGTTAGGGACTATTTTGAGTGGCGGATGAATATGCTTTTGGGTTCTAGTGAGCATACATGGCAACAGATTGGTGTGTTTTAGAGTCTAAAGATCTGCTGCGCTCACATTTATGGATCTCACATGCAAAAGAATGCACTAAGCAAAGAGTTTACCCTAGAGTTAAAGTCATGGTTTAGGTCTTTCCATTTTTCCCCTTAATGCAGAACATCATTCGATCTCTGCTGAACAGCATCACAGTAATATAGATTTCTACATTTTGTCAGGAAGTGTTGCAAGATGGCTAGCCCCCTCAGTCTTTCCTGATGAACCCGCAGAAGCGTTAAATTCACTACACCCACTTGCACTGTTCAGCTGCTTAAATCAAGATCAGACAGTTTCAATGGTGATATCAAGAAGCGAACCTTTCTTCCTTTATTGAATGAGCTGGAGTTCATGTCTTCTCGTCTTATGACGTAAAGGTGAAGGGTCAAATCCTAAATGCAAACTTCAGAATAAGTCCATTGCAAATGACTCCTAAAACTGCATGCAACATGAGGCTGTTCTCCACAACCACCATGTGTGAACAGTGGCCGGACATATATGTGAAACACATAATTAACAGAGTGAAACAGTGACAGCTTACTCAAGTCTGTAACTACTTAGTTAGTTTTAGCTAAAGATCTAGATTAGATGAGATTAGCATTGAAGCAGTTTATGTACAAACACAAAATACCTGTCGTATGTGTTAAATTTAACACTCTCTAAAACAACTCAGCATGATATTGTTTCTTCAAGAGACACTAAGACTTGTCTAGAGGAGGATTTTTGTGTTTTTACTCCATCCGCCTCAATCTCCTCCCTAAACAGAATTTTCTTGTCCTTTATTCTGCACCAATTTATTTTTTCCTTAATCCTGTCATAATTATTACAGCCACGAGAGGTATTTTTATATATGGTCGTAATAAGCTGCTTAAGAAATCCATATGGCTGTACTTTTGGATAGCATTCTTGGTAGGTTTGGCCTAGCGTAGAGTGTGCGTCCTACATGCAGAGGCTACTAGTCCTCATGGCTGTCCTGGGTTTTAGTCCAACCCTCAACATTTGTCACGTCCCAACTCTCTTCTTCCTACACGTCCTGTCTGTATTCTATATCCTATCTATTAAAGGCACATATAGCCCTTCCCCCTAAATAAAAACCGGAGCTACATTTCTGCTTTGTATCATCAGTATGTATTTAACCACTTGGCTGTTTCGTTTATTACCCCAGACAAAAGATGCACACATTATATTGACCTTAGCTGTAATCTGCTAACAGCTCGCGTTCAGCTTCTGACTTCATTAAGCAGCAAAATCAAGGTTTGAAATGTGAAGCCAACTCATTTATTTCGCTCATACAGAACAGCCAGAGTAATAACAAGGTCAAACAACCTGGTCTCACATCACTCCTGTACTTAGACCCCTTCACCATGGTCCCCTGTTACATTCAGAAGTTCTCACTCCAGGCTCCAGGTTATCTGTCTGAAAACATTCACCCCTATCAGGCAACTCACCCCCTGAAGTCAAACACACTACAACTGCTCTCTGTTCCTCCAACACGTCTAAAGACAGGTGGTAATAGAGCTTTCCAGGCCATAGCTCCCAGACTTTGGAAAGCTCTGCCCATTTCTTTGCACTCTGAAAAAACTGTTAGAGATAAAAAAAAAAAACTCTGGCTAAAGACACTCCTGATTAGAGAGACATTTGGGTACTTACGCTTTATCTTTTAATGCACTTATACCTTACTGTTTGTAAGTGTGTTTTTAATCTTATATTCTGTGATCTGTGGCTCATGTCACAGTCTTGCCTTGTTGTTTTGTTGTTGTTGTTGTTGTTGTTGTTATTGTTGTTGTTATTCTTTTGTCACAATAACATTATTGTCACTATTTGTATTTTCTGTGTGTTGTATCCTTGGTAAGCACTCTGGGCTGATGTCTGTGAAAAGTTTTTTGAATAAACTTTTATTACTGTTATTTTTCGGACAGCTTCTGGCTCCATTACAAACGGTGCACAAGATGTCATTCAAGCAGTGGCCATTATTCATTCAGCCTTTTGACTGAACTCCAATCTCACCAGCGTTTCCGTTATTTCCCCCTCAGTCTCTCTCCCTTTTCTCTCTCCTCTGAACAATGATGAAGCTCAGTTTGAAATATGTCTCTGCTAAGACTTTGAGTTTAATCCTGCCACTCCTGAAATGTACTTTATTCCCAGTATGGACACTCATGCTGTGTACCACTCCCCTCTTTGTCCAAGAGCGAAGGGCACAAGGGTAAGTCTAAAAACAAAATGTTTAAACAATCATAAGAGAACTCAGAACACTGCTTCAGGTTTAAAGTCTGGACATATAGCTGTCATATTCCTACATTCTGCAACCTTTATTTTATTTTATTTGTCTTCTACAACCTTAGAAAACACTTCAGTTTAGTAATTCTGGATCATATCTCTGTTGGTTTGTCATGGATTTACTTTTCTAATTATTTCACACAACACAACACAAAATGTACTCTACAGTGACATACAATATCTGAAAATGACACATATGTCTGTAGCCTGTTTTGATTATTTATCAAAAATACATGCTACACATGAAGGTAAGCTGTATTGCTAAATATTGCCAATTTATAAATGGATGGATGGAACTTTCTCATGTAAGTCAGTATGCTTTATCTCATCTTACATCCAAATATTGAAAAAAACACTCAACATCAACTAACAGAAGTTCCTTCAGATATTAGTCAGATCAGCAGTCAACCCTGCGATCACATCTAAATGAGAAACATTTTCTAGCTGACTGAACATTCACTACAGAAAAGCTGTTGTTAAGTCAAAAATGAAAATGTCAGGTGCCAGACAAACCACAGACAAGATGCCAATCATCGCTCACATTTTGTGGTTTTCAAAACCTCATTGCAACAAACCAGAACTTTTGGCACGGTTCAAAAGAAAGAAAAAAAGTAAGTTGACCCTTTGAGATGGTTTCACTCCTGAGCTGATGTTTCTGCCTAAAATGCCTTTGTTACTTAACTTTAGTGTGAAATGTAAGACTTTTTTCGCCCCGGCCTCCACGTCTCACCTGGGATGTTTAAAGTCGAACAGCCGTTTGGTGATGGTGAAATGTCATGACCTTACACTTTAGATTCGTATTAAAGGTTGTACTACATTTCAAGGGTTCTGATTTTTATGATTTTAATGATAGGACTATGTGAGTTTTGGATGCGTTAGCACCATATAGTGTGAGGAGGAAGTGTGGAGCCGCTCCTGTAGTTCACTTCCCTTCTCTAACATCACTTCTCTGCTTCTTGTGAAACTCTTTAAACTCTGTACATGCTATCGCTTCTCTTCCTGCAACTGCCTGCAGCTTGGTACGGCAGCCCCCATCTATGTATACACCTACTACTAAAAGACTAGAAAGAAAAGAAACGGAGATTACAGGAGCTCAAATTGACAGTACTTGTAAGATAGTTTTCTTTTCTGCTTGTTTCAAACATAAATGACACATCTAAAGTGTACTGCATGGCCTGTGCACACTTAAAATCTCATTTGATGTGTCAAAATCAAACATTTTCATCTAAAATCTGACCATAAATCAAATGCACTTGATGTGTTGTGCTTTCTCGAACTTGTCTCATTGAAAAGGTTTGTCTTGAAAAAAGCGGAAACTCCCTCTGGTGCTGCTGCTGGAGCTGAATTTCTCTGAAGAGATGGCATCTTTCAGAATATTAACCAGATCCTTTTTTCTTTTGTTCAAATGAATTCTAAAGCATGAAAAAGCCTCTCCTGGCTTGTTAGATATAGAAACACAAACATGAAACACAAATGTTGCGAGCTATTGTCACTTTCTGAAACAGAAAAAAAAAAAAAAAAAAAATGCTGTTTCAGGAAAGGAAGTTTCTAAACTCAAGCTTCAAGTCGTGAACAAGAAAAGTCTAGCAGCATCAGCTTTTCAGGAGTGTACATACATTACATCCGTCAGAAGGTGTGTGAGGTAGGTAATAAAGGTGTGGTACCGTACCATTGTTCCTGAGGGTCTCTCCTCTCCAGGTGTCCACTGACCAGAGATTGTGTGTGTGTGTGTGTGTGTGTGTCGTTAATATCCACAGATTGCAGCCATCTCTCACACACACACAGCAGGACGGTTAAAGCCAACAGCAGCCAGCAAAAACCTACAAGACATCCACTGCGACTATTCAAAAAGCTACTTCCTCATACTCTCACAAATGCACTGTGGGAAACAAGAACTGCTCGAAGATAACACACACACACACACACACACACACGTCACACACACACACACACACTCTAATGCACACACACTTCACTACACAGTCAAGCTGCCACTTCTGTATTTCTGTCATCAGAGCAAGGATGAAAGAATGACCTAACACGCAGCATCACCTCATCCAAACAGCTCAATTATTCAATCCAATTCATCGGGATGATGGCAGTGACAACAACTGCAGAGAAACAATAATTATGTTCAGCCTGTTGCCCAATGATGGTGTTTCAGTTGTGAGCTGCCAGCTCCACCCAGCCTGTGGTTGCTTCACTGAATGTTTTTGTGTCATCTGAGGATCTTCTGCTTCCAACGCCCAGCATAACTGATGCAGAGGTCACACATAGTGCACCTACACACCTTCACACCTACACACACACACACATACACCACTGACAGGAGTGTTTGTGTCAAGGTGACAAACCGTGTGTTTTACGCTGTTTTATCTGATCTTGAATGAGAGTGTTTTTGAAGTATCTGCACAGTAAACCTATCAAAGGACTCCTCAGACTCTGAAGAAGACGCAGTGCATCAAAACGGTAGTCCTTTGCACCAAATAAAATGTGCCCTAAGTGATTTGTGTGCTCCAGTACATTCTGTGGATTCTAGCTGAGCCTGAGAGATAATATTTTTTATAAAAGAGACTTCTACACACAAAAAAAGCAAGAACTCCAAAATGTGTATCGGCACGTCTGTGTGTTTGAGGTCATTTTGAATTGTTGGTGGTCATCCTTACCGTTCATTTTTTTACTGGCCTTTTTCTTAAATGTACATGGTTGACAATTTTATTTCTTGGATTTTGGACTCTTGATTGACATTTGACCCTCGTAACTTTGGGTTATAGGAAAGTATGATTTGCTTTTCAGTTTACTTCAAAAAATGATCGATCATTAGAGATACTCTTGATTACCAGCCATAGTTGTTGAGTTCCTTCTTATTCACAGCTGAACATTTCTTTATATGGACAAAGACAGCGTATCTTTAAGACGCTGTGTGTTGCCCACTGTCATGAGGGACGTCTCAGCCTCAGACAACAGGAACAAGTTGTTGCTTCATCTTTTCCATGAGGGCGGTCAGATCTAGAAATAGACAGCCATCACTGATGATCTCAGCCTCTGTCTGGAGGCTTTTTAGTTTTTAACTCAATCTCTGCCAACGCTGACACAAAGAAAGTACACCAAATGGAAAAAAAGAGGCTGACACCATCCAATGTCTTAGAGTCATCAATGCACCGTGTTTAATCGATGTAATATTTTCTTTTAAAATGATGTACAAGGATGGATTCATGTTTTATAGAAAGAAACAACATACAGTACATGTCATGTTATAATTAGCATGTGAAACACAACAAACATTACAGATAATGTCCCTCTTGTTTACTAAAAAAAACAGGCTCAATTCTCAATGAAAACCTTCATTATAGGCACAGGTAGATACAGAGAAACTGAAAATGACTTGTTTTTTTACACAGAAGGTTTTTGAAACATGAAATGCTCTTGAAAATGTTACACCTGTTCAGCCCTGAAACATTACAGGGATGAGATAGCTTTAAAATCTGATGAAATACAACTAGTCTGAATTTTAAAATGAAACATTCCTGAAGTTCCTGTGCTCCGTGTTGATGCATTAATAACTGTAACGACTTTTAATATTTGACAGAATAATGCAACCTTTATTATAATTATTTGGATAAGACCCCCCCAAAGTATTTTGTTAAAATTCAAGAAATAGATATTGTTCCCTTAATCAAAATTGTTGTGTTGTCTTAAGGGTCCAAAACGACCTGCCACTGCGTTCAATGGTCTATTTTTTAAGCTCAAAAAGCTTCAGTAACACTTGAAGCATGCAGATCAACTTTATCAACTTCATAAGACTGACACAGTTCAGCTTGTGGCCTTTGTTAGGGACCCTGATGAAGACCACAAGCGGAAACGTGTTTGTATAGCACTTACATTAATTGTTTCAATATTTGTCATCATCCTTTAATTTGCACAATGATCTAAATTTGGGGATTTTGTATGTGTGTGTGTGTGTGTGTGTGTGTGTGTGTGTGTGTGTGTGTGTGTGTGTGTGTGTGGAGTTATATTAAGAGCTGAAACCATGATAAAAATGGACCAACAGAGGGCCCCTGCTGGTGAGTGAGGGTGGTTTGTTGAGCTCTGCAGATTTGATAACTTAAAAAGGCTCATATAAGTAAAAGCACAGTTGTTATGATGATAATTTAGAAAAAAATGACAACAGTGAAGTAATAGCACCAATACAAACCAAAGCACCACAAGACAAAAAAAAGGAACAAACATTGTTATTGTTGCTGATAGTGATAAAGATGGAATGACGTGCAGCTTCCTCTCTGTACATAAAAGAATGTGACACATGGTGTCACACAGAGCTGCTGTCAGCGACAATCAGTGTGAACATTTGTGATGAAGAGTCCGTCAGAGCAGAGTTCAGAGCACAGCAGACATCACAGCGATGACTGAATTGTGAGCCTCTGAGATCGCAGGATATAGAAACAGCTGACACAGCTTCTTTTTTTTTTTTTTTAAAACATAACATCTGTCAGCACATTTCTTCAATGAATTCCAAACAAATCTGAGTCAGATGACATGCTCTCTTTTGGGCCACATAATAGCATCACTGTCCTTAAAAGGAAGAAATGGTTCACACATTCATCTGTGCATTAAGTAATCCTTCCACTGCTGTGCTGTTCTGTGGGAATCATTTTCGGAACCAACCTACACACTGACTTATTCATAATAGGGAATTTGTGATTTGTGATAACAATCGTGAAAGGACTTGAATCTGAAGCATCTCTCAGCTTTAAAGATAAAGTTTCAGTTCACTGTCGGGGTCATCTGATCAGAACCTTTTACTGCAGCTTGTGATTCTTCAAAGGAATGTCAACTCAACACCTGCAAGGGCCTCCATCCCTGTGCTGCAGCAAAGGTCACCGTTAAAGGTCACCTTTATATTTAAAAAAACAGCATCTAATTAACCAAAACATTTCAAGTGTATATGTCAGTGTTGTGTTGAATGCCTGTTTTGTTTGTGGTAGTTTCATATCACACAAACTCAAAATGTGATTACCCCTTATTTATAAAAGCTTGGGGTAGATATCAGATGGTTCCTGAAAGCCATGAAAACATCTGATCTGTGGCACAGAGATATCACATATTTCTTGGGTGTGTAGTTCCATCCTCAGACTAACACTCTGTAAAAAGCAGCGTTGTCAGAAGTCTTCACTCTCCCTCACTGAGCCTGTTCCTGCTGGCAGAGCTGACTCACTGTGTCTCCCTGTGCTCTGAATTTCCACTCACAGTAAAAGTTATCAGCATTGTCACATCCGTGGAAACTTGGTGAAAACAAAGAGAAAATAGGAAAATCTACAGCAAAGCTCAATGCTAAGGGATCACCAGAAAACAGACACACTGTGTTTTTGGACCAGGAGTTCTTTCATAGTTGTGAGAACAGTGGAAGGACTCCTCCCATTTTTCTTTTGTTTACACTGTAAGAACTGAGAGTGTTTGCAGTAAAAGGTTCGCTGCTTAAAGAAACTTTTTTGTAGCTACTACAAAGTAGGTGTACCACCTGAGGCAATGCAGCACTTACAGCCACCGTCTTTAAAAACCTGTGAGTAATGGCAACCTTCAAATTAGACCAAATTATGGACAATGGACGGACGGTCTAAATTCACTAATCACTAATCAGCATTGCTATACCAGTCTGCAGCTGGATCAGTCACTTCAGCGAAGGCAAACAAATTGCTTGCTCATGTTGCTCATATATGTTCCCTAATTTCCTCCAATGGGGATCAATAAAGTTTATCTTTTCTTATCTTAAGTGGGCCTGATGGAGAGTTCCTTTCAGTTAATCCCATATCGGTCCTAAAATCTCTCTCTCCCCCACGATTGTGTGGATAATGTCCTGTGGGTAAGCACTAGCTTTGCACACACTTAGGCCGTGTCTCCATGTGTCCTGTGTTACTGTATAGCAAACAACATTTCAGCAGACTAACCAAAATGGCAAGAAAATGGCACTTTCACTGCAGTGACACATTTATAGCTTCAACGGAGACATCAAGTCAGATCACATCAAAACAGAAATAAAATACTCAGGTCCTCTGACTGCTGATACTTTGTGCAATTCAAACTCTGCTCATACTTCAGCTGAATAACAGCGAGGACTCTAAATACATTTGACATGGAACAAAGCAGAGACATAAACCAACCTGGTCAAGTAACAACTATTAGATAACACGAAAACAAATCTTTCATTTGATAACAAAAGATATTCCTTTTCACGGACAAATATATCTAGAAAATCATTTTCCATACAAAGAGGATTTCTTATATTCATGACTAAACAATATCACCTGTTAACAGACAGGCTTAAGAGAGTACTGCGACCAGCCCTGCGGCCAAAGGGAAATATAATAGCACCAAAATATTACAACAGAAAGATCGTTTAGAGACACAAACAGAGAGGATTCATCCCTTAAAAGATGAAGTCCCTCCAGGTTTCAGCAGCCGTCCCCCTCAAGTGGAATGTATAATTCAGCTTGACCAGAAGGGGCGTCTGATCCTGGCTGGATAAAGGTCCAGTAACATCACCAGGTGTCAGTTCACCAGAGTCCCAGTTCGATCTCACACACTCCAGACATGGAGGCAGTGTGAGAGGCTGCTGTTAAACGGCTCAGTGGGAGGGTTTTCAGGCTTACTGTGAGTGTGTACACGACTTTGAGTTTTCATGATGTCCATGTGGTCAGTGTCCCTGGCAGGTCTTGCAGCACATTTGCCTGAAATATGGCCGGCTGCAGAACTTGAACCTGAGCACCATGGGGCAGTAGGCCACAGTGTTCACATCTTTACACTCTGCAGGGAAGACCGACATTAAACAGCTTAATTTTTTTCTGGGCAGATTGGTCAGAAACTGTGCAGGATTTCAAATAAGATAAAAATGATTTTATAACATTTTAGTAACATTTGTGTCTTTATACACATACAATAAATAGATATGAGAGCCGATGCATGTGCGTGACATACGAAGAGGACATCCATACATTATATTTACGCTGTTTTCCTGTTGTCACAAGTAATTTACAGTTTCAAGATCCAGACTTATGTGACCTCGTTATATCAGGATAACTAAGACGGTCTTCCCATGACAATGGATCAGTTCATCTCATGTAACAAAGGATTTTATTTAACACTTCAAATTCAGGCACTGAGATGAAATTATCCTTCTTGTTGTTCTTCCTTAAAACAATGATATGGAGCTGTGTGTGAATATGTACTCTTACCTTCAGGGTTGTCTATGTTGATGGGCAGACTGAGGTCACATCTGCTCTTGCACTGCTGCATGGCTGCTGGCCGCTGATGTTCCAGACACTCATTGGACGGCTGGCCGATGTGGGTCAGACACTGCACTGAACGCATCTCCTGACCCAGACCACACTTGGCAGAACACTGACAAACACACACAACTATTTGAACAGGGCGCTTTATTCGAGTACAAATGGACACTCAGTTCTATAAAAATGTTCCACTAAAACTGAAAAAGCATGGCTCACCTCTCCCCAGGGACCAGTCACCCACTGAGGGGGAGGGCAGCGCTGCAGGTTGCAGCGAACCCTGGAGGTGGGTCGGCCATGTTTGGGGCACTTGGACTCTGGCAGCGTGTCCCCGCTCTCCCCGCTCTTACACAAGACCACACGGTGCCTGTAGCCAGGACCACAGCTGGGTGTGCACTGTGGACAGAGAGGGTGATTAAAAAGAGGAAGAAAAAGGGAAAAAAAACAGGAGAGAGGGTGATGGGAGGCTGCAAAAAATGTTCTTAATCTGCTCAGCAGAGGGCAGCAGCTGCACAAAAACAAAGTCAAGAGCCTGCTTTGTTTCTGTTTCTTATTCATTGTGCCATTAGTTTAGGTTACTAAACGCATGAGAAAAGCTGACACTTGTGAATTTCTGACACCATCTAAATTGTTTTAACTTATCTTTAACAGCTTGAACAAAGTTTATATCCAAGACAAAAATAGGACTTTTTAAAAACATCTCATAGTTAAGAAGTAGAAGAAAAAGTGAAGGCATGTCTAACAGTTTAGGTGTTTGACATTTAGGAAAGAAAAAAAGAAAAGAGACAAGTCAGACTCCTGAAACAAAAGGTCATAAATAAAAGTAGGTCAGAGAGTTCCCTTTTGACAAGTGTAACAATAGTAATGACTGTAACACCATGTTTATTGTGATGTATTTGTCTGCTCCGTGCCTCTGTTGAGTATTTCATGGTTAAGGTAATAAAACTTTCCCCTGGCAGATATTTGGGTTTCTTAGGTTCAATTGGAAAATAAACTATTATCTAAAAGGAATCCTGCAGAAAACTCATGTGTTGGTTCAAATTCAGCAACAAGTTTAAAACAAACATTGCGGGTGTTCATTCATAAAGGGACACGTCTGGCTGCGTACCTCAGACCAGTCCAGGGCGAGCCACTCAGGGGGGCAGCTGTGGTTGCTGCAGGGCTCAGTGAGAGAAGGACGCGGGGAGGAACAGGCAGAGTCGTCAAGGACCTTCTCCTCGGTTGTGGAGATCCTCCTTTTACATAAAACCTCCCGTGTCCGCAGGCCGCCGTTACAGCTGCGGCTGCACTCTGACCACTCTCCTGTCCACCAGCTTCAGACGGATAAGAATCTTTAGTTGTTTTTTGAATTACTAGTTGTCATCACATGATATGGTGAAGAAATACTGTACACTCACATTGACAACACCATTGGTATGAAAGTACACAAGTATAAAACATTACTCACCTTGGGGAGCATGGCTCAGTGTTGCAGGTCCTTCTCTTCTCTTTGGGTTTGTTCTTCTTGTCACAGAAGTGGTTGTAGACGACTGATTGGTCTCCCTGCTTCCTACACACCACCTGCTGCATCTGCACACCTGTCCACAGGTGAGACACAACAAGACAGACTTTAAAAAGCAATGCAAACATTACAATGTCAGATTTTCATCTGCTTTAGTAGTTGAGCAAAAGTACACGACTGAATGTTTACAGGTAGAAGCTTATTTTCATCTGAAACTCCTCGACAGACGTTAAAAAGGCACATTGACAATAGAACAAAGAACTCGTCTTTGTTCAATATTGCAATATTTAATTGTTCTTACATGCCAGCGAGTAATGGTACAGTTCAAACTTTCAGAATGTGAACAGCTTAAAGCAAGTGTGAGGAGTTTTGTGTGAATGAGGAAGTATTTCATTTTTAAATCTAAATGCAGCGTATCTAATACTCTGATGCAAAACATTTTTTGAATGTCTATTTATGGAAGCTTAAAAAGTCTCTCCAAAGAGGGCCAAGAAAGAAAAGGCAGATGGCTATAAACAATATCTGCAAAGTCTCAGAGGCTGTGACCTCCTCAAACACATCTGGCCTCAACTAGAGCTTTTTTTCTTTATCAAAGGAGTTAAGATTGAGCCTAATGTCCTACAAAGTGACTCTGTTGTTGTGTGTGTGTGTGTGTGTGTGTGTGTGTGTGTCTACCTCCAGCGCAGAGAGCTGAGCAGCGTGACCAGGAGGTGTAGTGCCAGGCAAAGCCGATCTGAGGATCCCTGGAAAGCAGGGGGTTGAAACGATAGTGGATCCCTGGGTTCTCCTCCCTCACCAGCACCTTTAACACAAACAACCAAACATTTAACACAACAGACGGATAACATCGTTTAGACTTTTTGGTTGAAGACATGTTTTGAGGTGTCTTTCCGTTCCTACCATGACAGTCAGGGTGATGTTTGTTGGTCCCAGAGCTTCAAGAGTTTCCGGTCCGTCAGTGGGCCGTCTGTAGTGGAAGATGGTACCGGCAATATCGAACCTGCGTGGCGTGTCAATGGTCAGCTTCCCATTGATAAAGTATTGATCCCCTTTACTCTTTAGCACTGGAATACAGGTGAGAGGGAGAGAGACACTGAAGATACACAGTAAAGTAAAAAGAAATAAATGTATCAATCCAGGGAGAAGGTAACACAGTGAGATAAGACGAATGTTGCATTTTTTGTATGCACTTCTTCTGTTTCCTTTGAGGACATTTCTTGGATCAAAGACAATAAAAGTTCTAGTATTAAAGCAAATGAAGCGACCCACAGTTTAGCTGCTGACAAACTGCTTTGGTTACATGTTGCATCTGGCTAGCTCGCGAGCTAGTCACCAACAGTCCTACACTGAAAGCTGGCTGCTGTTTTAAGTCTTGCACTAATACATAAGCTAACTTCTCTATGAACTACAAGGTTTCATTGCTGTTTAAAAAACAACAACAGCATAATAACACCAGACAGCTTTGGTGTTTGTTCAATGGATTTTCTGATTAGCAAAGCAACCCATGCATGTTCTGGTTAGGGGCGTGTCAAGATTTCTTTTTGACTGGGGTGTCCCAACCCAGGAACTTAAACAAGTAAATGTCCAACACACATGTGCAAATAGCATAATATTCTAAATGTATGAATCATATATTGTTTAATACTGATAAAAAGGTAACACACAGATGTTGTTTTCTGAATTATAGGGATTTTAAATGAAATAAAACAACAACTGAACTACATAAAAATCCTCCATGCTTGATTCTTTTTAGGATTAATAAACAAGATGTATGTGCTTAGTAACAATCAAAAATACCAACAGAGGAAATGTGCTACATTGAAACAGAACAGGAACAAAGACTACTTGCAGCCTGTTGTAACGCAGCCAAGCTGGTTGGTTTGGAGTATAGCCTCTAACCATGCAAATAGCAAATCATGATTTAGGATTTTCGAGCGCCACATTGTGTGAACATCTGATTTCCTGGTGCCCATGCCATGCCTTGACCACTCCATGGAAAAGCCCTGCATTATACAGTGTTCGCAGATAACAAAATACAGACAGACCTCAGGTTATTTGGAAATGACTGCATTATTCTGTCATGGTTCAACCCTCTACTGGTCTGGTAGTCATTTAAATGGCCTAAAGTATTTTCTTTGTACCATTTTGTCATTATTAAATATAGCTCTACCCTAAAACTGAAAACCTCAGTGGCATTAGTCACACAAAAATAAAAGTTTGATGCAGAAAAAACCTGCTGATTGCAGAAATATGAAACATATATTGATCTTCCAGAAGAGGATTAAAAATGTGTGAAATTGGATAAAACTTGTGTGTAGAATCAGCCTGTTGTCCTGTCATAGATGTCATATTTCTTAACCTATTTACTTTGACAGGCAATTATACCTAATACACGGAGGTCATCAGATCACCTTACCAAGGTAGTTGTGGGAAATGTTGAGTTCTTGTATGTGGATGAACACTGAGCCTTTGGGGATTCTGACCACCTCTTCATAACCTGAGACACAAACAGAGCAACACAAAGTTAAATAAAATACATAGAAGTGAAAGGTCATTCATTTGGGGTCAGGGGGTTGATGCATAAGTAGTGTTTAGCTCTGTGGGATGTCGATTAACTGAGCAGAGGCTTCAGATTCCAGCTGCATTCCTGGGCAGCTTGCTCTTAGCTCTTTGCTAGAGAGCGAGAACTAGGCCAAGAGCCGGCTTCTCCTCTGCCTCCATCTGTTTTGGTCTCTTCTCCCTTTTCTTTTTACACTAATCCTGCCTCCTCCTCGCTCTGTTTTCTCTCAGCTCTGGTCTGCTGTCCTGCCAGCAGACCAGCCAGTATGGTCCTGGAAATAACTTCAGCCTCACTAGAGGAAGAAGGAATTGAAAAAAATATGAAGGAATGAAACTATTCCTTCCAGCACTCTGGCCGCAAGAGGAAAGAAAAGGCTTGGCTCCTGACCTCTTCGTGAAGCTTTTAGAGGAGGGACTGACCTGGCTCAGGGTTTCTAGATCGAGGCGTGGAAGATTATAGAGACAGAGTTTGAGGGGTTTGGACTCTGAAAGAGAGCGAAAGAGCGAGAAAAGTGTGTTCTTCTGTTTGTGTGGCCAACATAGAGCAAGAGAGATGTAAACCCCCCGTCCCTTGACTCTTCAGTAACCCCTCACCACCTACCGGAGCCACAGGCTGGACAGATGGAAAGAGACTTAAATGGACATTATTGCTTCAAAGCTGAGGGCACAGAGGAAGAATTTAGTAACCCAGCAGCTTCGACCATTACTCCTCAATGCAAGGAACATCCTGAGTCATCGATGTCTCACAGTGTATATTTGATGGTTTGGCTTCATCCCAGAGCTTATTTAAATCATTTATGCAGCGAAGAGAAGCTCTGGCTTAAGATTTAGTTTAGAGAAGTCAAAGGCTTGTTACAGATGATTGAGTGACTCTGAGTCATAAATTCCTATGTTGCCAATATAAGCCTTCATTTAAGTTCTGGAGTTTCAGCTTGGGTACCGATAGGACCAAGCGTTACAGCAGTAGTGACAAAGTTTATACTTCTGGTTCAGTATGTAGACACTCAAATTACCAAACTGTACCAGAGGTTTATTGGCATTTAAAAAGTATTTGGATGTTTTTGTCTAAATATCTTTGACCATCACTTCCTACACAAGTGGTGACTTGGAAAGTAGGACCTAACAGAACACACCAGGGCCCACACTTCCCAATGCTCTTATGGTTGAAAGAGGATCCATCCAAAAATAATATGGAGACCTTTCCCCGTGGCTTTAATGGCGGCATTTACTGTATAGACTCTGGGTTTTGGAATGAGGTCTTTCACAATCACATATGGGTGCAATGTTTGGTGTCCACCAACTTTTGACCAAATGAGACAAAAAGCACAAAATTGGTGGTGCTATAATTGAAAGCTGAGACTGCAGCTCATTAAGGAAACAGTTCAAGGTTTTTCACATGAGTAGTTTAAAAAAAAAAAAAATTAACTCAATCTTTGGATACGTAAAAAACCCTGTACAATCCCCCACTTGTAACTTTCAGTCTTCAGAAGTGCCCTCTTTGGTTTCTTTGTTCTTTCGTACCTCTTCCTTTTGTTACTTAAACCTCTATGGATTTAGATTTCGAAATTCTGGTTCCTCAAATCTGAAAAAATAACCTTGAAGATGTTTTTCTGCTTCGGCTTAGAGCACAGAACAAATCCTGCTTTAGTGAAAAAAAAGATGTGAGAGAATAAAAGTAAGGAAATTAATTTCTGCTACATTGGTGGAAATTGCTGTGATTCTGTGGAAGTACAACACATTATCACTGGGAAACCCCATTTATTAATAGCTGTGATCCTGGACACAATCACCAAATTAACAGACACACAAAACTTAACAACCCACTCTACAACTTTGGCCTTACTAATGAGTTTTCTTAAGCCAGCGCTAACGTCAGATATTTCAAGGGTAGATGAGACCAAAGCTTGGTTGACAGACTGGCCCAGTCACTGTGGTCCCAGCACAGCTGCCTGTTTCAGGGTGCGTCCTCTCTGAGGAATCCTAGACGGGGGTGAGTGGTGTTGACAGTTGGGTGAGAAAATCTTAAGTTGGTGTTGCGGGGAGAAATGTGCCCGAGAATAGATACAAAAGCAGGCGGACCTCAAGCCACACTGGTTGCACCTCAACTAAATCCATCTGCCACGTGACCGTGGGTGGCTGGTGGATAAAAATATGTTTATATATACACAGTGTATGGTATGTGTATGTGTATTTGTATTTTTATATTTGATTTCAAATCACTGAGAGTCTTTCAGGAAGTTTTTCTTTGCCTTTAAAACATCTTGGTTTGGATCAATAACAATTGATGCATCAGTTTGTGGTATCCATCTGACTTTGTTCACTGTAATTATTCAAATTTAAAATGTGCAATGTAAAAGTGTTTTATTTTAAAATTTTGGACATTTTATCTTAAGGACATTTTTAATATGAATTCCACTATGATACCCATGATGACCTTTACGCTGTCAAAATCTAATTTGATTATCAGGTCTTAAATTGTTTAATCCTTCCTCTAACATGTTTATCTATTTCAAACTTGGTACTTCATTTCCTTGCCACAAAGTTACTTGAGGTGTTCTCCAAGGGTCCAATATGGGCCCTGTTCTTTTTTACATCTTCCCCTGTATAAAACATTTCTTAATCCGGGTTATTGGTTTGTATATTTTTCTATTTTGCATTCCGGTAAGTTTACATCAATGGCTTTTGAGTATGTGTGTGTGTGCACCCTTTGTCCTAGACTGTTCTTACAAAAAGGTGCTTTGAGTGGCTGATGGGAAAAGAATGTAGTCTTTAGACCTTGTGCTTCAATGACACAGCTAAATCTTTTTTTCTTGCTTATTATAGTTTATTCATGCAAAAATTGTTAAGGCAGTGAGCAAATAAAGCATATCCTTCATGGAAGCCCTGGTCATATAATAGAAGTTTTCATACATTGTTTCATTTATACGCAGGTGATACACCAATATATATATACACTAATACAGCCTCCTATCAACCCTGTAAAAAACCTACATTGATGGACAAATGAACTGACAGAGAGGGCCTTCAAATAAATTCAATGCAGGAAGTTAAAATCCAATCCAATCACATTCCTTTATGCAGACACAATAAGGGATAAGACCACTAAGTGTTACTATCTGTAATGCCAACTTTGAATCTGGGCTGCAGAAGACCTAATATTCTGTATAAACACATCATTTATATTAAATAATCAATCAGAAATACCTTTCGTAAAGCAGATGCTGAAATAAATGCTCGTCTTACAGATTCAAGAAGTTTTGTTGGTTTTATAAAAACAGAAATGTAAAAGTATGGTGCTGTAAGTGTTTGCATTTCAACAGACTATTTTAAATATATTTTAAATGTCTGGGGTATCCTAACTCACAAAACAAGGCAACTTTCCAGAGCCTCTGAATCCAATCTGTGCATGTGCACATTTTCGGGACTACAGAACAATTATATTGCATAACCTCTCATGGTAATGCCTCATGTTAAACTAATCTGATTCTCAGGAGAGCAGAATCAGCTTTAAATCACCCTTACCCCCTCCCAATAAAACAAGGACACACAGAATATTTATCTTTATGTGCAGAAACCTCGCTGACAGCAGCTACCAAAAGAGATGAGTAGTGCCTGTGTGTTTTTAGTTCTGTACCTCCTTCTGGCAGCGAGTCATTGAAGAGTCCCTCCACAGAGACACAGCTGCTCCCATCACCCCCACAGATCCGACAGCGGTCCTCACGAACGTCCGAGCCGAGGATTCGATCACAGCCTACGTGCTGCGAGAAGGGAGAAACGAGTGAGCTGCAGGGTCACTCAGGGTCATGGGTGAAGGGGCACAGTCAGTAAGTCGAGAGGTGTCAGGGGCCGGGCTGGGATTACCTCTAATGTGATCCAGACGTCTTTCACAAAACACAGAAATATCAAATGATGAGTCCAGATGTGATTGCTGATCCTGAGCAGACATAATGCTCTTAGGTTGCTAAACTCATAGCTGTCGACATGAATAACTTTCATGATGAGCGCAGCAGGTGGTTTTGCTCAAACTATTTAACAGTGAAACAAACGTCAGCAAAAGTTTAGAGAATGAATGGCAACCTCTCTCATTCTCATATATTCAGATGACAGTTGTTTATTGTAGAAATGGATAATGAAGCTTTGGTTTATTGTTAGTTTTACACGGATTAGATCACAGATCAGAGCTAAATCCAGAGTTGAAACTGTGATTCACCTTATGTTTATCCGTTGGCTTTATAAATAGTGAGTTATTGAATTTTAAACTGATGTAGATCCAATCTTGCAGCAGGCCTCTCGTTTCTTTCAGACAAATCGCACAAAACAGAAAGCCTATATTTCTGTTGGCAGTGCTCGAACATTGGTAGAAGTGGATGAGGATTCATACTAGACTACATATCAAATCATTCAATGGGAATATTTTATGTGGGAACTATAATGTATATTATATTCTATCATCTGTCAGACAAAGCAATTAATCCAGTAAAAATACAATTGTTAGTTGTAGTTCTATTAATTCATTTTTGTATGACGTATACAGTATTTATAATGTTTATTTCTTTGTTGTTGTATTAACATATTTTTGATGACATTTCTTTTTGTTTTTTGGGACCAAATTAAAGAAATAACAGATTAATTCATAAACAGGCTTTCAGATTAAATATCACATGTAGAACAAACAAGGAAATGAAATTAATCTGCATTAACTAGATTAACACATGCTCCAAGGACAGAGCAGAGAATAGTCCTCTGATATCATTTAAAACAAAGTCAATTTTTCAATCCAAATTTGATTAGAATTCAGTCGCACCCGAGTATGCTGTACCATGAACACACAAAAAAGGTATTCATATTCCAGAGGTGCATTTTGTTCCTACAAGACAGCCCAATCGTTACAACATTTTACATCAATTGCAGTATGAACACAAGTCATTTATTTTTAGAGAGTCTAGGTCTCGACTGTTTGGATTTCAAAGCTTTCATTTCTGGGTTGCTGGTTAAGCTTAAATGTTGGAGCAGGTGCGCCATATACGGAGACTTCATTCCTCCCCCGCACTGTTATCAGGGTCGACTCCTGTTCCTGACGCTGTTTGGTGCATGACATCCCCCACTCTCTCTCTCCCTATATTTCATGTCTCTCTCAAGCTGTCCAATCTAAAAGGCAAAAAGCCCTGAAAACCTTAAATTTGTATTCAACCAATCTCTGCATTACAAAGATTAGCTGATTAGCAGGCTCAGCTTCCCTCGGATTTGCCTGGTTTCTTTGATGAGTGAAATCAGGTGTTTCTAATGTTTTGTACAATCTGGGTCAAAGAATGATTTTCTGGTTGCTTTTCAAACAAAGATGTACCACAATCTAGCCCCCCCATAAACTCTGTATTACCAGGCAGACACACAAAGCAGGAGTCCCACTTTGAGTTTCACTCGTGCCAGTGATTGCAAGGTGTTGTCTCCATCAGTGCATATTAGGGAAGATGCAAATAATAAAGAGAGACGTCTTAAGATGGGTTGATAATTATCATGCTGATACTACATGAGTCACGCTCTCTGCGACTGTGAGTTTCAAGAGGTAACAACTATCCCAGGTGGGATTTAATAGAGCCACAAGGTTGACTGTAGAGCTAAAAGTGGCATTAATGAAATAGAGGATCAATATAATAAATAACAACAATAATCACACAAATGGGCTGCTTTTAATGAACACAATCTTATTTCTATGACGTATAGAAAGAAGGGCTGTTACTGTGCTTTTTTCTCATCAAACTTTAAACTAATGACGTTGAACACTAAAACCTGCAACTAATGCCTCGTAGTGTATAAATAATTTGATGCATGCTCGTGTTTCGAGGTTTAGTAGCAGACACGGTTCAGGAGCTGGCTGCGTAATGAACTGCTGACTTAGTAAATCAGGCGCTGAATACCAAAACTCATCACCATTCTTTTATATTCAGCACTCTATATTTTGTCCAACAGATCCGGGAAAGTGGGATCTGGCCGACATGCTTTTTGTCTGCAGCAGCATGTTGTGTCCAACTGGACCATCTGTTTCCAGAGTCTTTTTTTATTTATTTATTTCCCTAACGCTCTCCCTCTCCGTCAGCCCTCTCCTCATTGTCAGACCTCAGCTTTGGAACTGTCACCAGATTGAGGCTGCAAACTACAGACAGAGATGTCTCAACAGGGTGTTTGAAGTTTCAGGTGAACATAAAATCTAAGAGAGGTAAGATGATAAGACTGAAGGAGAAAGAAGCTGGATTGCAGACTGGAAAAGTATTAAGAAAAAGGAAGAAAGAAGCAAACGGGAGAGAAATGAGATGAATGAATGTAGAAAGAAGAGAAAATGTGAGAGAGAGACAATAAGACTGGACTGAATAAAAGCCTGCATGCAGTGCAGGCAGACTAACAGCTGAGCTGGGGGGTTACTGAGTTCCTCCTGAGCAGGGCGGAGGGAAAAAAAAGAAGGGAAAAGAGGAGGAGAGAACAAAGAGTTGATGAAGTTAATAAACAAGATCTTTTTTTTTTTTCTACCATCCCCATTCCTCTAATCTCTGAGACACATGAAATAAAGCAACATTCATGAGGGAGTAAGAGCTGGGAGAGCAGGAGCTGGAAAAGGAATTATTTTTGCACAGCAGTCAAACCACAAAAACTACAAGCTGGATATCCTGGAGTTTGAACATTTGAGGGCTGCTTTTTTCAGCCCTTACACTATTGTCCCTAATCCAGTGCTTCTTTTTTTTTTTCTTTTTGGTGAAGAGCTTCATCCAAATCAAACAAGTTAAACTAACAGATTGGGGATCAACAGCAATCAAATAAGATGCACGCTATTACCATAACTTTCTTTGTCCAAGTCCTTTAAAAAAAAAGTGTGACTCAAAATAGTTTCCAGGGACCTTTTGGAGCCCCATGTGGTCTCCACTTCTTTAGAGCTTTAGTTACATGTTTTGCTTTCATTAATAGCTGAGATTAAGAGAGAGTAAAGCTAATGAGTATCTAAGATCACTGCCAGAGTCAAGACCAATTTCTGGTTGAGCAGCTGATTGTGATGACTGCCAGCAGAGTGTAGACAGTGGCGGGCGTCCAGAGTCTTAAGAGCAAGTATAAATAATATAACCTTCGTCTTTTCTGATGTTGCAGCTTCAACTGTCTGCTCAAGTGCAGAAGCTAACAGTGTGTGTTTCAATGAATACTTGGAGGCTTACAGAGATCTTCCTCACCTTACACTCTCCGTTTACACACACATCCAGAGAATCATCTCGGCAAGGTGTGCCGTCCACCACAGCTGGAGCACGCTCCGTGTAGAAGTTGTATCCTTCAGCCAGGCAGTTGAGAGAGCAAGGCTTCACACCGCCTACATGTAAACACACATACACACACACACGCAAACAAACAACATACACATTTACACGAAACAACCATACACACAGGATAAAGGCAAGCAGTATGAGTTAACCAGTTCTATCAACATTATATGACACAAACTTTCCCAAATGACCTCCAAATGTAAGAACAACACACAAACATTTGAAGATTGCACACACAAGGTCTGTTAGATTTTTGAGTTAGGTTTAAATTAAAACATATACATCTTAATGAAAATGACAGCTTCTAACTCTGATAAGTGAATAAGGATCATGATATATGATTGCTGATTTCTGAGGCATGTGGTTTATAGTACTATGTGTCATATTGTCATATGGGACTTGTTGCACATCTTTAGCACATGTTCACATGCTTATGAAGGCTGCAGACAGACAAGGGAGGATGAGAGAGAGAGAGAGAGAGAGAGAGGCATCTGCAGGGGAGTAGAATTTTTTTTTGCGAGTGCTGACAACCAGAGAACAAGCAGCTGATTGTGATTAGGTCTCATTCCCATGTTTACACACACAGAGACGATATAACTGAATGCTAAGGCCTATCACGAAACTGATACCAACAGCAAGATCAAATGTGTTACACTATGTACTACATGAACACATAATTCTGAATAAACTTGCAAAAAAATGAACTTTAGGCCGGAGTCAGTCCTTGACCTTGTATTAATAAGTGGATGTCCAGTGAAGACATTCCTGAAGAAAAAAAAAAGTCAAAGTTCTGTTAGCTTTTTCAATCCCCAAACAGTTGTTGGTACTCATAGTGATGGTAAATATTAAACTATGGGGTTATGGAAGCTCTCACTGTTTTCTTTGGTGTCTGTTAGATCTGACAGTAGCTGATGGCTATAACTTGGATCCAAAACACACCTGTTGATGATGAGTTTACTCAATGATAAAATGTTATAAACTAAAACCCTGAAAAGATTGGACCTATATGTAAGGAGGCACCGGAAACAAACTTACAGTAAGGTATGATATGCACTGGCATAAACCTTCACTCCTTTCACTCTCTATTTTCCACACACACACGCCCTGTTGCTAGAGGTCTTCCCCAGCCAAGTGGTATATATCCTTCATTCATCAGCGCTGCTGGCCAACAGCTCCACTATTTGAGTGGCTGTTGACATCAGTCTGCTCTGTGTTTGTTTGTGCTGGCAGCGCTGAAGCAGGTACAGTGTGTGCTGGGAAAAAGAGAAAGAGAGCGAGTATGTGCTGGCACAGCCTGAAGAAGAAAATATGTAAAAGACCATGGAAAACTACATTTCCCATGGTGCCTAGCATTGGCAGGGCAACCTTGGCTTGCAGCAGTATGCTGTTAGAGCAGCATGTTCAAAGCTACAAATAATACCTTATAAACTGTCCCTGGCTGCCTGAGGTGAGAGAGAAAGAAGCTAGATGCTAGAGCTACAGGTAGATGATGGTTTATGAACTAAAGTGAAAGAAGTGGAGAAACTTAATAAGAGGAGAGCAGAGTGGACAGAGAGAAAGAGTCAGATGAAGTAAAATGAGCTGAGTAGGAGGGTTTAAAGTGAAAGCAGGACAGCTAAAATGAAGAATCTGAAGAGAGTGAGAGGGCTGCAGAGGACACGGAAGGGGCTTGGCTGTGTGATCTGGCCTTAACGCGGGGCCGAGTCTATGGCACTGTTCCTATTTTAACAGCTGCAAGGGATTTCCATTGTAAAATCAGCTGACTTGATGAAAGGAACACTTGTTGCCTGAAGTTGGACTCGGCAGGCCAGCCGTCTCTGTTAGCCATTATGTTTTTGGACGGCTAGATTAAAGGCAGTTATGTCGTTGAAAGTATTTATCTTTTGCGTCCAGTGCAGTGCTCATCAGGAGCGAGGAATTCTCGCAAGGCATTCTGGGGTGCATGACTCTCTGCAGCCAGCATCTGTGGGCCAGACAGAAGGGAGTCTGCAGCTTCACTTCACTTTCTCCTGTCTCGCTGTCTGCACATAAACACACGCACACACGCACTACTGTTTCTCCTGACTTCTGTTCGTCTCCTGTATTCAAATCTTGGCTCACATCTTTTTACCTTTATTATTGTCTTCCTCCTTCCTAATTTCAATGATCCATTCTCTTCTCAAAATCAACATCTACGGTCGTCTTAGTCTTTTAGAGATATTCTGATACACAAAAGGAACAGCAAGAAATGTTTTATTATCAGAGTTACAGAAGAGATAAAATGAGTGCAGAGAAATTTTTATTTTGATTTATTCTGCTGTATTTGTAATCCTGAAGAATATCAACTATGTGTTTGAAAACTTGCTGCTGAGTTCAGTGAGAGAATTTGGCTTCCCTCACCCCTCCTCTCCGTCCTCTTATCTAATGTGACTTTTACAATAAACTATCTATTGTTGTAAACATATGAAGTATTTGCAACAAATACAACAAATGAAATAGGCTGAGCTACATGCCCCTTTAGAAAAATGTATTATTGATTATAATATGGCTCAGTTATCATCTTATGTTACATGTTCAAAATAAAAATCAAATAACTGGTTATGCATTAGGAAGCAAAGACATTCACAGTTATTAGCTTGTCCAGATTCACAGTGTAAAGCATCATAGTTTTGTAGAGTTTTAGACGGCTGTGTGGATTGCTTGTATCATGTGGTTGATGGACTTGAGCTTGAAAAGCACTTTCTACTCTACTGACTACTCAAAGCACTTTTACACAGCAGGTCAAACCTACACATTCATACACTGATGGCAGAGCCTGCTATGTAAAGTGTCAATGAGTATTAAGTGATTAATACACTTATATACACATCTGACGTAGCGCAAAAGCAACTAGGGGTTCAGTGTTTCGCCCAAGTACACATCGATACCCGGCCTCCTAGTTGAGGCTGAGCCACAGCAGCCCCATATCATCACTTATGTTTTAATCTTCAACGCCCTGCACAGAGTTGAAGTAAAGTTTGTATATGGATAAATAGTTTATTGAAAATGTAGACCTTATTTCCACTGTATCTGTTGTTTTTTTTAATACTTAGTACCAGTTGATCTGCAATTTAAATAAATAGATAACATATGTATATAAAATGCATTTTTTTAAATCTATTTGTGGAGTGAAGAAGTATTAGAAGCAGCAATCAAACAAGATTCAGAATGAGTACCTTATAATTTCCTTTAACCGGAATTGGTGTTTACCTCTAGTCATCTCTTATCTACTCCCCTTTAAGGTCTGTTATGTTTACAGCAACTTGTAATTGAAATATACTTTTTTTCTCACAACATGTTTTCATTCTGTTCACTAAGAAAGCACTAAAAGTCAAGAAGGGTTTAGCTTTTTTCCTCTTAAAGACTGCCTGCTGCTTTAACTTTTATTGTAAGCTGAAACCTCTTAAGATGTAAAAACCCAAAACTATGAGCTAAGACTTTCTGCATAAGACAAACATTTGTGAATCTTGATGCTCAATACTTGAATATATGGATAAATGCTTACTTTTGAAAGATTGATTGAAAATGATGTTGAGGGCAAATACCCATTCTGCAGTTGAGATCCCCACAGTGCATTAAAACTTAAACATGGACAGTAAGACACAGACACATTCACCGAACACAGAGACCAGTAACTCACTCACCCCCTCTGTATGGCCTCCAGGTGTAAAACTTGCCCCGGAAAGGAACGCTGTCAAAATCAGAGCACTGTATCTCCCGGAAATCCCGAGAGCCAGGAGCACATTCCTGAAACCAACATACAAATAGTTGTATATATCACTATTTACACCTCCCCTCCCCCCCAAAAAGGCTTTAAAAGCCTAAACTTTGGTTTTATAGCCCTTGTCTTGGGTCTTCCTCGATCGCCCACTTGTTCTTGTTCTTGTCAAATAATGAACAATCAATGCTGATTCATAATAAACACTGTACTCACATCAATGTTACAGGACCTGAAGCGCTTTCTCTCCCCCAGACAATACTTTCCACCAATGGTTGGCCTGTAGAAAAACAGAGAACCAGGCTACTCAGTCACATCTGAGTACAATTTAACAAGATTTAATCCCATCACATCATATAACACAACACAGACTCCTGATTTCTGCTCTGTCTGCCTTCATCAGGTCTTTTTTCAATCTCAATGTCTGTGTATTTATTGCCAATCACAGACTATCACAACAACACCTATACGTTAGCTGAGAAGGCTGCCAGAGCCAGCCACAGTCAGATGACTGCCTCTGCAAAACTGTCAACAAATCTAGGCAGGAAGGAGCCAAAGAAAGGAAAAAAATGGGGAAAAGATGCTCAGAAATTAAATGAAAGCACGCGGTTGGCCTCAGATTTGGGTCAATTCATTCTAAGTTTAATCAGTTCAAGATGAGGGATCCAGTGAATGGGATTCAAATGTAGGCCTGCTAGTTGTTTGGTGATGATTCAGACTCCTATCTGAAATAGTTTATACACGGTAGAAACCGTGGCACTGCTGCCTGGGAGAAGGAAATAAATCACAGACCTTTATGAGTTTGAGGGGTTCTTCACGTGTTCATGTAGGTTTTATTTAAGTTTCCTCTCACGCATAAAACTGAATTTCTCAGAATGTAATCATCGACATGTATGTTCTCTGTCATTTATGTAACTGATTAGGGTCTATGAGTAATGCGGCATTAGGCGGTCTACATGTTTTTAACAAGGTATTCAACTTAATTTGAACCATTCCCATCTAGAAAGTTTTTAATCCTGTTTAAATGTTTTTAGGCGCCATGACAACGATGCATCTTTATATTTAAGGTTAGGGTCACTTTGGTCAATCTTTAAAAGCCTTTTCAGTCAGTATAAGTAAATATAATAATCAACTATGCTGCATCGATGCTTTTCCAAAATCTACTGTGCAGGTTGACATTTTTCTATTACTTTATCTTAAAAATCTTTTCAGCACAAATTTCCCCCCTTAGTCTTTAGCTTAAGGATGTTCATTTTCCAACGTGCCTGAAGTTGCATGAACATTAGGTTAATTGCAAGGAAAAAAATTCTAACCAAAAAGCTACAAAACACACAATATATTTTTGCAAGAAACAAGGACTGTGAATTATGATGCCTAACCATAATTTTTTTCTTTTCAAAACATTTTTTTGAGTCTTTTTTTGCTTTTATTTGACAGGGCGGTGGATAAAGTAGGAAATCATGATTAGAGGTCATGGAATGAGATGCGGGAATGGCGCCACAGGTTGGACCCGAACCCACGCCGCCGCCCGGAGGACCACGGCTCCACACACAAGGTGAGACCCAACCGCTAAGCCAATCTGTGCCACGATGATTAGAATCTTTTAAGCTGTGTGCAGGCCAGAAATCAAGTACCTCATGCAACCCCTGTTCTAAAGAAAAAAAATGTGGCTTTCACGCAATGATGTATGTGTGAATAATTTAGCGGAGTGAAGGACGCGTTGAGCTTATCTTCAACTATTTGTACATACACGTTAGTGGTTGAAAGGAGTCAACTTTACATTTTCAAGCCAATAGAGTCTTTAAATTAAAATGTCTAACTTTCAAGTTAAAGTATCGATTGGAATTTTCTGAGCCACGACTGTGACATATTTCAGACCCTAATAGTTAACAGTACCTGGGGCTGTCGCAGTGTCGGATAGAAGAGGAGACTCCTCCTCCACAGGTCCGGCTGCACTCCTCCCAGGGGGACCACAGACCCCAGCCTCCGTCTATGCCCTCTGGACGAGTCCCATACAAAACACACACCCTCTTGTAGCACCACTGCAGCACAAACACACATGTATTCATACAGTCAAACTGTAAAATGATGCCGTAGAACGTCTTTTTCTGTTTTAGTGTAATGAAGAGGTGTAAACTGGATATTCTTCAACACTCAAAATGTTTTTGTTATGAGGACTTTATTTTTTCAGTAAGAGTACAGGAGTTTATTCTGTGATTTTAAATACAAAATACAATCTTGAAAAGAATATTTAGAGAAAAAGGTTTGTTTTTGTAATTACCCCTTTCTCTATGGTGTTGGTCTGACAGATGGTTCCCTCTGCGGCAGGAATGCTGCTGGTGATGCAACGGTTGCTCTTGCTCATGCACCAAAGTTCACTGCAGACTTCCTGTGTATGCATGAAAGGAGACATGTTCACTTAGTTATTCAATCTGCATTTGTAATGGGACAGGTATGAAGCATGTGAAACAAAGCCACACACCACAGTGTTCAAGATGCCTGTATCAATATGGCCAAGAAACAAATTGCAAAGTCAACACTCGATCGGTATATTGAGAACACAAAACTAAGCGCTTGACATGAAAAATACAGAGGGAACAATAAAATATGAGGATCATAATTCAGTACAAATAAAACCATAACAGAAAAAAGAAGCATCAGATAATTCACGGCAAGACAGGATCCAGCAGGTAAGGTATTCCACATGTTGATACCCACACAGAAAAGGCTGCTTAAACTAATAAAGATTGACATAAGAAAATAAATAAAATGCAAGAATAGAAACTAACAGAGGAAGAAAGAAAATAAAGGGAGAGAAACAAAGAAAAGACACGAGAGCCTATCAGACTATATAAGACAGAAATAACACAAACAAAAGGGCAGACACACTCTCGTTCACCTTCCTCTCTGCTCCCTCTACAGCGATGCCTCTCACACATGGTGGTTATGTTTTATTGTGTACATATGTTCTGACTATATAGTATGGATAGTAATGAGTCTATAAAGCAGTATGCTGTTCCAGATGTACATTCCCTCTGAGCCTGGCCCAATAAAAGTTGACCATGCAATGAAGTGGATGCTCTTCAGCGGAGGTATTGCAAGATGTTTCCCGTTGTGAGAGAAGCCGGCATGAAGGAGAGAGCTCGAGAGACAATAAAGCAGGCCTGGTCTCAATAGAACAGACTTTAAAACAATGAAAAGTAATGAATTAAGAATGCCCCTTGAGCAAATGAGGAACCTGATCAAAAAGCAATCCCTGGATGTATTCGGTCAAGGTGAGTGACCAAACACACCCCGAGACCCCAGAAGTCCCCACTGTGAGGGACATAGGTGAAAGAGCAACTCAGGAAGATTTCAGTGTCAGGCTGTCCTGAAGGTTTCATGTCAAGTTAAATTTTATGTAAATAGTTCATTTAAAACAACCTCAGTTGAGCAAAATGTTGTGCACTTTAAAACACAATATCAAAAAAGAATAAATTTGTGTGTGAAAGGGGCCAATCAGCTGAGAGGAAAAGTAAGCTAAAAAGTGGATAATGAATGAAAAGTCTACTCACCGCATATTTACACTGTCGAGATCTGACGCCGTACTGGAAGCGGCACTGCTCGTCTGCATCGTAGGCCTGACCTGGTGCTGTGGTGGGATACACAAACTCCTGCTTTGGGGGAACGTTGTTCAGACAGGAGCCCATACCTGAGCTAAAGGGTGCCAAACAGAAGAAGAGAAAACAGTAAGATTGAGATTTAGGCATTATTTAGGCTTTAGCCCTTAGGAGGCAATGTTCCAGCTGTGATGATTGTTCTGAAGATGTCAAAAAACAAAACCAGTTTTCTTCCGATCCTTAACGAAGTACAGAGAATTTAGTATTTGCCTCCTTCCAGATCCATCTGTTCATGAGAGTTTCTCCGACCATCATATATGTTACTATGAGTTCAGAGTGATCTTTTTGGTCTCAAACCTCTAATTACCAAATGATTTGTGCTGTTGCAGATATCTGATAGGCTGACTCACTCCAGGAAGCTGGTGATGTAATCCCGGCTACAGGCAGACCAGATGAACGGATTTGTCTTCATGGTGATGTGGTCAGCCATCAGCTTGGCGGTCTCCTGGCTGCGAGGCCCACACGCGTTCCCCATACCGTCATGGTTCATCCCAAACCTGTAGCCCGGGATGAAACAGTGAAAACTCTATATTAAAACTGTATTTTTATAACATAGTCATGTTATTGAATTACTGTATATCTTTCTCCCATTGTTTATGTTTAGTAAACTTTATTGGTACCTATGTGATGACAGTAAAGTAATTTATAATTGAATTTAAACATTGTTTCTGATGATAGCAGTAATGTCATAGCAGAACTACAAACATCACTGTGAGACATGTTTTATCACCACTTTCTAACATTTTATAAACCCAAACAACTAATTGATTAGTGAAGAAAATAAAATATACAGATTTAGTCAGTTTGACCAGCACTTCTTACCCCAGAGATATTCAATATACTATCATATAAGACAAGGAAACACATGAAAATTCTCAACTTTGAGAACCAGGAACCAAAGAACCTTTTTGATCAATGGTCTAGACTCACTTAGGTGTACACGGGAGGACACAGGTCATTTTCATCAAGACATGCCAAAGGGGAACATGAAATGACATCCATGGAGTACTATGTACTGTATTATATCAAACACAGTGTTAGCTCCCGCCCCCCGAGTGTTCAATAACTCATAAACACTCCCAGAAGCTGTTTGAGCCTGAAATATAAATGTTCCATAAGCTATTCATACCTCCACTGAGTCATTTCTGACTGGGTCTGTCTATGTTTTCATGTGAATGCCCTCAACCACAAACAGGCCTGTGTTTCATCTAATGCTGCACTGTGATGTCAAAACATTTTATATGACAATTAAAACCAAATGCTGACTGTGTTGAGGCCAAGGGAACTTTGTAAATATATATAAACCGACATACACACCGATCAACAGGCTTTGTCCAGTCATGTTAAGTGCCTCTTGGTCTGAATGCTCAAAGTCTGTCTGTACTCAACATTAGGAAGGCAGGACACTGACAGATCAACCATCTGTGTGAATACCTCTCAGACAAATTCTAAGGGACACTTAGTTACTCTATGCAAGTCCAACACTCTCAATGAGAACTTTTTAGTTAGAGATACAATCAATAACCTCTCTATTACTACGTTATACTGGATTCATGACAACTATACATCATACAGAATAACAACTTGCTTGTTGCTAAGTGTTTCAGATCAATTACACCAGGTAAATGAGGACAACACAGTTTCAAACCATCCAGGAGGTCAAGACTGATATAAAAAGCAGGAGTATCACCAGGTGCTGCACCAGCTCCACATGTAACTAATTCCACACATAAATAGTGTGGCCGAGAGAAAATATACAACTATTAACACGTTCTCAACAGATGGAAATGACTCATGGAGTTAGGAGATTACATAAAATCTCTCCGGGGATCTGGAGATGTAATCTGAGGAGGGAGGGATCATCTCAAAACAAAACACATTAAAAGACACATGAGAAACCTCAGGGATTCCTTCTGGGACATTTTGTGTTTCAGCCACAGTTAAACAACTAATCTGCCAACACTGATCTGTATCTGGGATTCAGATTCAGTGTTTTTTAAAAGGCGCATTTCAGTAGGTCAGATGATTAACAACACAGGTTTATGAAGTTCTCCTCCAAAGTCTCAGCGTGCTGTAGATTCATGTGCAGGAACCCTGTTGTTCCAATATGCCTGTGCTAGGACCTGGGAAAAGGATGAATCGCCACCAGAGGTACAAGTGCAACGCAAACATGATTTCTGTTTTTATCTGGGGCTTTGCTGAGTGGTTCATTCCAAACTGTTCTGTTCGTTTCGCATATGAAGAGCTAGAGTTTCATACTAATGCAATTTTTTTTAGCTTAGCCATTCAACAAACAGCTTGCACACCGAGATGTTGACTGATTTTGACAAGAAAAATATCCACTCTATTCTTTTCCACCATGAAACCTAATGGGTGCGACTTGTGGTCTGTGCTGTCACAAAGCTGAAGATGTTATTTTTCATAATAGTGGGAATCTAAACCTAATTCTTTGTCTTGGAGCAAATTGTACATGCCACATTTAGAAAACCTATTATTTCACCTCAACCTGATGCGCATTTTCAATCCATATTTTTCACATGTAGGTTGAGAATGCAGTCAGGAAGAGACAGACAGGGATATCATGAACTAATGCACAGCAGGGTCATCCCAACAGGAAACAGATCTATGCAAGGTCATCATGGAAACATTTACTTAAATATAGGTTTTAAAAAAAGCAGTATTGCTAAATTGAAGATGAATTGTTTTTGGTGGCCATTGCAGTACGCCACTGGGACTAACTACAACAAAAATTTCTGTTGGCTCACCAGAAGTTACATTCATTTCTAAAGAATCACCCCAAGAATGAAGAGGTAGGATTAGAATCCCATTCATTAAGATTGAGGTAGATTTCTATCTGATTCATAAAACAAAGATCCAAAAATGTAAATAAACTTGCAGGATAGTTACTTCTTTGTGTTTTCCAGTGTGTAGCAGTATTCATACATTCATAAAATACGTTTTCCTGAATGTTCAGGATGGGCTGCGTGTGTGAACAGAAAATGCCACATATTGATTTTCCACTCGCCAGTATGTTCTTCCCCACTCTTTAGTTAAAAATGTGTTCAACAATAAGTAGCACTGATACAAAGGCAAAACCTTTTTCTATAGCATCGGACTCTCCTTACACTCTCCATCTTGGATATCTTCAAAAATTACAATCCCAGGGTCCGAACCCCGGTTCAAAGGGCCAAGTGTGAAAAACAGCTTTGCCCCTCAGGGGCAGGCTGTCCAGAAGTTTTTCAGAAGTGCATGTTGTAAACAGCTAGTGTGCTTCACTCACGTATGTCCTATCTCATGGGCAATAGTGAAGGCTGTTCCAAGTCCGATATCCTCATTGATGCTGCAACTCCTCTCTGGCTCACACATCCCTCCCACAGGAGCCAGACCTGTCTCAAAAGGATGTTAAGGTTCTGTTCAGTACTTGGGTTGGGTGTTAGGGAATGAATCACATGGTTTATGGTTATTCTCATAAAATAAGATAATCCTTCATTAGTTATAAGTATAGCACTACAAATACTTGTTTGTGTGTGTTCTTTACCTAAGGTTTCACAAGGCTTGTTCTTTTGGATGCAGATGTCGTACCTGCAGAAGTGAATAAAAATCAACAGGTTGGTTTTCAATTTAGACCTACAGACCCATACAAACAGAAGTAGCACGATTCAATAATCCAGCATATAAAGTGATGACATCGATGCAAGCATCCAGACACATAAGAACACACTCTACATGGATACACAGTATATTCCCAGCTGGTGACAGACATGCTCACACAGTGATAGTAGACAGATTAAGTTTTTAAAGAACAATAGCAGGAAGTCATGGAGGGTCACTTTGGTGTCATCTGTCTGGGCCGCTTCCATCCTCTGCTTGATAAGCCTCTTCTTAAACCAAAATGTTCCCACAAAGGCCATACATACCTCAAAGCATCTCAGAAAAACAGACATCTATCAGTACATTTATATAGCCCTCCTCTTTTTAGAGTATTCTGTGAGATAGGAAAGCATTTGTGGCATTCAGATGACTGTCCAACCCATGGTTGTGTTGTTTGCTGTTGCACATTCCTCAGTCAATAGCATCAGTGTTTTGAGTGCTTAATATGCATCTTCCACTGTTGTCTCTATTTTTCCTCCAGCAGTATCAGTAACAGCAAGCACAATTAGAAATATGACATACAATTTGAGAGAATCAAAGCAGTTTTTATTTGATTTCTGCTCTCTGACTTTTAGGCTTTTTATACAAAATAAATCTGTCGTTGTGTCCTGCTCCCTCGTCATATCTTTTTTTTTATTATTATTATTTCTCCAGATGCTGAGCTGGGCAAAGCTGCCCCAGCAATCGTCACCTCAGACAGGACAAGATTCAGCCTAACTCTCTTTATCTTTGACGAGATAAAAAACTTTGAAAACATAAGATGGGAATGTGAGACTTCAGCTCTGAGGAAACAGAGTTTAACCCTTAAATATACCGAGAAATAGACGGAACATATAAGAAGTTACAGGAGGAGATGTAGATGTTATTATTGCTTATATCTGTGAGAATCTGTGCCTGTTTGTCTAACCTGGTGATAAGAACAGCAGTGTCATGATGAGCGATCCCGTTGTCTGGTATGGCGTTGCCGTAGCTGCTCCGGTGCTGGATGGTCTTCTGCCATTTACAGAAGCTGTCTAAAGACTTTCCTGCATGGTGGTTGATCTCAAGTGTTGGCTGGAAGGTGGACAAGAGGAGAAATATAGAGTCAAATTGTGAAAATTAACAAAAATATATCAACTTAAAACACTATAAAATTGTGGTTTATACTATAGCTATCTTACAGTTCTGAAAACTACAAAATAGTAAAAGGTATTTCCAGAGAAAACAAATGGAAAATTTCAACTCAGGTGATAGGTTCAACAATGCTATAACAATCTAGTCCCAATGTTCTTGTATTGTGTGTTTCCGGCTTGTTTTCTGCTCTACTATGTTAGCATTTGTGACAGAACATTTCTCAGATAATCCATTGGGTTTTTCAGGAACACTTCTTTTAACGTAATCTAAATAAAAATAATATCAGCGATAATAAAGGCACATGCTTTTCATTGGACAGAAGTTTTGTTGCACTTATCCAATGTTGAGGCAGGACTGGAGTGAAGGAGCTTTCTAGTATTAGGAGAGTGCAGAGAGGAGACGGGGAGGAGGGAGTGCTCTGCTGGCCACAGCTGGCGAGAACTCTTAACCCAGGAATGCTTGTGGTGACATAACTTGTAATTGTCTCATCCCGCAGTCCCTCATTTCTGGGTCTGCTGCTGGCCTGTTTTTTTTTTTTTTTTTAATTTTCCAGGGGAAGCTTTACCGTTTTCAGACCTGGAAACCAGCAGCAGAACCACTGGACGAGCAAGCTCTATCCTGTCCCGACCTCAGGCTCAATGGACCACGGAGAAAGAATAACAACACTAACACTGCCCACCGCTAATGATCCTAACATTTACCTCTGTCAGAAGAAGAACACATCCGAGCCATGAATTTGAAGCTTATTTTGGTGTACTATAAACAGCATGAATCATAAATGTTCCCTAATAAGACAGTGATGGAGGAAACCTCAAAGCTGTTCTCTAACGATGCTTGTACGGTTCATCTGTCAGATTGTAAGAAGGTCAACATTACTATGAGGTCAGCTTCTTCAACCAAGTCCAGTTGCCTTTGGATCAAGCTTCTATGTATGAGGTCAGCTGCGACGTCTCACCACAGGCTTTTAATGGCTGGCTAATAAAGTCAGTTACATATGGCCCAGTCATCTCCTGTGCTATATGAAGGTCAAGCACTTTTTACGAACTGAACGCCTGCTTTGTGGTTACCTGTGGATTCTAAATCTGTGCCCTTTTTTACTTCTGTTCACTCGGTTATATCACACAGCAAGAGCCTACGGCATTGCTTACCAGTTACCACTCTGTGCAGCAGTGGACAGCAAGGCTTTGAGGTAAATGCTAACGTCCGTCAGAATGCTTACATTCGTACAGTGGACAGAACATGCTGATGTTAGCATTTGATTATCAGAACCAAACAGAAAGTTAAACTGAAGAGAATATAGAACGCATGAATGTGTGTTGACTTAGGACCTCTGTAGAAAGCAAATTGAGAGGTTGATGTTTTCATCAGCATCTAAATCTTACTTTGAGCTTTTCTTCATCATGGATGTGCGTCACAGGGACAATCAGAGAGGTCCCTGTTCACGAGCAGGACAGTCACAAAGCAGCTCTGTCTGACAGGTACAAAACCCCCCTCATATCCTGACTTTTTTCCGCCTTTCCTCACCAATCTCCCTCTTCCTCTCCGCCTTACATCGTTCATGTCCCTTTCATTACAGCTAAGACCCACTTACACACCCAGAGTCCACCGGGAGCGATGGAGGAAAAGACCCATAAGCCAATAATTTGACACATACAAGGAGCTCATAGATGCTAGTCAGGGAAGAGTTTTTGTGCAGGTAATGAGAACAAGCACAGGCAGACCTAGACAGAGGGAACGGTTGTACTTATTTGAATTCTTGACAAAGTTTATTTACCTGGTCCTCCATGAGCAGGATGAGCCGTGTCACCACAATGTTGACTGCATTCCCCAGGCTAGAATCCTGGAACAGTTTGGCAACCTGACCTCCAGGGAAACAAGAAAAGACCAGTCTTAAAAAAACAGCTGTGGCACCAATGTAGCATCCCAATACCGTAGCTTGAACAACACTACAAATAGACATAGGAACAATTCATCATGAATTAAGATTTGACCTAGAAAAGAAAATCCCAGTCTTGAACTAGACCCTAGAGCAAATAGAGGTGGGTTGAGAAGGGATCCCTGCTGTGCCCCTTCCAATCAATTTTAATAAGATATACTTTTTATGCCTTTATTTGAGAGACAGGACAGTGGATAGAGTCAGGAACCAGGGAGAGAGTGGGGAATGAGATTCAGAACAAGAGCAACCGACGGGATTCAAACCTGGGCCGCCCGCCTCGAGGACAACTACTCTTGAAGATGGGGAGCATGAACTAACCACTAGGCCACCGGCACCCCCAATCAATGTCAAGCTATAACCAAACATTTTATATTGCAGACAGACTAGCCTTGGATCCTTGAAAGAGACGTAAACTCAGTACACCAGAAGTGGGAATGATTATTAAAGAGTAACAACACCAACTGTAATAAAAAAACAAGCTTAAAAACCACTGCTGGCCTTAAAGCTGCACTCAGACACTTGTCATTACTGCTGCTCTTCTGTAATTACGGCCCACTTTGCTCTACACCACTTAACAGACACGGCTGGTTCAGTGATTCTGTACTCCAGATTCAGCCGGCTTTGTTACAATGGCAGCTGACCAACCCTTCATTAAATACATTCCTAACACGTGTGTGCATTGGTTTAAAGTGATCAAGTGTCTGTAAAGAGATCCCTGGTGACAGAAATAGTGCAGAAGATGACACACAACCTAAGCCTGGGTGACTAAAACATGTTGCCTCCTGTTGAAGAAACCAAAATAGGTCAATGCATTTGTTGTTTTTTTTGTCTCCGTTTTATCTGTGCAACTAAATCAGATATTTTTTTGTAATTTGTTGCACATTTTTGTGCAAGCAAGTTTGTCTTTTTGATTCTCAGTGTTGGAATAGGATTCAAGGTTTTTTTGTTAATAAAGTTGTTAAGTTTCCAAAATGTTTCTTGAGTCATTTTTCAAATATGCACTCCTAAAAACTACAAGACAGCCCTAAAATCCTCCTGAGTTGCTTGTTCACACATGCATCTCACAGTAGAAGTCTATCCCTGTCAGAAAGCAGTGTCTCAGGAGGCGGGACATTACGTAAAAAGAAAGACACAGAAGTGGCAGACAAAGCAAGAGAGTCTGACGCTGCAACAACAAATTTTGCCTTTATACTTTTATATCAGTGCTGTTTTTTTCCCCTGAATATTTCTTAATGTGCTCTTACAACGGCTAACCCTGACTTCACGCAGAGATTTACAAGGGAACCGCATGAAAACATTTACTAAATCTTAAAGACATATTCTCAGTGTGACATTTCCAAAGTTTAATTAAGAGTAATTCTGCTGACCCTCGTGAAGGTAGATTTTTGATGCATCTTTTGTGTTGTGAAACTTACAATATTCATGACAGCCAAGATGTACTGCTCGATGTCTCTGCGACCGTGGTAACCCACCATCATCTTGTCTGCTACCACTAGTGTCTCCACGTAGCGCTCCCGGCTTACTGAACGCTTTAGCGGGAGCTGGCCGCGGCCAACATGATGGGGAGGTGTCTTCAGAGTTCGCTGCCACCATGACGCGGTTTTCATTGGCTTCTCGTCTGGGAAAGATTGCACACTCCAGTTTTAAAGAAGGAAGACGCATATAAAAGCACAACAGTAGTTCAGTCTACTATACATTACTTGTAAAACACTTTGCATTAGCAATAACCGGCAAACAGATCAATGATGATGATCTGCAAAGTTTTAATAAGCAGCATGATAGTTTCATATTTATATATAACATATATATTAACTGAGCACAATTTGAAGCAGAATGACATTAAATATATGTTGCTTTTTCAGCAACGCCCTGTACAACAAACTGAGTTTTACCCAATTACTTCAGGGACAACCACAGTCTTCTGCCACTGGCTGCTATGCAAATCAGCCTGGTGTAGTTTACCCGTCCAGTCTGGACTGAACTGCTGCTCCTAAAAACACCAGAACGTGTCTGCTCTCACCAATGACTCCACAGGACTGGCCCTTGTACTGATGGCGGAGAGATGACCGCTTGTAAACCACATGGGGGCGCCCCTCTGCTCTCTCCCCCCTCTCTGTCTTGGTCTGATTATCTGGTGAGACAAGGGGTTCAATCAGGTACTCCTCTCCCCCTGCAACAATCACCCCCTGCTGCAGAGAGACACATACATAGTAAAGAACGGATTAAAAGAGTAAAAGGACAAGAATCATTGTTTTCAATACACATGCAGTCTCAATCGTTACCAAAACATCCTCATTGATTAGCCTAAAGTCATTCACTCATTTTCTTGATTTCGACAGAGAAGAGTGGGCAACAAAGCTGTAAATGAATGTATTATAAAAGTGAATCCGTGGCCTTCTTCATGGAATCACCAAAGAGATCAACACAGCAGCATTAACCCTTTAGAGAAACATATACAGCATGCTTCTGGCTTGATCAGGGAGTATCATATTTGCAAATCAGCAAATATCACAGCCAACACAAACACAAGCTCTTTTCAGAGACAGCTCTGGGGGGCGGGGTACTGACACGGTCCATCATGGTCATTTGGTCGTTTTAGTTCATTTATTAGAATGTTATTGTCATTTCCTGTTTTGTTTTGTACCTCCCCTTGTCTCTGTCTTCCAGATTCTGCTCCTGGGTTTTTCTCGCCCTGTGGTCCCCGCCCTTGTTCTCACCTGTGGTCTCGTCATCCCCTGAATGTCTGTGTATATAAACCACAGTGTGTCCTCCTCTATGTTGCCAGTTCATTGTGTGTTCCCTCGTGTCACCACGTGCCAGCATTCCTTAGTTTCTAGTGTACAACTATTGCCTGACTTTTTGACCTTTGCCTTTTTGCCTGAAAGATGACCTGTGTACCGACCTGAACCATGAATGAATCCCTGTTTTTTTTTATCGTACTCTGCTCTTGTGTGAGCCTGCATTTTTAGGTCCATCATTCTATCTGGTTCTTCTTCAAGAAGGAAGAAACCCCAACAAAGAAAAAGAGGATGGGGGAACAGCTCCAGCATATACAGGCAGAATAAATAGGTTTCATCTGGATAATTTGAAAAGTGAGAAGTCACATCAGCAGTGCAGAGACAATGATATTGGTTTTCTCTTTAACTTATTATATATATTAAACACAGCTTGTAATAATGCTCTTTGTTGGGGCAGTCCCCTTACAAACATTGTCCCCCCCCTTCCAGGGTTATCTGTTGGTGCACTGAGGATCAGGACCACACAGTAAAAAAAAAAAAAAAACCCCACACACACACAGACAAACACACGTGAGAGCATGAAAGGATGAATAAGAGCGAGAGAAATGAAAGAGTGAGACAGAGAGTGATACACTAACACTTCCTTTGATTCTGCTCAGATGTGTCAGTCAGAGGGAGTGTCTCCCCTCGACTCACAGCGGCTGCTTTCAGAGTGCCTTTAATCTCGTAATAAAGTTAGTGATGCTCCCCTGGACACACAGCCCGCTCGCTGGTGAATGTGCTCACGTGGGTCAGACTAACAGTAATTACGTGTGTGCTTTATTAACGCTTTGTGAACACATCTAATCCTCAGCTGTGTATACAACTGTTATTGTGGAGCCTGCTGTTTGGTGGTGGGAGGATACACATAATACACAATTCAGGAAAACTGTATCAGCTAACAAAACGCAGCAACACATTTTAGTGATCCATTAAAGTGATTCAGAATGGGGAGCCAACTTACATCTCCTGGTTTGGGTAATTATTAAACAGATAACCTGATGAGAATGGGAATGGAGAAGGAATTGGTGATTTTCTAAGGAGTAAACAAAAGCTATTTGTTATGATGTTTCAGAAGACTGAAGTCGCTGGTTTTATATATTTTTACCAAACCCAGCATCTACTCTTAAACAGTCTTCCTTTAACAGCTCCAAGAGAGCATGCACACACCCGTTGCATTTTGGGTTAAAGTCAGCAGTTAAGGGCCTCAATCTACAACACAGGGGTTATCAGACAAGCTACGGCATTCTTCCTAGGCGGAAAAAGAGGACTGCTTCCGATCATGTCTGACACTTTCGAAAACCAAAAATCGTGTCCATTTGCAAAGCTGAAAAAGTAAGCAGGCTTTGCAAATTCTCTTGAAACCTTCCGTTTTTCCTTCTTCATGCAACTTTCTACAAATGAGTGCAACAACATGAATGCTACTGAAGAGAGTCGATCTGAAAGTATTCAAAATGTCTTTATCTATGATGATCTGGAAAATTTATAAAACCTTCTACTTAAAGTTGTTCATTTTGTGTTGATCATTGATGATTTATCAATCCAAAGCCCCATTGGCGAGACAGTACAGCGGATAGAGTTGGAAATTGGGTGAAAAGAATGGGGAATGACATATTCGGAAAGGAGCTACAGGTCTCTACACTACAGCCTCTATACATATACATGCGATTGAACTAATCACTGGGCCACCGGCACCCAGTCAGAGAACAGTATTATTTCATAAATTATTATAATATTTATATTTTAAAAGGTCAATTTTCAGAAAAGCAAAACGTCTCCGCTGTTCAGTGAAATGATCACTGGCAGGTCTGGAAAATATTCCATCAAATGCTGTCTGTCAAGTTAAAGAAGTTGTGAATGTGCTGCAAACTCTTGAAACTAAGGATTTGTTTTAGCTGTATTAGTTGTAGCTGTGTTATAATGTATTCTACACTTGGTTTATTATCTATAGGGGTACAAAATGAGATAAAGGTCATTCTTTTCAGGTAGAAGCTTAGGTTGAAGTTTTGAGGTAATCAAAATTACATTCTAGGTCATTTCAGTTTCTGAGGACCACACTGAATCTGGACAAAGATTAAAGCTGGCCTGAGTGATCAAGGTTTGTTAAAATGTCATGCTTTGAAGTCTGAATCAACCATTACTGAGCCCTTACTTGCTGAGCCAGCGCTGCTTCTGCTGACCTCGCTCAGTGAATTAGATGTGGATTAGATTTGTAGGTTTAAGTCTTACCAGGCCGTTACAGTTGCTCAGGGCCACTTTGCTGGAGGTCGGCTGGTCTTGGAGGTGTCCTACATAGTGGCAGTGGGGAGAGTAGGGATGACTCCAGGCTAATCTTCCTCTCTTCCAGTACTCCACCCTGAACTGCCGTGACAGGAGGCCTCCCTGCAGCGTCAGGTTCAGAAGGAAGTTGTTTCGCGGTGTGGACAGCTGGTAGAAGAGCTGAGGGATGGAAAAAGAGAGGCGGTTTATTAACGCTCTTCAGTTTTAGAGAGAGTAATTTAATGCTACGTCAATGTAAGACAAACAGAAATAGACAAAAAGAGAAAAGGAAATCTATACAGAATCAGGAAGCCTGTCTTCAGTGCTGCGTCTTCTTCTTCTGTGGTGTTGAGGTGTTTCTGCATCCAGCGTTTCTCCATTAGGCCCAACACGTACTGGAGTGGCAATCTCATACTGGCCTAGACTTGTCAGAAAGGCAGCTAGAGGGAGAGAAATAAAGAAGGCATGAACCCATTATCAGAGTTTAATTAATTTAAGCCAAATTCAGCTTAATCTTATTTACTCAAAAAAAAACATTTAGAAGTTACCTATTCTGAACACATTGAGCTTTTTCATTGACAGTCACCCAGTTGGCATCGAAGACTTTGAAAGGCTTTTTTGGCCAATTACTGACAAGATCCCTACTTTCCAAGATCCCCTACCCCCTTCTGCATGAGGCCAAAGGGATGTTGCCATGGTTACACTGAAATTGTATACTTCCTGTCTGCCTCAGTCTGTGCCGGGGCCTGGTGGAGATTTATTGTCCAAACACAAAACTGCTCCAAACAGCAAACGTCAGCTAACTAACGGGGAAAGGTCACAAGCAAATGATCCAAGTTTTCATCAAACCTTTGGCCCCAGTTGGTAGAGAAGCAGCCCCCTTCCCACACAAAGTAAATACCCAGAGATCAGAGGTCCTGGTACAGACTTGGAGAGCTCTGTACCGGGAAAAAACAGTCTGAGCAGCGGATAGGTCTGGCTTGAATAAAGAGCTAGTACAATTATAGATGCAGCCTTCACATGGAACTCATGAGGTTGAACTGTATTTTTGACACAAGAAGTTTAGTGCAAAAAATGCCCGCTATTCAAGTGGTTTCAGTAATGAGCACAAAACTTGGTGGCCTTGGTACTCTTTTCAAAAACAGCATTTTTGCATTATAATTATATGTTTAATTTTCCTCCTAACTATGTAGGAAAACACTCCCCAAGAAGGGTTACAGGAAGCGGGATGTTGTATTTTACTGTTTAACTGAAGCTTCACTGGAAATAATTGTGAACTCATCATCAAAACTATCATCAACTGGTGGAAGCTAATGGCTAATTTGTGAGGTTTTAGGCTTGACAGGTAATGTTGAAATTGCAAACTTTGTCTGATACGAATTTAAATCAAGTTTTCATGATGAATTAATTTATGTATATTATTAACTTAGGTTGTGGAATATTTATTATACCTAATATTATTGTATAGCCTTCTGTGTAGAATGACAGCAAATTGTTAAAAATAGTACGCTATTTGATCCTTTGCTTAGACTTAAAGCCACTTGTCGTCAAACAAGACTTCACAAATATTTGAAAAATTGTCTCTTTAGGTTAAGACTCCTCCTGTGAACTGGCTCTATTAGAAACTATACCCTTGCACCAGTAAAAAAAAAAAAAACACATCAATGGCTACTTCAAACAACCTTAAAAAGCATTGAAAAGTAGCCAAAATCACATCTGCCTTATTCCATAAATGGGTTCAAATGTTTAACCCTCCTGAGAGCTCTAAGATGTTTCCCACAACACACCCATGCTATTTCAAACCACAGCAATAATCAGGTAGGTGGTATTACAATTACCTTTGAAACTCAGGAAAAGCTCCTGCAGAGAAAATTAAGGACGGGTGATAATAAAGTAAATAAAACTCACCTCCAAGGAAGAAAATAATGGGACCTCACACAGAACAGAACATGCACTAATAAAAACCATCAAAACAAATAAGCATGTAGTTTAAACTAAAGAGGAAGTGTTAAAACAACCATCTGAAGCTATCTCTCCACAGGTTACCCAACTACTGCAGAAGAAGATCCTATGGGAGAAAAACCCACATATAGGCCTTCAAGTGAAAGTTGGATTTTTTTTCTGGTGCCTGTTGGGAGTAGTCGGATACTAACACTGTAGTGAAGCTATCCAGGGATAGGCTTTGAAGTAAACCGAATAAAAAGTCCCAGCAAGATATTGTATAGTGGGGCCTTGTGGAGGCAAATTAAACTGTGAATTAGACATCAAAGTGAAAAGAGCAAGCGGACAGTTGAAACACACGTGTTCAATTTAACAGTGGACACTCTTAGGTTCAAAAACTTTCAAACACAAACTTTTTTTGGCTGATAAATACAGGCATCCACCCATGAGCGGGGCATCACCCTGGCTTCTGTTATCACCATACAAAAATATTGTAAGGAAGTACCCTGGATGGAAAACCGTCCCTCCCTCCATCTCTGACACACCTTCACTGCACCTCAGGCCAGAGGTTAATCTGCCTCATTTCAAACATCCAGTACATGGAAAGAAGAAGTTGTGATAATAAAATGGTAAGAACTAAAGTGATGGAAGTTTACACTATCACCCTCAAAACACCTACTAACTCACTCACACTTCTGTAAGCATGCTACATGCTTCCCTTCATTTCATAGCTAGTCACTACCTTGTCTGTCTGCTGCTTGCTTTTGGGCAGGTAGTGTTTAACAGAGCTTTTGGTTGAAAAAAAAGCTGTCTGTTGTGGGTGGAAAGAAGCAGAGAGATAAAGGACAGCGACACAATTCAACAGTCAGCAACATTAGGCCTCCATGACATGAGAAAATGTGCAATGTACTTTCTTAAATATTGCAAATAAAGAGTGCATATTAGTTACACTGTTTCCCCAAGTTGTATCTGTTAGAGGGGGTAGTCTGGGTGTTTCTTTTTAACAAATAAAAGTTATACTATATTATACTAAATTGCTACATGGACTAAGTGTAACTTAAGGGCTGGGTGATCATTTTCTGTGTGTTTACAATGTAAATTAAGTCATTGTTAAGTCATTGTTGACATGAAAATATATATTTAGACCAACCTGTGTACCTGTAGAAAATGTGGAAAGTCTATGAGGGAATAGGCATTTCAGGGTTTGAGGGGTGTGTATTTCAAAAGAAGCAGCATGGCAGACTATGTGAGACAGATGGCTGCAAGGGGTCAGAGGTTAAATTTAGGAAACGGACAATCACAGCCTTATTCTGGATGACAAGACATGGACTCTCCAGGATTTTATGTTTTTGCCTTCAGGGGATTTTTGAGTCAGTTTAGCTTCAGTGTGTGTGTGTGTGTGTGTGTGTGTGTGAGAGAGAGACTGTGTGGTGAGAGGGTTAGGGTGGGGGGCATGTGGCAGTAACACAGCGACATGATTTGTGGAGGTTGAGTTCAAGTTCAGCGGTCAAGACCTACAGGATCACAGTGTTGCCTCAGCAGCTCATTCACCCAACTTTCCTGATCAAATGATTACAAATAAGACAAAAGAGTTCAGTAAAAACAAAAACCCATGCTGTGTTGTGATTAAACTATGATCAGACAATAAAAGTAGAAATGATTAAAAAAAAGTGTATTAATCAGGATTTTCTCAACATGTGTAGCACTGACATGGTTGTTTCTTTTCACTGAAATTAAAAACAGATTTCTCTCTGTGAGCCTGGACAGTTAAAAACATTAAAGTACTCTTGTTCTCAAAGAGTGAAAATAATTAGAGTAAACCACACTATAAAGCCAGGATCACAGGCAATAAATCTTACAAAAATACACTCCTTTGTTGTAAATGCTGTGTTTAATGATTATGCCAGTCTCTGAAGCTGTGTGTACACTGAATTGTGGATCGGTTTAAATAGGTTGATACATGAAAATGCAACCTGGCCTTTAACCTTTAAAGCTTTTAACTGAAGCTGGATGTAACTCACCGCATCTTAAAATGCAAGTAATTATATTGATTGTGCTGCAGTCGCATTACTGAGATTGATTTAAACAGCAGAAAAAAGTGGGGGTAGAGGATAGGTCGTTCAATGGTGCTTCATAAGCGCAGGTGACTAAGACTAATTTATGTTATGAATTGAGACAAGATGTCCTTTCTTTTGTCAATTTCATGTGTTTATTCCAAGAATTGTTTTGTGTGAGGAGGAGCCAGTTTTGCCTCTAATAAGTAATACGCAGAGAAAACACCTGACTACTGTATTCAGGCAGTTTTTCCTCTGGCTTATTGGCTGTTGGAACCTTTTGGGATGCCCCATGTTCTCAAACCAGCCAATGACAGCTTGACTAGCTCAGTCCTCACAAGACATCTTGTGTTTTTGCTGATCCGCTCCTATAAATGCACAACTAGTATTCTGGAATGAAAATAAAAACCCTGCTTTTTTAACAGTTTATCTTTGACATTTCACCATGCAAAATGTAAATAAAGACAATTGTGGTCTGGAACTGACCAAAGTGGAAATGATGACAGGATTTAAAACTAACAGTATTGAAATAATGAATCCTCTTGCCAATGGTCTGGTTTCCCTTTTGTAGCTCATATACAGGCCTGAGTATTCATTTCAGTCTGATTACCCAACAAGTTAACATCTCCTCAGAGGAGCTTACATTTCATTTTCCAGAAACTTTAATGCGTCATGTTAATGTTGTTATTTACACGAAGCACCTCCATAACCTCTCCTCTCACCTTGTGATTCTGCAAACTCATCTCTGTGACCTCCTGCGACCTCTGTGGCAACCATGACGATGATGACACTGCAGACCAGACCAGTCCTCCATAGCATTTCCATGGTTACTACAGTAGTTGCTATAGTAACAGAATTCAGTGCAGTTAACCCCGGGCGTCTGTCCCAACATGTCTTCTGTCCTCTCGGATGCCCCGTCACCTAGCAGTGGGACAGCTCAGCGCTCTGTTGTGCCATGGCTGCAGGAAGACCCTTGAGTTCAGAAAGACATGATAGCCTCGACAGCGGGTTGATCAGCAAGTGGAGTCGAGTTCTTAACAAGTCCACACAGAATCCAAAACGGCTTGGATGGATCTCACAAAGAGCTCAGCAGCAGTGGCCAGTTTGGACTCCACGTTCTGGCCCTGTAGGGGAGAAATCAGTCAGTGAGTAAGAGGAAGCCCAATAGAGGGAGGGAAAATGGAGGGGAGGGACAGATTTAGGCTCAAAAAGAAGGGTGGAACAAGTAAAACACAGTCACATACAGAGAGAGAGAGAGAGAGAGAGAGAGAGAGAGCAAGAGAGAGAGCGAGCAAGAGCATGAGATACCATTGACCCATGTCGTCCCCAGTCTAACAAGAAAAATCTACCAAGTCCATTTTCTTCCTCCAGTAAAAGTTCGCCACATCCCACATGTATCCCTCAGCTAATCAATCTTGGCTTTGGGGAAGGGCAAACTCCCTGTCTTTCTCTCTGATGACAAAAGACAACAGCAAGTCCCAACCTGGGGCCCCTGAGGCCCCTGAGCTTCAAGCTGCCTGCCCACCGGAAAGAGTTCAAACACAAAGGAAGCCATTGATGTTGTATAAAGCTTCACTTAATGCCCAAACAGGGCTTGAAGTGGGTATTATGTCAGAGGCTCTGGGGGTAAAATGAGCCAATTTGAGAGGAGCAGCAGGATGCCATCACTGCTACGCTGGCTGACTGAGGTGGCTGGTTGTATGGCTGAGTGATTTGCTGGCAGGCTGCCTGACTGTACAGCTTACTAATTGGCTGTCGTCCTGGCTAGCAGACGGATGGTATGAGTGCCTATATGAAGCTTGTTTACATGTGAGCCAAAGGGGAGAGTACTGTAATTATCATAGCCTGACTGATAGCAACTCTTAGATTTTTTTTAAATAACTTTTCTCTAAATGATCGAGTCCATATTTGAGTGTTTGTTAACAGAAGAAAAGTCTTAATGTCAAAACCCCTTCAGAGTTCATGAAGGGTGAAGCATGACAATGTTGTGACAATAATGGCTTTTTAAAACAGTTTTAAAGAGAGTGTCTCAAAGTGTTTGTGACGTCTTTGGCTGCATGTAACCCTTTCCAAAGAGCAACTAAAAAAAGTAGTCAAGGAAGCGCTAGATACATTTATTTTTATTTTTATTTACAGGTATAACTAAAGCACTGTTGTGTTGGCTTTTCATTAAATCTCTATTCTTTGAAAAGAGAACATTAAGGATATCCTTCCCCGAATTTTGTAAATGTCTTTGTTGATCACAATAGGGACAAGCCACTTTAATCACTTGAACAGTGAAAGACAGAAAGAAAGAAATAAACTACAAAAGAGAAATCCAGTTTCCATTTCTGTAAATTAGGACAAAATGCAGGACATACTGTATTGTTGGGACCCGGCCTTATGATGGCTGCATATCACTTCACAGTGCCAATTGAATCAAAGCCTTTCTCAATCTATAGACTTTAATTCATGTATATTTGCGCCAGAAATAACATGTTAAAGGTTGTTCCTTCACTTTAACTTTTACTCCAGATCAATTCCTGTTGAGTTTTTTTGAAAATCATATTCCAACATTTTGGCATGCTACTTTGTGATAACACAGAAAATCCCATTACAAAAAAAAGCCAGATCACATTTTCATGCGTGCCCTTTTCTTTGACTTGAGTTTCCTGGCTATAGATTGCAGTGTCAGCTAAAATCAAACCCTAGCTATTCTCCAGTACAAGTCTGCCCACCCAATTTATCCTTGCCCCAGCCTCCCTCCCTTTCCCCAGTTCCCTCCCGTCTATCCCTCCCTCAGTGCCGTCTGGGCAAAGAGAAGATCGAGCAGAGACGCCACATTGGCCCAGATGGCTGGCGGCTAACCAACTGCAGCCAAAGGTAATCGGAAGCAGATGGGAAACCTTTTGGTGACGAGAGCAGGGGGAACAAGTTGCCTCCTTAGAAAAAAAAAAAAAAGGAGAGAAAAAAAACTAGTGCAAAGCCCAAAGGGAATGAAGGAGACAGCAGAGTGTAAGCTGTTGGAGCCAGCTGGGAGAGCCATTCTTGAGTGTTAATACTCTGAAACTGAGAGTAGAGGAATGAGAATTCAAAAGCCCTAATGTGCCCCTCGTTTCATTACAAACAGCAAAGGGAAGGTACAGTTAAGAGAGAGTTTCCTTTAAAAACACTAAGGGGTCTTTCTACTATCGTAGCTCCCCTCATACGTGGAACAACTGAAAGTCTTTCTCTCCTCCCCTCCCTCAGGCTTTCTCCCAGTCATTTCCTGCACAGGCCAAACTCCCCTCCATTTTCATTACTTCTTATGCTCCCGCTCTCGATTTATTGTGGGGTTATTAAACTTGCAGCTTGATATCAAGTGCTTTTCATTACCATTAACTCTCCCCTTGTTTGTTTTAACAAGAAAAGGGGGTGGGGGGGGGAACTGGACCCCCCTTGTGCTATCCCTGGGTGCTTTTTCAGCAGACCTGCTTAAAAAGATTTGTTGTCAGGCTTCAAGATCCTCACAACAACATGCTTGCACTGCCTTCATAGTAAATTATCACTTCATCGTAAACTGTGCACAGCACTGTTAAATTAAGAGCAAGCTGTCTCTCAGAGGTGATGGTGTCGTACATCTTCCGCGGTCTGTTGTGCAAAACCTTCCCTCTGGGCTGTATCACTTTTGGCGAAATAAAAAGCGTATGTTTGTCAGCCAGCCAAGTGAGCACATACGCCGACTCTTGACTCAGTGTTTTGTTTGGATTAAGCTACGACTATCCAGCGTATATAGCCACAATCACGGCCAAGAGAGAAAGTGGTCTGAGCTGCAGCAGACATAGCCAACCTATTTTAAACGCAATTACGATTTGCAAAAAGAGAAAAGAAAAGAGGGGAGAAGAAAGGGGTCGTTGTTAACAAGAGAGTGAACCACTCAGGATAATTAGGTGGGAATTCAAGGGTGGGCCAAATCTGTACTGTAATCAAGCCAGCAGACTGAGAATCCTCTTGACACGTTATTTCTTAATCTAGTCATCGACTTGCAAGCAGTGACTGGTGGGTTTTTTTTTTTTTTTATGGGGGGTTAGGGATGTACAGTGAGTTTTTTTGTTTTTTTTTGTCTGAGCTAACTATGCTGTCCTTGTCTTTAAGTATTGCCAGGGAGAGTGGAGCTATCCGAAAACCAGCACACTAATCAAAGCCATATGACCAGCCCAGCTCAAAGTAAAGTCTGTGTGGAGCGAACAGATGCTAAGTGTCCCTCAGCTTAGCTTCAAGTCTACCCCCGACTCCCCCCACCCCACCCCACCCCACATAAACACAGGGCTTCCACTTTGATCAGTGTGTAGCTCATGAATCAGCTTTAGGTTCAGTTTATTATTAATTTAAACCGGTACTGCTGCTTCTCTTTTCTAATAAGACCATAGGCTGTGGGATCAAATAGCCCTAACACTAATGTCACAAGTCAGTTGCAGCGTTTTATGACTGCCTCAGCAACAATTAGGCTACTCCCTGAATGGGGAACAAAAATCAAAGTCAAGATTCACACAGATCTCCACGTGAAATCCTCAACAGGTGATCAAATAATCCAAAGCACTGAGGGATACGTCTCAGGCTAAACCCTCATGCCCTCTGTCTGAAGACCGAAAGAGAAAGAGGCAGGCATTCCTCTCTCTATTTCCCCCAAATAAACAGTGTGCAGATGAAAAGTGGGAACATAAACAGGCTGGAGAACCTCGGATGTGCTCCCCTCACTCTGAAAATGTGCCTCTTGAGTCTGAAACAATATTTAGTGAGAGAGAGAGAGAGAGAGAGAGAGAGAGAGAGAGAGAGAGAGAGAGAGAGAGAGAGAGAGAGAGCTGACTCGACATGAAGTGAGTCAGCCAGGAGCAGCAGCAGAACTGGAAACAGAGCACAGATGTGGAAGTGGAAGGTTTTCTCTTTCTCCATTTCTGCAGTTTTGATCAGCTGAGTGTCACATAAGACAAAGGAAAGTCAACTCTTGGTGTTTGAGAAAACAACATGTGCATGTTTGGCATTTGTCTCTCTTGAAAATACAATATGTTTTCAAAATGACTTTTCTGTTAATGGACTGAAAGGTGACTTAACCGATTGTTCCAGGCAGTTCTTATCTGTCTTATCCCATCAAATGAATCCTGATTTTAACCTTTCTGGTGATGCAAAAAAATGTAACATTATATAAACTAAAACTAAAACTAAAAAAACATGATGAATCAGTCCAGTATGGCACACAATTATTGCCCTATTACTGAGCTGAGCTTTGTTGTTATTCAGGGTTCCTGCTTTAAAGTTTAAGCCTGTATTGATGTGACCAACCTTGTCTAATGTAGCTCGTTTTATCTGTCACTTATAGTTCCACACCAAGGTTAATTGGGGGGGGGGGGGGAATCACATGGTATCGGTTTGTCATTATCATTAGGCATACACTCTCAGTTTAAGTTTCTCTCAGACGTTTTTAAAAAGCATCTCTTGTGTGTGTGCAGGTTTCATAGATACATCCCACAATTTTAGGAACTAAATTCAACAAGTCGCTGCTTTCAGCACATGCAACGATGCTTATGTCATATAGTGTAACCGACAGTCTGACCAAGTGAAACCCTGACATGATGCAGGTAAGGCTATAACGCACATCTGGCAATAATAAATGAAGCACATTGTGCAGCTAAAAGGTGCATTGATAACTTAACATGCGCTACATGTCTGCAGAGTCAGCTGATCAAATGACTCATTCACCATGAAAGAGGGACCTGTGATGTGTTGCATGCATGGGCATACACGACCTGCTGCTTATTACATAATCGGTGTTGCAGCTGTTACATTTTGAAGTGGGCTTTGACATTGTGGAGGTGCTATCAATCACTACAAGATGTCACATAGTTCTTTCCCATCAGTGAGGAGCTGCAGGCTGCTCCCCCAGCCGGTGAACTACACAATGCCAGCCTTCACTAAAAGGACCTGATGTCTGCTGTCGGCCACATCATCTCCCTTCACCGGCATGCACACACACACACACACACACACACACACACACACACACAAACCCACACTAACTGCCTTGTCACCAGTGAGGAGATCCCAGCCATGACTTAAGAGCCCTTTAGGAGAATAGCAAAGCCGACGATACAGTTTTAGCAGGAATACGACCCAAAAATAACGAGACAATGTTTAGTCCATAGAGGAACATCAACACACGTGACACCGCAATGAAAAGGCTACAATGACAAAATAAGGGCGACATTTAAAGTTTGCAAGAAATATCTCTGTTGAAATGGGCGTACTACAGTTAAGAACAGACTCCTGACAGCATCATGTGTCAGGACCGTTTTCCTCCATTGTTCGCGGTAAAAAAAAATAATAATAATAAAAAAAAATAAAAGGTATAAAGTTTGTGAGTCCGGGCTCGTGGACCTACCTTCCTCTGTCCCCGTGCAGGAGTTTCCGTGAGTCTGTCCTCTGTCCTCCACAGCGGAGCAGAGAGGAGGAGGAGGCGGCGCCGGCGGGTCACTGAGGAGAGACTCAACTTCTTCCACTTCTAGCACCAGGGAGCCTCAGAGTGATAGTGAAGTCACCCGAGCTGAAACGAGGCTGCTACCGGTCACAACTGTTCACAAAATAAAAGTCGTGTCTGCAGACGTTTGCTCAACAGCTGAGAAGAGGATTTTAGTGGTAGCTCCAATCTATAAAATTCCTGATTGTTCTGTCACACTTTTCACATCGAGCTCAAACATTAAAAAAAAAAAAAAAAAAAAATCTTCATAAACTAGGCTACAACTTTAAAAAAAAAACTTTATCACTAAATTAGTCATCTAAAACACAAGATATGCCTATTGTAACCCCCCATGTCTTCAATAATCTCCACATATCATCAATTACAACTCTACAGTTTTCACAATTAGCTACACCATTGCCTAAAAGTAGGCTACTCCATTCAAGAGTTGGGGATGGAACATTTCTATCTCTTCAATTGTTGTTTGTAAAGGCTGTTGGGTCCAACCACAGTCAATGAAGATAAAGAACATACTCACAGAAGATACCATCGTCTTCCCCTTCATCTACAATACTGATTTATTGAGAAGTTGTAACACTACATTGTATGAAAAACCAGCATTTAAGTGAGGATTTGCATTATTTGTTCTTGTGTGACTAACTGAATGAATTAATATGAAGGAAAAAAAATCTAGGGGGTAATGTGACAAAATAAGAATAAGGTCATAATCATTGTTTAATGTTAGGAGACTATTTCAACATTTTACAGATCAGGGTAGCCGATAAGAAATGGAAAAGAAACGCCACATGCCCTCAAGATGCAGATGGAAAATAAATAACGGCACAACGTCAAACCTGAAGATATGCATCAGAGAAACTGCGGAATATATTTAAAAGAAAGTCAACTATAAGGGAAATTGAAGCGACTGTAGCTGCTTTTATTTTGAAGGAACACGTCACTCTATCCGGTTTAACTCTCTCTGTATTTTGTCTGACTTGATTCAGCGGGCTCCTGCCTGATTCTATCAGGAAGCAGCTGCAGCCGGTTAAGTGGAGGTTTGTGGTGATGGTGTGTGTTCAGGAGGGGCTTACTCTTCATATGCTGCCTGTGTGTGTACAGGACAGGTGTCTAGGTGTGTGTGACTTAATGGTTATTGTGTAATGAGCAGTACAACACAGTGAAAAAGAAAATATATTCTAATAAGGTCCCTGTATCACAAGCACATCATGTAGGAAAATATCAAGACTTAGCTGAACATATTGACTGAAAATAGGTTCAGCCTGGTTCCAACCAAAAGAAGCCTAATACATCTCATGATTAAGCACCTTCTGTCACAGTTGCTAAGACAAAAGTGCAACATTTTGGATAAACACTGTGTCCATTCCTGCCAAGGTTTATGGGAGAAGATTGACCTGTTCATACTAAGTGATACACACCAACAGGACGGTAAATTTAATCTGAAGACAGGGGGAGCAGCTAGCCAGGACAGCCTATATCATTCAAGAAAGTTGATATAACACAGTAAACTTTTCCTTAATGTTAATGCTTAACACGCAGATATATGGACACATTATAAGAGACTTTAAAAAATAAATTAGGTCTAAAAGAAATAACTGCATAGTTGGCCTTATAGTCGTGTGTACATTTTCCTTCATGTTTAAGTGTGTGTGTGCGTGTGCGTGTGTGTGTGTGTGTGTGTGTGTGTGTGTGTGTGTGTGTGTGTGTGTGTGTGTGTGTGTGTGTGTGTTCTCTTACTCCCACTTGTTGAAAGCACCTGACACTGCAGTCAGATCAACAGATACATCTTTGTGTCTGAAGTTACAGCAGCGCTCTACTTCGCAGGAAGACGTGAGTAGATTCTGTTAATAAAAATAAAGATGACAATAGTTAGGCTATTATTATTTTAAGACCAGGCCTAAGGAGAAACTTTATTTAATTAATACAATAGGCTACTAAAACACAACTTCAATTGCAGTTTAAAATCAAATTGTATCTCTAAAGTACACAAAAACTTTAAACCATGGGTGTTTATTACTAAGTTCAACATTTTATTTCATGGAGCCCAGGAAGAATAGCTGAGCTCTCGGTACAGCTAATGGGGATCCTAACAAATACATAAATAAATACATTACAGTTACCTTCCACCTTAACAGCCAAGCTGGAATAGCTTTATTTGACTTCTGAGATATTTAGATTCAATAAAAAATGTTGCGATCCCACGTTAATGTTTAGTATTCATCATTTTACTAATATTTTTTTATTTTGAGCCACATTAAAAAGTCTCCAGTATGTGTTTTAGCTGTAAAACGCATGAAATGTGAGCGTGTGTTTGCCACAGCCAGGGTGAGGCATTGCATGGTCTGGTTTACAACAGCAAAAGATTACGTGTGCAAAATATAAACGGCTGTTTTCATTGTGCCTCAGAATAGAAAACCAAAAATGGGCAGTTCCAAACCAGAAAAGAGGTCAATGCGTTTGTGTTTTTTTTATTGATACTTACTTTTCCTGAATAACTGGATGTATTTTTGGTCCCGGGCTGAAGTGTTTCTGCAGAATGTTCCTGCTATTGTCGAGCTGTATCGGCCTGCATGGCAGAAAAAGAATTTAATCTCCACATAGAATTTGAACATTATATTTACTTTCAGATAAATCCACAGCTGAGGGAGAAAGTCTCACTATTTACTGCACAGTGCTTCAGTTTTTTTAAATCAATGTTTGCTCTTCTTTTTGTCTTTGAATTATAAATAACTGTTTATTTGAATCCTAATATGATAGCCACTTTAAGTTATTTTCTGAATGTTGATTTAAATACTGTATCTACTGGCACTCTTTAGTTTGGAAAAACACATTGTAAATCATGACAAAGAAAAACAAACTGCATTTAGATATCTTTTGTTTTCATTGGTGCAGGAAATTATGCTTTCGTTTCATTTTTGCTCCTTATCTGATATTTAGATCAGCTTTAGTGGTTTTCAAATCAGTCATCAGTAAAACAAAGTCCAGTGTAGGGGAAAAGTAATTCTATGTAAAGGACACAACATAGTAATAATGGATTTGAAGTGTCTAAACATGAAAATTCTGGTTGGTGGGTTTTGTTTTGGATTTTGAAAATTTAAAAAAATCGGAGAATCGAAAAAGACCAAGTGCTTTGAGTTTTCTGTTGTATCTTTCATCAATAGAAGAACACTGATTTACACAAGTCTTACACGGTCTCAAGTGTTGACATATCATCCGAGATTACTCCCTGATAGCTAAACATAAATAATCATGATCTAAAATAACTTCAGTGGCTGAACACTGTAATGCTTTTGATTTACTTTAAGTCAAATAATCCACAGACAACAAGGACTTTATAATTATAGAGGCAAGTTCAATCATTGAGCTCATCTTGGAATTTACATTCACGGGTCAGAAGAGTAAAAGAGCTGAAAAGTCTCTTTGAGATTTCTAAGTCTTTTCTCTTTTCAAGCAGACAGAGACTGACCACTGCACACATGGTGTCTATGTGACAGTAACATTGGCATGCCAATGAGGTGTTGGATAGATGTTGTGAAATAGACACAGGCACAATTCATTTAAACTGTTACATTTCCTGTGAGTCAAGGTTGAGAATCTTTTTCTGATCTAAGTAACTTTATACGATGATGAGAATGATTATGATGTGTATAATACACATTTTTAGGAGGTTTTTTTTAGGACATAAAATCTGAATGAATAGAAACAGATCATACCCCAAAACAACATCCCCATAGTTTCATACTTACTTACTTAGAGCTACTTCTTGTAGCTCTGTCAGTTATACAACTGTGACTACAGCTCTATAGAATAATCTAAATATTGAAAAAAGTTATCCTAGCTTTGATTATGAATGATTTTCTTTACATACATTTCTTGTGAGACAGCAGATTTAAAACATGGATCTACACACAGCTAAATTACACGATAATGTTTTACACTCATTTTTTCCAAACAGAGAGCTGTTTGTGTTGACATGAAGTGAATACAAATGAAAAATATTGTTGACATAAATAAGCTGCTGCTTTATTTGATGGATTTCCATATAACATAAAAAAGAGATGAACTATGCAGACTTTGAGGAACCCATCATTTTTTTCTCTAGAGCCCTCCAGCAGGTAAAAGGTTTCAATTGGAATTACTTATATATATACATATATACATATATATATTTTTTTTTACAGGGCAGGTTGCTACAAATTTGGACAAACATATATTCATGGTCTCCATCGTTTGACATGTCAGACTTTCCATGATCTTCCATCTAGAGCCAACAATTTGTTTTATTTTGTATACTTAACCGTCTATGACCAAACCAATCAGCATTCACTTTTTGTTAGTGCTATAGTAGTGTCTTATGTAGTATTTTAGCATGCTAACACACACATTAAATGGGGATCATGGTACAACTAGCCTACTGAAAATGTGAATATAGGTTTTGTAATTGTGAGCAGGTTAGCATAAAGATGTTTGCATTTTGCAGTAGTAGTCTTGTTACAGAATATTAAGTATAGTCAGCTGGCCAGTTGTCTGTCATTAGTTGTACTTGAGAACTAATTGAATTCTGTTCTTTCACTTGTAATGAAACCTTTGAAGTGTGATTTTGCAAATGTTAATGGATAAAAATAAGACATCTAACTTGACAGGCCCAGAGTGTTTCCATACAACCTAGCCCAAATTTACCACAAAACATTTTTTTCTAGGAAAGAAAGATGTGTGCCTGAGCTTTTATTGTAATTCTTAGAGAGTTCTTCATCACAAATCAAAGATTTTATAAGCTCTTGTGTTTCATTTCACTCCGTTCTTCATGATCGACATCACGACATCACGTTTGGCTTGGAAAAGTGATTCTCTCTCCAACATGGAATAGTTTGAGCAGATGACAAACACAATCAGAATTCGTTTTTGTATTAAATTACATGCACTTTGTACCTCATGACCTGAATCATTCCAGAAAGAAAAAAAACTGCAGAAAACAATCACTCAGGCTTGTAGAT